TTCTGGTCAAGGGCGTGTACCTTGGTTGCGGGCACATCCCCAGTAGGGGGTGTGCAAGAGGCAGCTGATCGATGACTCTCTCTCATTGATGTTTCTAACTCTCTATCCCTCTCCCTTCCTCTCTGTACAAAATCAATAAAATATATATTTTTTAAAAAAATCAATAAAATATATTTTTAAAAAATATTTTTTAAAAAATACCTCTGGGCGGGAGGGAGATCGTGGACCCACAATGGCCAAGAAGGGTCATGAAAGGGGCTGACGTGGCGGGTCTCGGGGGACCAGGGAACCAAGTTCCGGAGAGGGGGTGGGGCAGGGAGGGGACCCGACTGACCCGGAAGTGGGCCAGCTGCAGGGCCACCTGGACGAAGCTGTCGGAGGACAGGCGGCAGCGCTTGATGAGGCCCTTGCCGAAGTGGGAGAAGGGGAAGACGTGGCAGTCAGTGTCCCCGGACAAGGCCCGGGCTCCCCTCAGGGCGAGAGAGATGGACCGGTGGACCTGCCGGAGGGAGGGAGGGAGGGAGGGAAGGCGGGTCAGAGATGGGAGTGAGATGCAGGCCGGGGACGAGGCCGGAAGTGGTGATGGGGAATGGAGGTAGGGTTGGGGTGGATCCTGGAAATTGGGAATGGAGTTGAAGGGCTAGGCCCGTGGTCAGCAAACTGCGGCTCGCGAGCCACATGCGGCTCTTTGGCCCCTTGAGTGTGGCTCTTCCACAAAATACCACGGCCTGGGCGGGTCTCTGTTGAAGAAGTGGCGCTAGAAGAAGTGTTTTTTAAAAAATATATGTTATTGATTTTTTTACGGAGAAGAGGAGAGAGGGACAGAGAGCTAGAAACATGGATCAGAGAGAAACATCAATCAGCTGCCTCCTGCACACCCTCCACTGGGGATGTGCCCGCAACCAAGGCACATGCCCTTGACCAGAATCGAACCTGGACCTTTCAGTCCGCAGGCTGACGCTCTATCCACTGAGCCAAACCGGTTTCGGCTAGAAGAAGTTTAAATTTTATTTTATTTATTTATTATTTTTTTAAAATATATTTTATTGATTTTGTACAGAGAGGAAGGGAGATAGTTAGAAACATTGATGAGAGAGAGTCATCAATCAGCTGCCTCTTGCATACCCCCCAATGGGGATATGCCCGCAACCAAGGTACATGCCCTTGACCGGAATCGAACCTGGGACCTTTCAGTCCGCAGGCCGACGCTCTATCCACTGAGCCAAACCGGTTTTGGCTAGAAGAAGTTTAAATTTAAAAAATGTGGCTCTCAGGAAATTTCAATCATTGTACTGTTGACATTTGGCTCCGTTGACCGATGAGTTTGCTGACCACTGGGCTAGGTTAAAGGTGGAGACAGGGATTAAGACCGGAATGGGGTTTGGATGGAAGGAGGTTGGGGTTGGAGTTGGGCTGGAGCTGGGATGGAGGGTGGGCTTGGTGTTGGGAACAGGACTGAATTGAGGATGGTGATGGTGATGGTGATGGAGTTGGGCTGGAGATGAGTTTGGGGTGGGCATGGGGTTGGGCAGGACTGGATCAAGAGATGAGATTGGGGTTGAGGATGGCATTGGTGGTGGGGCCAGGGCCAGAGCTGAGGTTGTAGGAGATGAGGTTGGTCTCGAGGTTGAGTTTGGGGGTGAGGCTGAGTTTAAGCGTCAAAGCCAGGAATTTGGGGACTCGGAGGGGAGGCCCGGCCACGCAGACTCACCTTGTCCGGGAGGTCCCAGTGCAGCCGCTGGGGCTGGGGCAGGGAGGGCTCAGGGTGGCCCTTGCAGTGGCCGTCCACCGAGTAGCCCAGCTGAAAGCATTCTGTGGCCAGAGTGAACTGTGTGCAAACGCAGGCGGTGAGGGTCCCCGCCGCCTCCCTCTGGTCCGTCTAACCGGGACCTCTCGGGCCAGACCCTTTAGTGCCCGGGGCCTGCCCGTGAGGAGAAACCCCTGATGCTCACAAGTGGGCTCTCAGGTTCAAGTTCATAGAGAGCCGGAGTGAAGCTGACACCCAATAGCGCCTCCTATCCCTGACCCCCTCACAGGCTCAGAGGCCCCGCCCGCCCGGGGACCCCCTCAGCAGCCATCTGACTGTGCGGGGCCCACACCCTGCTTTTTATTATTGTTAAACATTGCTAAATACTTTATTTTTAAAAAAATACATTTTTATTAATTGCAGAGAGGAAGGGAAAGGGAGATAGGAATATCAATAATGAGAAAGAATCATTGATCAGCTGCCTCGTGTACGCCCCCGCACCACCACTGGGGATGGAGTCTCCAACCCAGGCCTGTGCCCTGACCGGGAATCAAACCGTGACCTCCTGGTTCATAGGTTGACGCTCAAACACCAGCCACGCCGACCGGGCCTGCTAAATATTTTAAATCAACCCCAATCAAGCACCTGCCGAAACCGGTTTGGCTCAGTGGATAGAGCATCGGCCTGCGGACTGAAAGGTCCCAGGTTCGATTCCAGTCAAGGTCATGTACCTTGGTTGCGGGCACATCCCCAGTGGGGAGTGTGCAGGAGGCAGCTGATCGATGTTTCTCTCTCATCGATGTTTCCAACTGTCTATCCTTCTCTCTCTTCCTCTCTGTAAAAAAATCAATAAAATATATTTTTAAAAAATTTTTGGAGCCCAGACTGGTTTGGCTCAATGGATAGAGCATCGGCTTGGGGACTGAAGGGACCCGGGTTAGATTCCGGTCAAGGGCATGTACCTTGGTTGCGGGCATATCCCCAGTAGGGGGTGTGCAGGAGGCAGCTGATCGATGACTCTCATCGATGTTTCTAGCTTTCTATCTCTCTCCCTTTCTCTCTGTACAAAATCAATAAAATATATATTTTATTAAAAAAATTTTGGAAAAATAATAAAATAAAAGATATATTTTTTAAAATGGATAATTAAAAAATAGATAAATAAATAAAAAAGATAAAAGGAAACCCAGCCTTTCGCCGGCTGGAGGGGAACCTCAGGCTCAGGGAAGAGAGTAATGGGTGAGGCCGCACAGCCCAGCTCAGAGGCGGCTCCAGCTCCGCCCCGTTCTGGCCTCAGAACATTCTGGATGCACAGTCCTGCCCTGCAGCTCCTGGCTCGGTGACTGGGCACATCCGCTTCCTTCTCTGAGTCCCCACTGTCCACCCAGGCTCCTGGTTTCTGGGCAGCCCTGGCCGGCCTCTCCTCTCTTCCCACCGGCCTCTGCTTTTCCTCTGACCCTAAGTCCCAGGGAGGAAGGCTCTGGCAGTGGGGGTGGGGGTCCCCCGACTGCCCTACCTCCCACATGTGCCCTGAGATGGGGCAGTCCGCCCACGAGTGCTCCACGCTGAGGCCCAGCTTCCCGTTGGAGAAGACGATGAGGGTGAAGGACTTGTCATACCAGCTGCGGGGAGAAGTCACAGAGGTCACCAAAGAGGGGGGGCAGCGGGGAAGTCGGGGTGCTCCGAGGGACCTGCGGGATTTCCGGGAGGGGAGACTTTTCTGGAATGGGGGCTGGTGTGGGATCCCCAAGAGGGCGGGGCCTCCAAGGGGAGGCTCTGGACGGGCGGAGGCCGGAGAGCGGGGGATTCTGAGAGAGCGGACCCGGGAAGGTGCGAGGCTCAGGGGGTGCGGGAGGTCAGGGCGCGGGGCTCAGAGACCGGGATGACGGGTGGGCATCCAGGAAGTCCTCCGAGGATCTCCAGGTCTTGGGGGGGGGGTTGTTTTTGGGTTTGGGATGCCAGCATTCAGGTCTGGGGGTTCCGGGGTTCTGAGTCTGAGACCCCAGTCTTGGGGTCCGGGCTCTGGGGGTCGCTGGGTCTGAGGGTCCAGGTCTGGGTCTGGGGTTCTCTGGCTCGGAGGTCCCCAGGCCGCAATCCATTGAGTCTGGGGTCCTCAGATCAAGGGGGCCTTTGGGCCTGGAGGTGCCCGGGACTGGGCTTCAGGGTCTGGGCGTCCGCGGCCCAGAGCATTAGGCCCAAACCCGGGGTTCGGGTGGCAGGTCGGGGTGGGGGTGGCGGGTGGGGTCCAGGCCCCGGGCGGACTCACCGGTCGTGGCCGCGGCCGGCCAGCAGCGCGTGCGCGTAGGCGTCCAGGGAGGCGGCGGGGTCCTCCCGGGCGAGCCCCGCGGGCTCCGGGTCCAGCGAGACGAAGAACGCGGCGCCCTCCACGGCCTCCAGCGCCTCCGCGGCGCGGCCCTGCAGGGCCCTCCGCGCCTGCGCCCACACGTCCCTGCGGGGAGGCGCCTGAGCCCGGCCCCGGCCCCCGGCCCCCCGGCCCCCGCCTCCCGCTCCGGGGTGACCTCCCAGCCTCGGAGTGACCCCCCAGCCTCGGGGTGACCCCAGCCTCGGGGAGACCCCAGCCCCGGGGAGACCCCTCACCGGGGCGCCGCCGTCAGCGCCGCCAGGTGCTCCTCGTGGGCGCTCGCGGGCGCCGGGTCGTCCAGGACGCGCTGGAACTGCTGCTCCAGGGCGCGCGGGGGCAGCAGGCCGCCGGGGCCGTGGGTGGCCACGCGGAAGAAGCGGCCCCGGTGGAGGACCGCCACGTGCCGGCTGTCCCCGAGGTGGCGGAGGCGGTCTGGGGGGACAGGGGGCAGCGTGTGGAGGCGGGAGGGTTGGAAACATTAAGCATTAGACTAGCAAGAACAAAAAAAAAAGAAAAAAATTAAAAAAAAAAAAAAAAGAAAACACACAAAAAAAATAAAAACAAGCCAGAAGAAGAAGAAGAAGAAGAAGAAGAAGAAGAAGAAGAAGAAGAAGAAGAAGAAGAAAAGAATAGCAACTGCGGCCCTGACCGGTGTGGCTCAGTGGATAGAGCATTGACCTGCGGACTGAAGGGTCCGGAGTTCGATTCCGGTAAAGGGCATGTACCTTGGTTGTAGGTAGCATATATCCAGTGGGAGGTGTGCAGGAGGCAGCTGATGGATTCCTTGCTCATAGATGTTTCTAACTCTCTATCCCTCTCCCTTCCTCAAAATTAATGGAATATATTAAAAAAAAAAAAAAAGAAAGAAAGAAAGAAAGAAAGAGAGAAAGAAAGAAAGAAAGAAAGAAAAGACAAAAAGATCAACTAGGCCCTGGCTTGCTTGGCTCAGTGGCTAAAGCCTCGGCCAGCAGACCAAAGGGTCTCAGGTTCAGTTTGGGCCAAGGGCACATGCCTGGTTGCGGGCTGGATCCCCAGTGGGGGGCATGCAGGAAGCAGCCAATTGATGATTCTCTCTCATCATTGATGTTTCTATCTTTCTCCCCCTCTCCCTTCCTCTTGGAAATCAATAAAAATATTTTTATTTTATTTTATTTTTTTATTTTTATTTTTTAAAAACTGGCTCAAGCCAAAACGAGTTTGGCTCAGTGGATAGAGCATCGGCCTGCGGACTGCAAAGTCCCAGGTTCAATTCCTGTCAAGGGCGTGTACCTTGGTTGCGGGCACATCCCCAGTAGGGGGTGTGCAAGAGGCAGCTGATGGATGATTCTCTCTGATCAATGTTTCTAACTATATCCCTCTCCCTTCCTCTCTATTAAAATATATATATATATATATATATATTTGAAAAAAGAAAAAAAAAAAAGACTGTCCTTATCCCATTTGCAAGAGGGGGCGGCGAGACCCAGAGAGGTTGACTTGCTCAAGGTCACAGGGCGAGGGGGAGGCGCTGGGATGCAAACCCGGTGCGGCGGGCTCCAGAGCAGGTGCCCTTGGCTGCTGCACGGTCCCGCCCTGGAGAGCCAGGCGGGGGAGGGTCTCACCTTTCCGGGCCCCGGGGACCCGCGTGGTGTTGAAGATCTTCTCGTACTGGGCGGAGCACAGGGGCCGCATGCCCATCAGCAGCGTCTGCGGGAGACCGGGGCTCGGGAGCTGCCCCCCAGGGGCCCCCGCAGCCCCGCGGCCACGGCCCCCGCCCCGGGCGGCCCTCACCGGCAGGATCTCCTGGCGCTCCAGGCGCTGGCGGTACAGCAGCAGCGCGTGCACCGCGTTCCCGGCCCGGGCGGCCTGCACCGGGGTGGGCGTGACGTACAGGAAGTCCTGGGCGCCGAGGGGGGGACAGCAAAACGCCTGGGGTCAGGCTTGCCCCGGACCCCCACACACAGGCCCTGCCCCCCACAGAGGGCGAATGGGGAGTTCAAGACTGTGATGGGGTCCCTGACCCTAAACCCTACCCCCGTCTCCCGCTCACCATCATGTAATAGTTGCTGTTCACCATCAGCGGGTTGCGGGAGCGAAGGTATACGAACTCTTCCCACCAGTCACTGACCTGGCGATGGGTCACACAGACACGGAGCTGGGGTGACGGGGCCCATGCAGGAGGGACAGGGGGAGGGTCCACCACCCGAGTCTTGGCTGTGTCTAACGGGGAGGGCGGGGCCCAAAGCAGGAGGCCAGCCCGGTCAGTCACTAGCAACACTCTAGAAGCTATTATAGCCTCACGCTACGGAATATTACGCAGCTGTTAAAAAGGTCAAGCTGTGCCGAAACCGGTTTGGCTCAGTGGTAGAGCGTCGGTCTGCGGACTGAAAGGTCCCAGGTTCGATTCCGGTCAAGGGCACATTCCCAGTAGGAGGATGGCAGGAGGCAGCTGATGGATGTTGCTCTCTGATCGATGTTTCTAACTCTCTATTCCTCTCTCTTCTTCTCTGTAAAAAAATCAATAATAAAAAATATATATGTATTTTGCTGAAACCAGTTTGGCTCAGTGGTAGAGCGTCGGTCAGCAGACTGAAAGGTCCCAGGTTCGATTCCGGTCAAGGGCATGTACCTTGGTTGCGGGCACATCCCTGGTAGGGGGTGTGCAAGAGGCAGCTGGTCGATGTTTCTCTCTCATCGATGTTTCTAGCTCTCTATCTCTCTCCCTTCCTCTCTGTAAAAAATCAATAAAAAAAAGAGTACTGTTTTAAATATATATATATATATATATTATTTATATAAACATCAGAGCATAAAGAGAGGGCTCACACTGCTGGCAGAGGAGAGTGTTCAGAGTGCTGAGAGTGCAGAGGAGCTTGGACTATTGGAGCATTTGGGGCTGGGTTTCCATCATTGGAGCGCGGGGGCGGGGCTGACTGAGTAGGAGGCGGGGCCCAGAATGCCTGGCGTCTCGGGCCTCCAATTGCCGCAGGGCCTCAGGGCTGTGGGCGGGGCTGACTGAGCAGGGGGCGGGGCCCAGAATGCCTGGCGTCTCGGGCCTCCAATCGCCGCAGGGCCTCGGGGCTGTGGGGCGGGGCTTACCCCGCCGGGGGCGGGGGTTGGCTCAGACTCCGCCCTCCCCACAGGCACTCACGTAGTTGGACGCCCACCAGGACTTGAGCCGCAGGTACCACTGCAGCAGCGCCGCCTGCAGCCGCAGGAACTCCTGCGCCAGCCCCGCCGTCCAGGCGAAGTCCTCGTCCGAGAGGACAGGCCTGACGGACTCCAGGTACTGAGGGAGGAGGCGGAGGAGCAGGTGGGTCACGCCCAAGCGCCCTCCCCGCCCGCCCCGCCGCCTCCCCCATCCAGGGCCCGGCCCACCTTCCGCACGGTGTCCTGCGCGGAGGGCACCGGCTGGCGCGGCAGGGAGCGCTGGTAGCTGAAGAGCATTGGGCGGCGGCCGGAGAAGATGCGGACCAGGGCCTGGGGGAGAGGGGCTTGTGGGTCATTAAACCCACAGGGCAAATGCGACAGATACCCACCCCCCAAACAAGGGGGGGAAGGAGACCCAGGAGAGAGGGGGCAGAGACCCAGAGAGAGGGGGACAGACACCCAGAGAGAGGGGGGCAGACATCCAGAGAGAGGGGGGCAGACACCCAGAGAGAGGGGGACAGACATCCAGAGAGAGGGGGGCAGACACCCGGAGAGAGGGGGGCAGAGACCCGGAGGCAGGGGGACAGGGACCCGGAGGGAGGGGGACAGACACCCGGACAGGGACCCGGAGAGAGGGGGACAGGGACCCGGAGGGAGGGGGACAGACACCCGGAGGGAGGGGGACAGGGACCCAGAGATAGGGGGACAGAGATTCAGCGAGAGGGGGGCAGAGACCCAGAGAGAGAGGGACAGGGACCCAGAGAGAGGGGACAGGGAGCCGGAGAGAGGGGACAGGGACACAGAGAGAGGGGGACAGGGACCCAGAGAGAGGGGGACAGGGACCCGGAGGGAGGGGGACAGGGACCCGGAGGGAGGGGGCAGGGACCCGGAGAGAGGGGACAGGGACCCGGAGAGAGGGGGACAGAGACCCAGAGAGAGGGGGGCAGAGACCCAGAGAGAGGGGGACAGAGACACAGAGAGAGAGGGGGACAGAGACACAGAGAGAGGGGGACAGGGACACAGAGAGAGGGGGACAGAGACCCAGAGAGAGGGGGGCAGAGACCCAGAGAGAGGGGGACTGGGAGCCGGAGAGAGGGGACAGGGACCCGGAGGGAGGGGGATAGGGACCCGGAGAGAGGGGACAGACACCCAGAGATGGGGGGACAGAGACACAGAGATAGGGGGATAGGGACCCGGAGAGAGGGGGGGACAGAGACCCAGAGAGAGGGGGACAGAGACACAGAGATGGGGGGACAGGGCAGGGCTCCACCCTCACATACCAGCCAGGTCTTGGTGGGCGAGGACATGGCCCCGTGGGGCTCCAGGAGCCAGCCGTGGTAGGACAGCAGCAGCCTCAGCGCCAGGTGAAGTGTGAAGATCAGGGCGCCCCACAGGCAGGAGGCGAACAGGGCGGCCGCCAGGACCCCCCGGAGCCTGTGGTGCTGGCCGCCCCTGGGCGGAGAGAGAGGGTGGGCGGTCTCCTGGCCTCCGAACCCGGCCCGCCAGCCTCGCCGGGCACCTGCCCTTCCTCACGGTCCTCACTGGGCTCCTGGCTGCTGAGGCTTATCTTGGTGAACCAGGGTCAGCCAGAGAGCCAGGGCCTCCTTTGTGAAGAGGCAGGATCCTCTCTCAGCCCCTCCTCCTCCTCCAGAGACTGTGGGGACCCCCCCGCCACCCGTTTCTAAAAGCACTCCTCACGGTCTCATGGAAATCGGTAGGTGCTTACGTGGTATTTCTGCCGAAACCAGTTTGGCTCAGAAGACAGAGCGTCAGCCTGCAGACTAAAGGGTCCCGGGTTCGATTCCGGTCAAGGGCATATACCTTGGTTGCGGGCACATCGCCAGTAGGAGGCATGCAGGAGGCAGCTGATCAATGATTCTCTCATCATTGATTCCCTCTCTCTCTCTCTCTCTCTCTCTCTCTCTCTCTCTCTCTCTCTCTCCCTTCCTCTCTGAAATCAGTAAAAATAAAAAATAAAAACGAAAACTCCAATACCTAAACTGGTGAAGTGTCTTACCTAAAAGTGCACAATCAGAGACTAGCAGAGTTCACACTGGCATTAATATGCGTAACCATATGAGACATTTTCTAGTTTGTCACCATCCCTCTTAACAAGAAGCAGCCAGGATGGAAAGCAGAGAGAAAAGCACCTCCTTTTTTACTGAGGCCGTACCTTTAGTAATCTGTCCCAAAGTAGCAATCAGAGGTTACTTTCCATAGCAGGCACAGCACACTGACAGAGCAACTTACCAGGTGGTGGGAAAGGAACCAGGGAGGTTACTGGGCTGCAGTGGGAACTCACCAGTCTGGCAGCAACTCTTTAATCTTCTCCGTCAGGCCCAAGGAAGGGTCCAGCTGGAGGAACCAGGCGAGCTGGATGGCGCTGAAGAGGAAGAGCCAGCTGAGGGGGCTGGCGGGGAACACGCCCGCGAGAAAGTCGTTCTGTGGGGAAGGAAGAGCGTCCATGCAATCGCATTCTCTAAGCACAACCCTCAGACATTGATCGAGCGCCCAGTGTGTGCTGGCTTCTGAGCGGGGTGCCCAAGACCCAGGGGCAGCAGAATGATCTAGAGTCTGTCCTCAGGGAGGTCAGTCAAGAAACCGGTGTGGCTCAGTGGATAGAGCGTCGGCCTGCGGACTGAAGGGTCCCAGGTTCGATTCTGGTCAAGGGCATGTGTCTTGGTTGTGGGCACATCCCCCGCGGGGGGGGAGGGGTGCAGAAGGCAGCTGATTGATGTTTCTCTCTCATCGATGTTTCTAACTCTCTATCCCTCTCTCTTCCTCTCTGTAAAAAATCAATAAAATATATATTTTTAATTAATTAATTAATTTATTTATTAAATATATATTTTATTGATTTTTTACAGAGAGGAAGGGAGAGAGACAGAAAGCCAGAAACATCAATGAGAGAGAAACATCGACCAGCTGCCTTTTGTACACCCCCACCGTGGATGTGCCCGCAACCAATGTACATGACCCCGACCAGAATCGAACCTGGGACCCTTCAGTCCGCAGACCGACGCTCTACCACTGAGTCAAACCGGTTTCGGCTTAATAAAAAATATTTTTAAAAAATTACTTTTGTTGCTACTTCATAGCTGTAAATTTGCTGCTGTTATGGATTGTAATGTAACTATCTATTGAGAGAGCCGCTGCTGTGAGCCATCGGCAAACAGATATTTACATGGGGGGGGGGGGGTCAGGGAGAACGCGTACCTAAGCGAAGGGCTGGGTGCAGTGTGTCAGACAGCGCTAGGCGCAGTGGAGAAAAATAAAACAGGGAAGGGGTCGGGGGAAGGGCCTGCACTTATTGAGCACCTGCTGAATGCCTGGCTCCGAGCTGTGCATTCAGCAGGTGCTCAATAAGTGTCACTACGGCGATCCTTTCCATTGCTACTACTCTACTGTTCCTTGGGGTTTATTTACTTTGGCTTGGCAGGAAACATTACAGGCAAACGTGGTTATTTTTGTTTCTTTCTTTTTTGTGAATCCTCACCTGAGGATACTTTTTTTCATTGAGAGAGAGAGAGAGAGAGAGAGAGAGAGATAGAGAGAGAGAGGAGTAACATCGATGTGAGAGAGATACATCAACTAGTTGCCTCTCCCAGGCACCGGGGCCAGGGGTGGGGAGAAAACTGTAACCCAGGTTACACCAACCACTGAGCCACCCTGCCTGGCAGGACCACCCACTTTAACTCCTGGAGATGAGTGGGAAAGCTGAGAAGTGCGCCATGGGAAGGGGACTGAGTTCTAGAAATTGGGGTGGAAGTGGAGTCTGGGGGTGTGGGGAAAGCGGGGGTCCCAGAAGTGGGTGCAAGCGGTGAGTAGGGGTTCCTTGTGGGTGAGGCTGAGGACCCCAGACCAGGAAACAGCTGTAAGGAGCCCTGGGCGGGACAGAGTTCCCGGAAGCAGGATCCCCGAGGGAGCCCCCCGCAGCCCTGCTCACCCAGAAGCGGGCGAGGTGCCTCTTCCAGGAGCGCAGTCCGGACAGGTAGATCTCCTGCAGCAGCGCGCCCGGGGCCGCCTCCGCCCCCGAGGGCAGCGCCGGCCCGGAGCCCACGGCCTGGTGCGCCTCCGCCATGTCCCGCCGGCCCTGGGAGGACAGAGGCCCTGAGCCCCCAGCCCGCTGCTCCCGCAGACCCGGGGGGCCAGGCCTCAGTCCCTCCTCCCTCAGACCCAGGAGCCCAGGCCCCCAGCCCCTCCTCCCTCAGACCCAGACCCCAGCCCCCCTCCCTCAGACCCAGGAGTCCAGGCCCCCAGCCCCTCCTCCCTCAGACCCAGGGGTCCAGGCCCCCAGCCCCTCCTCCCTCAGACCCAGGGGTCCAGGCCCCAGCCCCTCCTCCCTCAGACCCAGGGGTCCAGGCCCCAGCCCCTCCTCCCTCAGACCCAGGCCCCAGTCCCTCCTCCCTCAGACCCAGACCCCAGCCCCTCCTCCCTCAGACCCAGGGGTCCAGGCCCCCAGCCCCCCCTCCCTCAGACCCAGGGGTCCAGGCCCCCAGCCCCTCCTCCCTCAGACCCAGGGGTCCAGGCCCCCAGCCCCCCCTCCCTCAGACCCAGGGGTCCAGGCCCCCAGCCCCTCCTCCCTCAGACCCAGGGGTCCAGGCCCCCAGCCCCCCCTCCCTCAGACCCAGGGGTCCAGGCCCCCAGCCCCTCCTCCCTCAGACCCAGGGGTCCAGCCCTCCAGCCCCCCTCCCTCAGACCCAACCAGCTCCCCCTTCCTAAGCACCTGAGGGTTGAGGGTCCCAGCCAGACACTTGGTGCTGGGGGGACCTCAGTTGGGACCTCTGTGAACCCACACACAGGCGGGAGGGCTAACTGGTGTCTGTGCTGAGGATGCGGTGCGGGGCAGTGCCTTCTCCCAATAGAGGACTTTCAAAATTCGGAGGTGGAGCGGGGGCGGGGGGCGGCGGAGAGGGGGAGTCCGTCCAGGGTGAGTTACGGGGTCTCCGAGGAAAATATCAGACCTGGACCCTCTTGAAACAAACACCTGTCCGACGCTGCCACTGCCCATCCGTTTCCGTTTCCCATCCCAAGGCCGGGTAGGGTGGGGTGGGGTGGGAGAGGGTAGGGTGGGGTGGGTGAGGGTGGGGTGGGTGGGTGAGGGTAGGGTGGGGTGGGTGAGGAAGAGGGTGGGGGAACTGTCTATCATGCACCGGCTCCGGGTTGGCCCGGCGCCCCCTCCCCCGCAGCAGGGGCCGGCGGGGGTGGGGGAGGGAGCCCTCCACTGCGCATGCCCCGCAGCCAGGGATGCTGCGAGGACAAGTGATGGAGAAGCTGGACGCCCAGCCTGAGACCCGGGCTCCCGCCCCCGCTGCGGCTTGGCCCCTCCCGTCCGTACTTACTCCGCCGGGCAGGGGTCCGCCGATGGGGGCCTGGCGACCAGGCCGGCTCACCCCTCCCCGACCCCCGGTGCGGAGCGCCAGGCCCGTCCCCCACTCGCATAGAGATGTGCGGCCCAGGGCGGCGAGTCCGCGACCTGGCCGAGGGGCTTCAGGGGTTCCTGCGCGCCCCGACCATCCACCACCCAGGACCCCCGACTTCTGTCCAGCGTGTGCCTCCCCTGGTTGTCCCCGCCCCTTCCAATCCCAGCTCCCTGTCCCCGCCCCCTCCCGATGGCGCTGCGCTGTCCCCGCCCCCCGAGCCCCAGCCTCCAATCCGCTCCCAGCGTGGGCCCCCGCTGTCCCTCTGTCCCCGCCCCCTCCCGATGGCGCTGCGCTGTCCCCGCCCCCCGAGCCCCAGCCTCCAATCCGCTCCCAGCGTGGATCCCCGCTGTCCCTCTATCCCCGCCCCCTCCCGATGGCGCTGCGCTGTCCCCGCCCCCCTAGCCCCAGCCTCCAATCCGCTCCCAGCGTGGGTCCCCGCTGTCCCTCTCTCCCCGCCTCCTTCTCCATCAGCCGCCGGCGTTCTACGCAGCATCTGTCCTCTGAGCCCCAGGTTTCCGGGGATCCGGTGGTCAGACCAGAAAGAGCAGAGACTGAAACATGGGTATCACCTTTTATTTGGCTTGGGATGTTAATATTCTGTCCATACTGGTTCTGGGGTGCCCCTGGGCCTAGCCCAGTCGGGGGGGGGGGGGAATATGATATCTGGGCAAGTCCATATAGAACTAGGAGGAAACTTGGGGTTGTGGCCCCAATATACAGATGGGTAAACTGAGGCTAGGAGAGGTGCAGAGGTGTTCAATGTCACCAGCAAGCTGAACACTGCAGGCCTCACTGCCATGGGTCCAGCTCAACTTTCCTGAGCTCCTTGGCGGAGGCAGAGCAGAGCCAATATTTGGTCTCTGGCAGGTGGTACATTTGGCATGCCCCAGGGAACAGAGGGCCACTGAGGAGCGTGATACCGAGGGATGAGCAAGCCACTGGAGAAATGGGACCGGCAACCAATAGGGCAGCTCTGAGGTGCCTCCCCCTTCCTAGCCGAACACCCCTGGCTCAGAGCTCCTTGTAGGCATGTTCCCGACATCACCAACCTTTTCTTTTTTACTTTACTTTTTGATTTTTTACAGAGAGGAAGGGAAAGAGATGGAGTTAGAAACAATGATGAGACCGACCAGCTGCCTCCTGGACACCCCCTACTGGGTACATGCCCTTGACCAGAATCGAACCTGGGATCCTTCAGTCCACAGGCAGACACTCTATCCACTGAGCCAAACCTGTTAGGTCTCCATACCCTTTCTCGCCTGCCCAAGGAGCCTGGACCCCAGGTTGGGAGCTGTAGCAGCAGGTGGGTGCTGGTCACCAGAAAAACCAGTGAGTGGAGTTGCCCCCCGGGGGCAGTGCTCTGCCAGGGTATAGATGTAGCCCAAGGAGTCAGGGACCAACCCCCACCTCCCAAGAGTAAAACAGGCCCGTCTCTGGGGCCACACGGAGCCAGAGAGGCAGGATTAGAACCCAGATCCCCACCTCCTCCTCTGCTACGGGGAGCCCTCAGGGGTACTGGGGTGGTGCCTCAGGAGAGGCAATTCTAAGGCCTAGGAAAGAGGGACAAGACAGCTGACATTTTTCCTTTTTTTTTTTTTTTAATGTTTCATGTTTTTATTTTTTTTTTACAGAGAGGAAGAGAGAGGGATAGAAACATTGATGAGAGAGAAACTTTGATCAGCTGCCTCCTGGGGATGTGCCTGCAACCAAGGCACATGCCCTCGACTGGAATCGAACCCAGAACCACTCAGTCTGCAGGCTGACACTCCATCCACTGAGCCAAACCCGTCAGGGCACAGCTGACACTTTCAAGTGGTGTCAGCATCTGGTTCTAAGGGGTGGGACAGGGGAAGCTCTGGGCTCCACTATAGACCAGACTCACCCTCACCATGGAGACTCTACCACCCAAGGCCCCTGGGGACAGGGACAGAGCCGGGCTCAGCACTGCCAGTGTGGACACCAGCCCGCAAGCTAGGGCTCAGCAGGCAGAGTAGGTGCTGTGCCAGGCGATCCAGGTGCTGGGGGTGGGGCTCTGGACGAGGGCACGGGACGGTGGTGGATGAGGACTCCACGCCTGGCACGGTGAAGGTCATGGGACTTTGGTGCCCACCTCTGAGGGGGGGAGGCTGTTACCCTAAGATAGGACCCCCACCTCAGATACCTGCCCCCCCAAAGGAATTCTGACCCCCAATGCAACTCCTCTGCAGCTGAGTTTCTTAGCTGCCGAGGGCAGGAGAGGACTCAGTGCCAGGCAGCCCTGGCATGGCACTGGAGGGGCCTGGACAAAAAAGGCAGAGGAATTGTGTTGGGGGAGGCAGGAAATGGCCTTCCCTATACTGGGAACCCACACCCAATCCGCCACCAGCCTGGCAGTGCAGCTGGAAGCAGAATCATGCCCAGTGGGCACAAAAGATAATGGTGACTCAGAGACAATAGAGGGGGGTGGGGGTGGGGGGGACAGACTCACTCTGGGGGGGGGGAGAGGGAAGAGATCCTAGGAGGGAGCAAGAGGTGAGTAGGGACAAGACTCAGGGCTGTGGTGAGACAGAACTAGACACAAGCGAGGACAGAGACCTCCAGCTGTCATCCGGGTACTCCTGGCGGCTCAGACTGAGACCTCAGCACCTGCACACGGAACCCCGCCCCCCGGAAGCCACGCTGTCCCAGCTGAGGATTTATTGGCATAAATGTAACCATATAAAAACATAAGTTATGAAAAACAGTCACGAGGTGCCCTCCCCCCACCCTCCCATCCCGGGCGGGCCCAGGCCCCTGCGACTCCCTTCAGAGAAAGGGGCGGAAGGGGGGCCTGGACCCTCGGAAATGCGGCGGCCGCTGGGCCCGCGGGCCGGCCGGCAGGGGGGGGGGGACACCGGGCTCTCAGCGCATCCGGTAGTCCGTGGAGCAGGACAGCTCGCACAGCTGGCCCTTGAAGTCCAGGTCAATGGTGAAGTCCAGGTCGCGCTGCGGGGAGAGGAGGACATGAGGGACCGGAGGGCAGGGGGTGCAGGCCCGGGCCCACCCTCCCTGGAGACCCGAGGGCCCTGCTGTTAGCCGTGTCCAGGATGGTCCGAGCACCTGCGCTGGACCCGGACTCCCGGCAGCACGTGTGGCACCAACCCCACCTGGTCCCTCGGGGCAGAGCTCAGCTGCCTGGCCTCGCTCAGGACTCTTTCTTCCTGAGACCCACCCCCATCAGCAAAACAGCATGTCTTCCCGTGTAAAAGCGAACCCCTCTCTCAACCACACTCCCTCCTCCTGAACACTTGACAGCAGAACAGTCCCCCGCTGGCCTCACTCCCAATCCGCCCCCCACCCCTGCCCTGAAGCCGCGGGCTCTCCCCGGGATGCTGCCCTCGGTCCCCTCACCTGCCTCCCTGCTCCCCCCCCCCCTCAGGCTGTCTCTCTCTCCAGTTTGGGGTGTCTCAGCCCCCACACTACCGGCACTCGGGGCCACTCTGCCATCCTGTGCACCCCCAGCCCCTACCCACCAGATGCCACTAGCACCCTTTCGTCTGTAACACCCCCCAGGTCTCTTGTGGCCAACATCACCCGGGGCACAGGCTCCTGCTTTAATGGGCTTGTCTCCCCGACTTGGGAAGTGGGTGCTTTTTGGGCCACTCCCTCCACGCTCCTGGGCACCACCCAGCCTTCCACACAGGCCCCATGTTTTGGTGCAGAGCAGCCCCCCCCCCCCCCCCCGCAGGAATCAGACCCTCCTCCCCCCACGGAGGCCCAGCTGGAGCCCTGACTCTGCCCCCCACCTGCTCCGTCCCCCAACCCCCTGGATGGCAGCTGTGCAGCCAGGGGTGCAGAGGGACAAATGGCCCGTCCTCCTCTGCGTCCCTCAATCCCCAGGCTCTCCTCCGGCTCCTCAGCCGGCCCGCCCTCACCAGCTTGGCCCGGTCCCTCCAGCTGCCATTTACCAGGACTGTGACCACGGGAACAGGGGTTCAGCCTGACCGCGGCTGGGTCCCCAGAGCCCGGACAGGCAGCGGCGCCCCCAGCCCACCCCGTGCCCAGCCTCACGTTGTTCTTGGCGTTGGGCCGCATGCCGATGGTGCCGAAGATCTCCTCGCCCGTCTTCACCGTCAGGTAGTCCTCCATGTAGAACACCGTCTGCTTCCAGTGCGTGTACGGGGACTCGGGGCCTGAGGGCGAGCCGGGTCAGCCGGCTGGCCCCTGCCCTTCCCTCTGCCTGGCACCCGCCCATGGCTGCTCACGGAGCGCTGACCGGGGCCAGCCGCCCGCGAATCCCTCCCCCCGCCGCCCTCCCCCCTCCCCCCCGTCCCGCCTGGGCCTCAGGTGGGGAAACGGAGGCAGCGGGGCGGACTCACTGGTGGAGAAGCCGGTGCGCTTGTGGCAGCGCGTGAACTCGATGTTGAAGTAGGCCACCAGCGCGTGCACGTAGTCGTTGCGCTTCACTTGCAGGCAGAAGGGCGAGGTGAAGGTCAGGTCCTCCACCTTCACCGTGTAGATGTCCACCTCCTGCCGGACAGGCCGTGAGCCCCGCCGCCGCGCCGGCCGGGCCGAGGCCGAAAGGGGCGGATTCCGCTCCCTCCTCCCCACCAGAACCGCAAACCCGAGTTTATCCCTGGACCTGCCACTTCACATGAACGACCCGATCACCCCTCCCCACGGGGCTCCCTGCTTCTGCCCCCGCCCCGCCCCCATAACTGAGCTGGGCCCGTCCATCACCACGGTGACGGCTGCAGACCAAGCCCGGCACACGGTGCCAAGCCCCTGCTCCAGCCCCGGACGGCTCCTGGCCGCGCTCAGAACTAAGCCCTGGTCTGACGCAGCCCCAGAGTGACAGGGGACGTGGCAGGGAGGGAGCTCAACAACTGATCGCAGCCAGGACCCTTTCCTTGTGAGATCAACTCGATCCTGGCCCGCTTCTTGCATTTGGTGTTCAGCGGAGCCCTGTGGGGGTCTTAGCTGCCGGCCAGTGTTCCCCTGGAAAGTGTCCCCGGCAGGGCAAGCCCAGCTCCATGGGTTCCGTCTTGGAACCACGGGCCTTGGCTGGCCCAGAGCGTTTTCATGGATGACACGGCTTCGCTGGGCCTCTAGCCTCACCGTGGCTGACAGGCGAGGAGCCCAAGACCTGAGGCCAGCACTCTGCGCCCTGACGTCTCCCATGCAGGGCAGGAGCTGGTCCTTCCTCGGTTTCAACCCTGGGGGACCTGGCCAGCCCATCCCCTCACCTTGATGAGGCAGGCATTGGTGACCAGCTGCTTGGGGTCCACCACGTCCACCAGGGGCTCCTTGATGGCCACGTCTTTGATGCAAGACATGTCAAAGCCATACACGTTCTCCCACCCTGGAGGAGGCAGGGAGCAGGGGTGAGCACACCTGGGCGCCCGGGTCAGCCGGAGCCCGCCCAGCCCACAAGCTCCTGGGGCCCGAGCTCACAGTGGATCTTGTAGTCTTTGTACTGCCGGTCCTCGATGGCCGTCACGTACAGCGTGGCCCGGTCTGGGAAGATGAGGCCATCGGGTGCCTGTGTGAGGGCAGGGGAGGGGAGGGGGCCTTAAACACTGCAGCCCAACCTCTCCCACGTGACTCTTTATCTGCCTCCTGAGCCACTGACTCCTCCCACCCGGGCTCCTGCCGGCCTCAGGGTCCCCTGCTCTGTCCTCGCCCCAAATCACTCCCCACATGGCTGTCAGGTGGAATCTCGGGCACCTAAAAGAGACCTGCCCGGAGGTTCTCAGGGGTCGTCAGAACCCGCCCTGGCTCCTGAGAGGGAAAGCAATGTCTCATGAGGGTCACAAGGCCCCTCCACCCCTCACCTCCACCTCCTACTGCTCTTCCAGATGCTCATTTCACTAGCTTCCCTGTTTCTCCTCAACACACAGCACATCCTGCCCCAGGACCTTTGCACTGGCTGAAATCCTATCCAGTGTGTTCTTCCCTTCGGATGCAGAGCCTGTGTGGCCACTTCCCCTCCTCTGATCAAGTCTCAGCCATCCCCTTGGGGGTTCCCTCTGCTTGGCACGTCTCTGGTGTGAGACCCTGAGGGACTCGCACCCCCTTCCCCATCCCCCACCCCCGTCCCTCCCTGCCCCTCTGCCCCAGCACTAGCACCTCCTGACCATCTGCCTGTCACCATGTGGCTCCCCAAAATTGTTCTCCTCATTTGCCTGTGGGCCCTCCAACAGCTGCCAGGGCGATCCTGTGTGGGAGACACCTGGCCCCCACGGACCCGCGCCCCACACGCTCGGGACCCAGCCGCACGCCCGCCCTGCCAGGGCCTCACCAGCCACTTGTCTCGGGCGTAGAGCACGGTGTTGAGCATGGACTCGTAGAAGAGACAGTAGCCCATCCACTCGCTGATGATGATGTCCACCTTCTCCACAGGAAGTTCCACCTCCTCCACCTTCCCCTTGATGATGGTCACCACTGCAGGGGCAGAGGGGCACAGCCTGTCTGACTGCCTGCCTCTGGGGATCCAGGGCCTGGGGACCCCACTAGGGCAGCCCTTGTCTTCTGAAGCAAGAGCTGGGGGCTAGCCGGGACCGGTTTGGCTCAGTGGATAGAGCATTGGCCTGGGGACTGAAAGGTTCGATTCCGGTCAAGGGCATGTACCTTGGTTGCGGGCACATCCCCAGTAGGGGGTGTGCAAGAGGCAGCTGATCGATGATTCTCTCCCATTGATGTTTCTAACTCTCTATCCCTCTCTCTTCCTCTCTGTGAAAAATCAATAAAATATATTAAAAAAAATAAAATAAAAGAGCTGGGGGCTACATGTGGGCATCTCCAGAGGACTCTGCCAGCTGAAGCACACCTGCTCACTCAGTTTTAAAATCACTCGCTCTACATTTCCTGAGCCAGAAGCAGAAATCTTACGTGGATTAGGCAGTGGGTGATGTGAAGGTTTTGCCGATCATCTATTAGAAACATACACAGCAGGATCTAAATGGCATCACATCTGGAATTTGCTTCCAATGGACACATTTACAGAGTGTTGGGGACAGGGGGTCACTATACTAGTCTTGCTAAGAAAGAAAGAATCACTCCAGTTACTAAATGCTAGGGGCCTTCACACTCTCTGCCCCTCACACCTTACAGGAAGGAACTCAAAGGCCATCTTGGCAGCATCTACCCACTTCCATGTCTGACCCATGGGATAGAACTTTTATAAATGGGCCTCACAGATGTGCCAGTTACTGTGGAATGGCATTAGAAATCTCAGCCCGGGTATGTGTGGATCAAAAAGAACAAGACCCTCTCAACGTCCTGCAACATGTTCACCGACACGACGACCGGAGAGAAAAAGTAAAGGGGCCGGGCTGGTGTCGCTCAGTGGTTGAGTCCCAACTATGCACCAGAAAGTCACGGTTCGATTGCTGGTCAGGGCACATGCCTGGGTTGCAGGCTTGGTCCCAGTAGGGGGCGTGTAGGAGGCAGCCAATCAATGATTCTCTCCCATCACTGATGTTTCTCTCTCCCTTCCTCTTTGAAATCAATAAAAGGGTGGTTTTTTTTTTTTTTTTTTAAATAAGAAAAAGCAAAGGGAAAGGCTTGTGTGAAATGCCGTGTGTAAAAATGACGCACATAGATATGTAAAAACCTTTACATGCACGTGTGCTCGCAGGTAGAGGCCTGGGAGTGTTGGCTGGGCGCCTTCTCACGTGGGCCCGCATGACCTACTCGCTGAAAAATCCAAAGGCTGCTTCTTGCCTAACGTTGCAGGGTAAGGGACTAAGTCTGGGACTTCAGCACTTAGATGCTAAGACAGCAGGGCCTGCTCATCAGGTTTCGGGCTCTGAGAAGGTGGAATTCTCAGAGCCCACCGGAGAGGATAAGCTGAATTGGCGTTTAGCGGCCCCCTCCCTCCTGCCCAGGGCCCAGGGGAGCTGCGCCCGCCCGTCCCATCCGCACAAACCCATCCTCCTCCCGGGCTCACCGTGGTCTAGCTTGTTGGCTTTGACGATCTTCACCGCGTAATCAGAGATGCTGGAACACTCGATCTGGGGTCCAGGAAGAAGTGAGGGTGAGCCCCCCCTTCTGCACAGTCCCATCCTCACCCCCCCCCCCCTCTACCCGATCCCTGAGCCCCAAGGGTCCCTTTCCGCCCCAGGGCCCACGCCCACCCGGCTGTCCAGTCCAGGACACTCACCCCGATGACCCTGCGGGCCCCGGCCTTGGCGGCGAACATGCAGAGGATCCCCGTGCCCGAGCCCACGTCCAGCACCACCTTGTCCTTGAAGAGGTGCCGGTTGTGGAACATGGAGTTGCGGTAGGTGAGGGTGCGCACCTCGTCTTTCAGCATCTCCTGGGGAGAAAGTCACGGAGGCACCATGAGGGGCCTGCGCTCACGGCTGGAAACGGGGTGTCTGGCCTCTGACATGCTAACCGTTTGGAGAGTCAGAGCTGAGCCCTCCCACTCGCTTAGTCCCTTTGGAACAAGTTATTTCCTTGCAATGTGCCTCAGTCTCCCCATCTGTAAAATCAGACCGGATAGACTAACCTCCCTTCTAGATCAGCCAGGTCCTACCACCGCCTCCTAAGCCTCAGCTGTATTTGCTTTGAAAAGTCCTCTGCAGCCGAAACCGGTGTGGCTCAGTGGAATCGGCCAGGGTTCGATTCCGGTCAAGGGCATGTACATTGGTTGTGGGCACATCCTCAGTGGGGGGTGTGCAGGAGGCAGCTGATCGATGTTTCTCTCTCATCGATGTTTCTAACTTTCTATCCCTCTCCCTTCCTCTCTGTAAAAAATCAATAAAATAAAAAAAAGTCCTAAGGAGCCGGTCAGCGTGAATCGGGGTCACGGTTTGATTCCCAGTCGGGGCACCTGCCTGGATTGGGGGCTTGATTCCCAGTAGGAGGTGTGCAGGAGGCAACTGATCAATGATTCTCTCATCATTGACGTTTTTATCTCTTTCTCTCTCTGAAATCAATAATCCACTGACCTGTACACTCAGGAAAAAGAAAAACAAAAAAAGACCAAAAGAAAAAATCCTCAGAATCCATCCCAACCACTGGGACGTCAGCCTCCCGTGAACCAGAGCAGAGAGGCCATCTGCAGAGACAGGAGCCGCTGGGGGGGGGCAATCCCACCGCTGGCCACTAGGGGGCGACAGAAACCAGCCTGCCCGGGCCTCCAGCTGCATCTCAGCCAAGCTCGTGGGCTCCCACCCCTGCCTCTCCGGAGGGATCCTGAAGAGCACCTGGCTAACCTTGGTCTCCAAGGCAACCGCAGGGAGAGCAGACCCCAGGGCGAGCTTGGGGCATGCGCAGAGGCGCAGCCTGCTGCCAGGGAAGGCAGGGTGCATGGTGGGAAATTCAGTCCCAGCCCTCCCATAAATTAACCTCCGCGGATTCAGCAACCCTGGACGCTGCGGGCACTCACCTCGTGGATTCCAAAGTGGGCGTAGGAATCGAAGTAGTAATCCTTGGACGTCATGTCCTCCGCGTTGGGCTTCTCGGTGCATTCTGTTTGGCCACAGGAGACCTGGGAGAGGGAGGACAGGACCGTGGGTCAAATCTGGGGCTCCCCAACGCCTCTTAAGCCTCCAGGTCCCTACTTCTCCCTGGAATAACCGCCCCAAATCAAGGCGGCCCTACAGCTCCCACCTAACGCTTGCCTCCCCAGAGCCCACAAGCCCCATATTCCTGTGACGGAAGGCCGATACCTCAGCCATGCCTACCATCTCTCCAGTCTCTCTGCCCCCGTCTCTAGCTCAGCCCACAGCTGGGAGGGGAGGGGAAGGCAGGACTGGAGCAGACACGGGGAAGGGCAAAGGGGAGCTGGAAATGGAGTTAAGGAAGCGGCCAGTCTTGGGGAAGGCAAGGTGGGGGGCCACAGACCTGCAGGGAGTGTGTACTGCGTGTTTTCGGGGGGCGGGGGCAAGCTGGTTTGAAGCAAGAGGAATCATGGTTAGACCACGAGAAAGGGCCTGGTGTGTGCAGGGATCTTATATGGGGAGGGGTCTCACAAAAGGATATTTACTTCTTCAAGAGGCGGCTGGAGGCTCATCCCATTAGCCAAGGTGGCTACAAAATTCTAGGAGAGAGGACAGGGAGAAAGGGTTAGCTACCGGGAGTGGCTAGGGGCAGGCCAGGCCAGGGATCCTGGCCGGTAGGCGAGGGGAGTGTTTTCTGCGATTTTCCTTTTCCGTGGTGGGAAGTGGGGGCAGAGAGGGCAGTCATGGGGCAGGGCTTTTTCAAACAGGGAGGGATGAGTCGGGGGGAGGAGAGAGGGCTTCTGTCCCAGCTGTGGCTGGAGAGATGGCGGACGGATCCCGGATCCCAAGCTGCCCCTCTCTGGCCAGGCATCTGACCGTGCACCCCTCCCCCACCCAGCCCAGAGGAACTGGCACCCACCGGGCACACAGGCACTGCCAGCTGTCACCCCCTCCATCATCTAATCCCCCAGCTTAGGTGACACTCCTGACCCTGACACACACACACACCCCGGAGCTGGAGAGCTGGCTGGCAGAGCGTACCCACTGGGCACCTGCCACTTCTGGAAACCAGTCCTTTCATCAGAGGATTCCAGCATGGAGATGTGGCACCCCCACAGGAGCTGGCACCCGGACCCCCAGCTCCCCCTCCTGCTTGGGCTCAGGAAGCCCCAAATGAAACCAGTGGGAGCCAATCTTCTTGCTTATGACCCCCGTGCCCAGATTCTCGGGGGGAGAGGCTGGGCTCTGGACCCTCCAGCCCACCTGCTCCCATTCAGGCACACATCGCAGGCTCGGAAGCCCCCACATGAGACAACCTGGGGGGAAGGTATTCCCTCCCCCCCCTCAGGCCCTGGTCCGGGAGAGAGCCGAGGGGGATGGGAGTCATTGGAGTGACCCTGGGGAGCTGCCTTCCGAGCCCAGAGGCCGTCCAAGGCCAGGGGTGAGAATCCGGCGGCCCCCACCCGATGACAGCCGTGCCCAGGCTGCGGGGAGCGCCAAGCGGGGGGGGGGGGGGGGGGAGGGACGACGACGTGACCCGCAGGGCCCCAGGCCCCACCCCATCCCTGCAACCAGCCAGGATGCCCACAAAGGAGGGCGGCCGGTGGGGGGATTCCCCGTTGGGGCTCATTTCTCAACATCACTCATCTCCCGGCCACACTCATCTCCCCAAATAGCTGGAGCCCGGCGCCGGAGCCAGCGCGCATGGCGGCACGAGAAGCCCCATTTTGGGAAGCCGTTTCAGGCACCCGGGCTCAGGACCCTCCGACATGGCTTCTGGAGGGGGGTTTGGGCGGGGGGAGTACATCTCCCGCCTCCACGAATGCCCAGGGGAGGAATGGGGGGAGAGCTCGCGGCCTCCAGCACGCAGCACCCCCTCCCCCAGACCCCTCCCCTCCCCCGCGGGCGCCGGCGGGGAGGGGGCTCGGAGACACGCCCCGTGAAAAAGACGGCCACCCACACGCCCAGAGATGGCCACCAGGGGGTGCCTGGCGCCTTATCGGGAGAGATCGCCTTCAGCTGGAGGCCCCGCCGCCGCCACCACCGCCGAGAGGTCACAGGGGCATCCCCATCCCCCAGCCCCCGAAGCCCCCGAGGATAATCCAGCGACAGGAAACGGGGGAGAAGGGAAGGGAAGCCGCAGAGAAAACCAAGCCTTTGTCTCCCTCCAATCCTAACCTCAAAAGTGCACAAAACCCGGGCCGATGCCTAAGGAAATGCCCCATTCCCGGGAGGGGGGATGGATGGATGGAGAGGGTCCCGACACACAGCCCCTCCCAGGGGGCCCTGGGCGCAGTCCCACTCGGAAATAGACGTCGCGATCCCCGGGAGGAGCTGGGGGGCCCAGAAGGGCGGGAGCGCCCCCCCCGGGGCGGCCCTCCCCAGGCCGGGGGCGGGGCCTTTGTCCCGCACGTGGAGCCCGCCCGCAGGGCCACCGGGCGCGGCACACCCCCTCCCCACCCGCCGCGCCGCGGCCACGTGGGGGCCAGGCCGGAAGCACCCCCAGCCCGCCTCCACGTGGGGGGGCGCGAGATCCGCGTCAGGGCGGGAGGCCGCAGCGACCCCCCCCCCGAAAGCTGGGGAACCCGCACCGAGACGGCGACCCCGACCCGGAGCATGCGGACCCCCCTCCGCACGGCGGGAGGCCTCGACTCCAATCCGCCGACTCACAGCCCCTTCTCCAAGCCTTCCGACACCGACCCCCAAACCGGCCTCCGCCGCCGGCCGCGTTCCAGACGCTCACCTCCATGATGCAGTTCGCGGTCTCGGCTGCCGCCATGTTCACCCGCTCCTGCTCCTCGAGCCGCCGAGACCCCCCCCCTTCTCCGCACTCTCCCGAGACTGCCTTATACCGGAGAGCCTGAGCCCGCCCACCGAGGCCCCGCCAGGAGATCTCATTGGCGAAGGAGGCGGTCCGTCTGGGAATGCCGTCTACTGATTGGACAAGGAAGACGCCCGTCAAAATCCAGGGACGCGGCTAGCCTGGAGTGGAAAGTCCCGCCCACTGAAGTCGACGGGGATGGGAAAGATTTCTCGTCTGTCACAGGAGCCGCGACTGGTGATTGGGCGAAGCCATCCGGGAGCTCCCGCCCCTTTCCCCGGCACCACCTCAAAGCTTTCCCGACGGGCCCCGCGCTAGCGGACATTTTGAAAGAGATCTGTCCATCACCTCGAGGACCCGCCTCTCATCAGCTGCTATTGGTTCATCTGAAAGGTAAGGTCACGAGGCCTTTAGCGAGCCCCGCCCAGCGGATGGTCTCAAGAACAAGGCGATTGGCCCACGCGGAGAGACGGCTTTATCCGCCAGCGATTGACTCAAAAGAACTGTCACTCACCGCTTATTCATGATGGATTCTCCCAGCCCCGAGGGAGTCTAAGGGAAACGAGGGAGATTTTGCCCATTTACGTGAGGGGGGGGGGGGGGGAATGGAAGACATTAGAGACCCAAAGAGAGGGAGGGCTTGTGCGGGGTCTGGAACCGAGTCGGAAAGGACTCAGGCGTCAGTGCATTCAAAATCCAGCCCCGAGGGGAAGGTGGGGGTCAGAGGGAGAGATCAACCAAAGGACTTGTGTGCATGCATATGGGCCTACCCAGTGGCCATGGACAACGGGGGGTGGGGGCATATGTGGGGAGGGGTTTGGGATGGGAATGGGGGGGGGGAGGATAATTATGTGATACCATAATCAATAAATTTTTTTAAAAAAATCCAGCCCCTCTCCTTAACGGTTCCACGTTTTCTAAACCCAGCGGCCTCCCTCAAACCCTTTGGCCTTTGCCAATTCCCTCCCCCTGCAAGGAACACCCACCTCCCTTTGACAGTCACCTCCTATACATCCATCGGGGCCCAACTCAGACACTGCTTCCTCCAGGGAGCTTTCCCGGATCTGCAGAAAACGCTACTGAGTGAATGAAGATGAATGTAGAACCGTCACCCTGGAAAGTTCCTTCATATAACCCTTTCTACGTTGATTCCTTATCCACCCAACCCCTGAAGGATCGCTTTCTGTTTTCTGCCACTGCAGTGTAGCTTTTCCTTTGCTGGTTTCCTACATTCCTGCATTGTGTCTTTTTGTGTCTTGTGTCTGTCTTCATGCACTCAGCATCATGCTTTTTGGATTCACCCATGTTGCCGCACGCAAAGGTTGTGCAATTCTTCCTATTGCTCAAGAGTATTCCGTTTGTATTGATGTGTTGTTGGGACAAGGGTCTTCAGGCCTGGGAAGTTCCCCATGTTATTACTGTTATTCCTGCTAAATGTTAAAATGTAGCGTAGTATTTCTTAGTTGCAGCTGCAAACAGGATTACTGAACAAGAACTCAGCTAGTAAGTGTAGCCAACTGCAGAGAAGAAATCAACATGTAATGGGCCAAATCCCGATGAGCCATATGGCTAAGCTCCCTCAGGGGGGCGGAGTTTTGGATGGGAATCCCGTCTCCTTTACTCACGGGAGGTAAATAAAACTACATTGCAACAACTGTTTCATTTTTTTAGTAGAATACCCCAAGCAGCGGACCCCTCGAGTTCAGTAACAGTATCGTCCTTTCTTTTCTTTCCTATTGACAGACAGCTGAATAGTGTCCAGATGGGGGCTACTGTGAATCAAGTGGCTAAGAACATTCGTGTGCAAGTCTTTCTGGAGAGACACTTTGTCATTCCTCTTGGGTCAGCCTGGGGGCAGATGACCAGAGTTGCATGCCGGGTGTCCGATTGAGGCTTCGCTTTATAAGGAACTGCCCGCAGCTCACGGGGGTTCTACCATTCTGCATTTCCCTCAGGGATGCATGAAGAGGCCCCCTGCTCCAGGTCCTGGCAGCACTCGATAGGATCTGTCTTTCTTTCTTTCTTTTTAAATATATTTTATTGATTTTTTACAGAGAGGAGGAGAGAGGGATAGAGAGCTAGAAACGTCAATGAGAGAAACATCGACCAACTGCCTCTTGCACACCCCCTACCGGGGATGTGCCCGCCACCAAGGTACATGCCCTAGACCGGAATCGAACCTGGGACCTTTCGGTCTGCAAGCCGATGCTCTAGCCACTGAGCCAAACCGGTTTCGGCAGGATCCGTCTTTCATTTCCACCAGGCTGGTGGGTACACAGTGGGATCCCGCCGGGGTTGTCATCCGTATTGCTCTGACCTCTGCTGCTGAGCGCCTACTCATGGGCTTACTGACCATTCGTACATCTTCCTTTATCAAGTGTCTGCTCACATTCATTTTTCTAGTGTGTATTCTTTTTTGAAAATACATCTTTTATTAAAAAAAATTTTTAATATACTTATTTATTGATTTCAGAGAAGGAGGAAGAGAAAGAAATAGAAACATCAATGATGAGAATCACTGAACAGCTGCCTCCTGCACGCCCCCTCCTGGGGATCAAGCTCACAACCCAGGCATGTGCCCTCGGCCTGGATGGAACCTGGGGCCCTTCACTCTGCAGGCCAACGCTCTATTCACTGAGCCAAACTGGCTAGGGCTATTTTTTAATTTTTTTTTATTGATTTCGGAGAGGGAGAAACAGAAATATCAATGATGAGAATCACCGATCTGCCCCCTGCCTCCTGCATGCCCCCTATGGGGAATCAAGCCCATGACCTGGACATGTGACCGGACCAAGAATCGAACCTCAACCACTGAGCCATGCCGACCGGGCAGAGATTTTAAATTCTGTATTTTGGATAAATAGGGTTAATAAAAATTGTTAAAATTAACTGACTGCCTGGTCGCTGTGGATTAGCGGTTGAACATCGACCCAGGCACCAAAATGTCAATGGTTGGATCCCAGTCAGGGCACGTGCTGGGGCCCCCGTGTTCTCAATCACAGAGAAGGCTCATCTAGTTCCATCAGCCAGAGCTGCCAGGGGTCACAGCCCTCCGAATGGGCGCTACCACTGCGGGTGAGGGAGGTTGGAAGTGGGGTTAGGCCCTGACTGGTGTGGCTCAGTGGATAGTACGTTGGCCTGTGGACTGAAGGGTCCCAGGTTCGATTCTGGTCAGAGGCACGTACACTGGCCCAGGAGGCAGCTGATCAATGTTTCATCGATATTTCTATTTTTTTTTTTAATAAATATATTTTATTGATTTTGTACAGAAAGGAAGGGAGAGAGATAGAGTTAGAAACATCGATGAGAGAGAGTCATTGATCAGCTGCCTCTTGCACACCCCCTACTGGGGATATGCCCGCAACGAAGGTACATGCCCTTGACCAGAATTGAACCCGGGACCTTTCAGTCCCCAAGCCAATGCTCTATCCATTGGGCCAAACCGGATTCGGCCAATGTTTCTATTTTTTTATTTTATTGATTTTTTACAGAGAGGAAGGGAGAGGGAGAGGGATAGAGAGTTAGAAACATGGATTCAGCTGCCTCCTGCACACTCCCCACTGAGGATGTACCCACAGCCAAGGTCCATGCCCTTGACCAGAATTGAACCTGGGGCCTTTCAGTCCACAGGTTGATGCTCTATCCACTGGGCCTAACCGGTTAGGGATCATCAATGTTTCTGATTCTCTATCCCTCTCCCTTCCTCTATGTAAAAAAAAATCAATAAAATTTATTTTTTTAAAAGGAAGAAAAGAAAGAAGTGGGGTTATAAGCACATAGACATCTAGTACCTAACCTAGCCTCAGGCCTCCAGGAGCTGGGAGGACAGAAGCTTCATCTCTCCGCAAACAGGAACTTGGTCATTCCTTCAATTAAGAATTTAGGCCGAAACCAGTTTGGCTCAGTGGATAGAGCATAGGCCTGCGGACTGAAGGGTCCCGGGTTCGATTCCGGTGAAGGGCATGTACCTTGGTTGCGGGCACATCCCCAGTAGGGAGTGTGCAGGGGGCAGCTGATCGATGTTTCTCTCTCATCGACGTTCCTAATTCTCTATACCTCCCTCTTCCTCTCTATAAAAAAATCAATAAAATATATTAAAAAAAAAGAATTTAGGCGACCCTAGGATTAGCTCCTGTGGCCGGTCCCCAACACAAACCACGGAGGCTTGCATGTCACATGACAGTCATTGCCGATATGCTGTGATGGGCAGAATTCCAAGGGGGCCCCCAAGATCCCTGCCCCCCAGCGTTATATACTGGGGACCAGGCTGGGTTACAGGACAAAGGAGATGAACGCCACGCTTGATGAGATTATCTTACACGCCAAAGGTGAGCTGATTTTGCAGGTGCCATTAAGGCCAAGCCAGTTAACTTGAAATAAAGGGGACATCTTCCAGGGCGGACTTGACTTAGTCAAATAGGAGTCCTCTATTTTTTAATTTTTATTTTTTTTTAAAAACATATTCTTATTGATTTCAGAGAGGAAGGGAGAGGAGAGAGAGAGAGACAGCCATGATGAGAGAGAATCACTGACCAGCTGCCTCCTGCACTGGGGATCGAGCCCACAACCGGGGTGTGTGCCCTTGAACAGAATCGAATCCAGGACCCTTTGGTCAACAGGCCGACACTCCATCTGCTGAGCCAAACTGGCCAGGGCTGCGTGCTTTCTGTTCAGACAACTTACTTACCACGTTGGCCTCCCAGCCAAGAACACAAGAGCTCACACCTAACTCAGTCTCCGGTTCTGAGGGACCCCAGACAGCAACTCTGTGCTGTGCTCTGGGCAGCGGGGGGAGGGCCCCTTTTATTTACTTATATAGATATTTTTATGTCACGGAGGAAGGGAAAAGGAAAGAAATATAGAAACATCAGGGATGGGAGAGAGCCGAAACCGGTTTGGCTCAGTGGATAGAGCGTTGGCCTGCGGACAGAAGGGTCCGGGGTTTGATTCCGGTCAAGGGCCTGTACCTTGGTTGCGGGCAAGAATCATTCATAGGCTGCCTCCTGCATGCCCCACTCTGGGGATTGAGCCTGTAACCCAGGCATATGCCCTTGACCAGAATTGAACCTGGGACCCTTTAGTCAGCAGGCCGATGCTTTTTCCACTCAGCCAAACTGGCTGGGGTGGGAGGGTTCCTTTGAAACAGCAAAATCATCACAAGAAAGCACCAAAATGCAAAAAAAAACAAAGACAAACCATGGGCCACTAAACAGATGGTGGGCATGCATGTCAACAGTCTGAGGGCCGAAACCAGGAGGCAGAGCGCCATGTCCAGTCTTAGCCGAAGTGCACAGAAGGAGCCGAAACCAGTTTGGCTCAGTGGTAGAGCGTCGGCCTGTGGACTGAAGGGTCCTGGGTTCGATTCCAGTCAAGGGCATGTACCTTGGTTGCGGGGACATCCCCAGTGGGGTGTGTGCAGGAGGCAGCTGATGGATGTTTCTCTCTCATGGATGTTTCTATCTCTCTCTCTCTCTCCCTCTCTGTAAAAAAAATCAATAAGATATATTAAAAAATAAAAAAGGAGCCGGGACCAGTTTGGCTCAGTGGATAGAGCGTCAGCCTGCAGACTGAAAGGTCCCGGGTTCGATTCTGGTCAAGGGCATGTACCTTGGTTGCGGGCGCATTCCCAGTGGGGGGTGTGCAAGAGGCAGCTGATCGATGATTCTCTCTCATCGATGTTTCTAACTCTCTATCCCTCTCTCTTCCTCTCTGTGAAAAATCAATAAAATATATTTTAAAAAAATAAATAAATAAAAATAAAAAAGGGAAAAAAAATAAATAAATAAAAAATAAAAAAGGAAAAAAGATGGGAAGGAGGTGGTGCTCGGTGCCGGGAAGACAGAGCACACAGCAGCGGGGACACGGAGTCGGCTGGAGTCCTGTGCACAGACATCCCATCGTGCTGTGCGCCCAGCTGGCAGGCACTCGGAAGTGCTCCCTAGGAACATTTCCAGAATGAATGAATCGCTCTCGCCTCAATGGATAAACCAGAGACATCTCGGAACCAAATCTCCCCTACTTAGAACTTGAGTTCTCGAGGGAAAGAACGAGTGATTAAACACCTGAACAAGTTTTTAATATGAAAAACATTTGAACAATTTCTATTTGGCAAAAGCGGGGTGGGCAGCCACCACTCACAGCCCTGAGCGCGAAGGAAGGCTTGAGAAGCACGCACGGAGCCCGGGCGGCTGAAGTCCAGTCTGTGACAGCCGCGGAGGAAGATCTAGTCCAGGGGCAAGTTCAAGTCCACGGGGGAGCTGGCCAGGATGCCCTCCTGCAGGGAAAAGGCGCAGAGCCTTGTGAGTGGCGGGCCCCAGCATCCATCCACACCGGCACCTACACCAGCCCAGGGAGAGCGGAGACAGGGGGGCAGGGAACCGGAATGGGGAGGGGACGGACACCAGAGAGGAGAGGGGCCCAGGGGTGGGGGGACAGAGACCCAGAATGGCAGGACAGACACCAGGGTGGGGTGACAGAGACCTGGAGGGGATCAGACACCCGGGGGTGGGGTGGGGACAGTCCCGGTGAGGAAAAGGAAGACGGAGCCGGAGTGGTGGGCCGGCTCCAGGGAGAGGCAGAGGGAGCTGGGGTTGTAAAGATCAACAGCCCCCCGCTGACCCTGATCCCTGTGTGGGAACTTTCCGCCCAGCCTCCGTGAGACCCGGATAAGAACCCAATCCCACGAGGCTGTTGTGAGGCTTAAATGGGATCATCCGGCTGCAATCGTTGGCGAGCACCTGGCCAGGCTTTCTGTTCATTCCTTAAGACAAAACGGTTTTACAAACCAGCGGGGTTCCGGGCTGGGCGCCAGACACGCATCCCCCCCCCCATGCCCTCATGGCCTGCTCTGAGGTCGGGGGGCATCTCTCACTTAGCTGGACCACTGACACCCGTCTGACTTCTCCCCACACCCCCCTTCCCCCTCCACCATGCTCGGCCCCCCAATCCACGCCAGCAGCAAAATATGTAACCTCTATCTCCAAATTAAAACCAGAACCCCTGACGAAACCGGTTTGGCTCAGTGGATAGAGCGTCCGCCTGAGGACTGAAAGGTTTGTGAACCTTGGTTGCGGGCACATCCCCAGTGGGGGGTGTGCAGGAGGCAGCTGATCGATGTTTCTAGCTCTCTATCCCTCTCTCTTCCTCTCTGTAAAAAAAGAAAATCAATAAAATATATATTTTTAAAAAATTAAAACCAGAACGCCTACTGTTCCCCCTCTGGTCTGGGAATCTCCCCCCTGGACCAGTTCACCCCCTCCAGCTCCCTCCTCCTGCCCTCTCCCCACACAGTTCCCCTCGCCGCCACCAGAGGGCGGGCGTTCACACGTAAGCACCCGCTGGTCCCCTGCTCGGAGCCCTCCAGGAATGCTGGGCTCACAGAGTCAAACCCCAAGTCCTGGCCATGACTACAGGCCCCCAGCAGCCTGCCTGCCCCTCCTGCTCTCAGCTCGGGCCCTGTGGCCTGGCTCAAACCTCCAGCCCCTCCAGCCCCTCCTCTCTGCTCAGCAAACACACCGGGCCAGCTCCTTACATCCCGAGAGCCTGGCATGCGTCCTTCTCTGCCCGCATCACCATAGCAACAACGCAACGAAGGTGGCAGCCAGGGGCAGCACAAACAAGCTCAGGGAGGGGCGGCTGCCCAGGCCACGGGCCACTCCGCTGAGCCTGGCGCGGGGAGAGGAGCGGGCAGGGAGGCCTTCCTCGGGTCTGCAGCGGAGGTGCAGGGGCGGTAAGTCAAGCAGCCGCTCCCGCCGTGGTGGAAGGTGCAGGGCGCTGGGGAAGGAAGCGAGGCAGCCGGCAGGGAGGGGAGGCAGCGGGAGGCGAGGAGGCTGCGGTTTATATAAATGGCACCGGGACAGGCACCGGAGGGTCACAGCCGAGCAGAGCAGAGGAAGGGAGGCGGGGGCCACCGGACAGAGGCTTCGGCCGGCAGAGCTGCCCAGGCAGAGCCACCAGGTAACACACACACAGATGCGGTGAGTGCCAGCACTTAGGATGATCCCATGTAATCCTCACAACACCCCCCTGATCACGGTGCCCCGTGGACACAGAACAGGGGACGGGGGCAGGGGCATGTCCAAAAGGAAACCTAAGAGCCCCCCCCCATCACAGCTAGGAGGTACAGGGGGCCCACGGCGGCTCGGCGGCTCACCCAGCCCCCCTGGGCCTGGATCCAGGGCGTGAAGCTGTGCACGTGCTCCACGCTGAGCCCGGCCAGGGTGCCCCCCAGCCAGGCCACGCGCCGGCTCAGCTCCATGGCCAGGGCCAGGCGGGCCAGGGGCTCCGGGGAAGGCGGCGGGGGCCCCGGGCACCCCACGGAGGGGCCCGCGCGGCTGGGGCAGGGGCTGCCCTCCCGGCTGGAGAACAGCTCCACGAGGCGGGCGAAGGAGCCGGCGGAGAGGCGGGCCAGCTTGCGGCGCAGGGCGGGGTCCGAGGCCAGCTGCGGGGTGGACAGGGGAAGAGGCAGGGTCCGCCCTGTGGCCAGCCAACAGGAGGCTGGGGGCAGGGGAGTGGCTCTCTGGTGCCAGGGTCTTCTCCATCCTAAAGCTCTAAGCCATGCCCCCATCCGGCACATCAGCCAATCACGAGCCAGGTTTCTGCCAAAGTACTACCGTATTTCCCCAAAAATAAGACAGCCTCCGAAAATAAGACCTAGCGCATGGAAAGATGAGACATCCCCTGAAAATAAGACCTAGCGCAACTTTGGGAGAAAAAAATTAATATAAGACACTGTCTTATTTTCGGGGAAACAGGGGAGCAGGAAGCAGGCCTAGAACCCCAGAAGCTAAGTCACGGCCCTGCCCAGGCCTCCACAGCTAAGGAGGGCTAGGCCCTAGATTGCTAATCTTCAGGCCTTTAATTTACAATTAACAGGCTAATCATGTTTCAGGACGCACACCACACCTCCTCTGGCAGTCCATCCCCCCCCCCCCCACACACACACATTCTAAGCTCGCTCCTGGAGTCAGTCAGGATTTCAGATTTTGTCTTCTCAAACCACATTCCACTCCCACCACCCTTACTTCCTCAACTGGTTCCAATTTCTTTCCTAGATCACGTTTCTGAAGTCCACCCCCTTCCTCTAGGCCACGCCCCTTCCTCCAGGCCACACCCCTTCCTCCAGGCCACGCCCCTCTGGCAATCCATGCAAGGGAGCCCTCTGTCATTCATAAAAGCCTGGTCCCACCCTCTCCCAACCGGCCACCCAATGAGACTGCGGATCCAGCTTCTGACCCCAGTGCCCAGTCAGGAAGCAATCCCTGTCCCAGCCAAGGGCTGGCCCAGGCCGTCACCTTCTGGTTAATGGCTTCCGCCTCCTGCTCCAGCAAGACCACCAGCCTCCGCAGCAGGGCTTCCTTTTCCGTGGCTGGGGGACCCTGTACCTCTGGGGGGGGCAGGAGAGAATTCGGTTGGGGGGGCAGAAACCCGGCCGCCCTTCCACCCCCATCTTTCTGCAGGGCCCCTCTGCCCTCACCTGGGCTCGGTGGGGATCTCAGCTGCTCTTGGACCAGCTGTTCCAGCCGCTGGGCCACGAGGGCATAGAAGTCCGGAGTCGCTGGGCCTGGGGCGAAGAGAGATGATGATCTCTCCAGGAGATCAGGAAGTTCCGCATCCCCTCCTCCCAACCACCCTGCCTGGACGCAGTGATCTCCACTTCATAATGGGGTACACGGTGGCTCAGCGAGCGAACGTGGCAAAAGGCCCTGGTACTTCCCACTTCATGGCGTCCCCCCAAATGGACTGAGAGTGTTAGAGCTGAACTGGCCCGTGAAGGTTATCCCATCCAAGGAAGGCAAACACAGGACTCTCCAGCGATTCCCACTCTGTCCCTTGCCCATTGCAGGCATCATCAGCTGATCACAGAACTCTCTCTCTCTCTCTCTCTCTAGCTTGGAAATTCTTTGCAAGCTAGCATGCCCTGTAGCCATTACTAATCTATCCAGGCTCACGTGACAGGAAAGCTGTTGGTCATTCTAGATCAAGTCCAATGACTTCTCCTCCCCATTCCTACTTTTTTTTATATATATATATATTTTATTGATTTTTTTTTTACAGAGAGGAAGGGAGAGAGACAGAGAGCTAGAAACGTCGATGAGAGAGAAACATCGACCAGCCGCCTCCTGCACACCTCCCACCGGGGATGTGCCCGCAACCAATGTACATGCCCCTGACCGGAATTGAACCTGGGACCCTTCAGTCCGCAGACTGACACTCTACCACTGAGCCAAACATTCCTACTTTCGCTATTGGATAAACACAGGAACAGGGAAGAAAAGGATTTTCCAAGTCATGTAATCAAATGGATAAGGAGTTGTGATTGAAAACTGAGGGTAGGTGCTGGAGACCCCACACTGCTATCTATATAGCCTTAGCTGAGTGACCTTGAACTAACTCCTTATCCTGTCAATGTTTTTAAGAATCAAAGCTCCCAGCCCAACCAGCCTGGCTCAGTGGCTGAGCATCGATCTATGGACCCGGAGGTCACAGTTAGATTCCCAGTCGGGGCACAGGCCCGGGTTGCAGGCTTGATCCGTGGTGAGCCGCGTGCAGGAGGGAGCCCATCAATGATTCTCTCTCATCATTGATGTTTCTATCTCTCTCTCTCCCTCTCCTTTCCTCTCTGAAATCAATAGTGTGTGTGTGTGTGTGTGTCTCTGTGTGTGTGTGTGTGTTGGAATCAAAGCTCCTGGCTTTGCATGAGCAAGTTCATGGGTGATCTGGGGATCCTCTTACCAGGCTGCGCATCATAGCAGGGGCGAAGGGGCAGGGAGCAAGGCCGAGGAGACTCAGGGGGAACTGCTTCTCCACCCAAAGAGCAAGGAAAGCATCTTCGAAGGCGGCTCAGGAAGTCTGTTGGCTCCTGCTGGGCAGGGGTCCTGGGGAAGGGACCTCAGAGAGTGACTCCAGAGCCCCCTTGCGAGCCAGTCCCTTTTTTCTCCCACTCAGGGCCTCTCCCTGCAACCCCAGGGACAAGGAACAGAGCCAGATATAAAGGACATAAGACTGAGACCAGGGGCAAGAGTTAAGGCCGGCCCACACCACATGCAGAGGCCCCTGGGGGAGGAGAGCAGCTCCGCTTACCTGGGTGGGGTCGGGAGGGGGGACCCAGCAGCCTCACCCCGCTTTAGGAAGGCAGCTAGGACCTTCAGCGTGTCCTCCCGGAGCCCCAGCTCTTCCGAGCCCGCCATGGGGGCACCTGTGAGAGAGGGAGCTGAGGGATAAACTCAGGGTTCAGCAGAAGTGAACATAGTTTGTGAATGAAGAGAGGGGTCAGGACTGGGGAGTCCCCAAGGCAGGAAAGGGCTGAAGGTCTGAACTCCTAGGTCCTTTAGGGAAACTGAGGTCTGGAGGTCCAGGCTCTTGAGTCTCCAGGGGGGGAGAAGAGGAATGAAGACGAAGATTCCTTGATCCTGGCAGAGGAGGCTGGGGACCCCGATTCTGGGATCTAAGCAAAGGGGGGGAGCCTGAATTCTTGAGTCTGAGAGAAAAGGGGATTGTGCCTTGGTCCTCTGGGCCCCCGAGCAAGAAGGGCACTTGAGGCTTCGACTTCTGGACTCCAAGAGAGTTTGCCAAGTTATTTAAACCGTTAGAGGACGAAAACTACCAATCCCAGCAGGCTTCGTGGCAAACATTCCACTCGGTCCGCAGTTGGTCGCCGCGCAGCCTGCTGGGAGGTGTAGTTCCACCGTCTAAGGCTGGACTCGAGGGGGGGGGGACCCGTGACTCTAGGATGTGGAAACAGAACTGGGGTTCCATCTCCTGAGTCGCGGCCCTCTTCTCCTCCGTCCTCCCCGCAGCCCTCACTAACGCCCCGCTTACCTGCCCCGGGCCCGGGCCCCGGGCCCCGCCGCCTCCTCCACTGAACTCGTCCAACTTTTCCAGTAGTTCAACTTTCCCGCGCCTGCGCACTGGGCCGGGCTGGAGACAGCCAACGTCGAGGGGGCGGAGCGCCGGTGCCCGCCTCATTTGCATGCAACGTTCCCGGCATGCCAGTGCCCGGAAGTGCCAAATAGGGGCTCGGGGAGGAGAAATGTCCGGGCTTCGGGGGCCGCCTCCTCGGGGGCTGTTACCCAAATGATGAGAAAGTCGTTTTTATTTCAAGAAATCTGCAGAAAGCAAAGCTCCACCGCCCTGAAGCTCAGCTGACGGTAAGGAGGGGGTGGGAGGGTGCAGCTCCGAGTTCGAGCGCTATCGGAGCAAAGCCAGGGTGGCCCGGGCACCCAGCACCCAGCGCGCCCCGCCCCGTCCCTCTAGGTGGGTAACGCGGAAGAGCCACGGAGTTGGTGGTGGCCAGGAGTGGGGGAAAGGGGACGGGAGGAAGTAGGAGTCTGACATGATGTGGAGGGGGGGCTGTGGACCCTGGAGGAAGGGGAGCAAGGAGGGGGCAAAGTGAAGCGGTGGCAGGTGCAAAACAAAACAAAACAAAACTCGGACGTAGTAGCGGGGAGGCGATCACTCTAGAAAGTGGGGAGCGTGTCCTGGACGAGGGAGGCTTTCTAAGGGGGACTGAGGATGGAGGCCTACGGTGGACGTGGGCGAGGGGGTCATACGTGGGGAACTGTGGGAGGGGGTCCACACTGGGGTCAGTGCGGGAGGTAGAAGCCCACAGAAAAGGCGTCTGCTATTAGGCTCCACCTTGGAAGTGGGGGTACCCGCCTTGGGTGATGGGGAGGGGAGGGTGGGATTTGCAGTGGAACAGGGAATTGATGGGGTAGTGGGGGTCTGCACAGAAGAGGTTGGAAACGAGGGGACCCTAACATGCATTTGGGAGGGAGTCCTCGCTACATTGGGGAGTGTCGCTGGCGGGTTTGTGAGGAGGGGAGGTCCGTTTGTTCCCCAAGAAAATACAGAGGAGAGGGACCTGCGCCGTGGCCCATGAGGGGATGGTCCGGACGGGCCCATGACCTGCCCGTTGTTAGCAGGCCCGACATGGGATCCCAAAAGCCGCGGATCCTGCCTTGGCTGGTGTCTCAGCTGGACGAGGGGCGGCTGGAGGGCGTGGCTTGGCTGGGCCCGAGCCGCAGGCGCTTCCGCATCCCCTGGAAGCACGGTTTGCGGCAGGATGCCCAGCAGGAGGACTTTGGCATCTTCCAGGTGTGTGGGCGCTGAGACTCGGGAGGGTGGGCTCTGAGGGGTGGGGTTAGAATGGGCCGTGGAGAGCTTAGGATAGTCGATAGGTGTGGGATCGCTGGAGGGCCCAGGTTCCAGGAAGAGAACTAGGAAAGCCGGTTAGACCGTGAAGGAAAGGCATCCTGGGAGCCCAGGGCTCTCTGGGAATGGGGTCTGGGGTGTAGAATTGTGGGGGCGGGCCTTGGAACGTGAGACCAGACCGGGCGGAAGCTGAGGTACTTACCACCAAATCAGAATGAATACACCAGTGAGGGTAAACCGAGTTAGAGTGGGAGGGGGCGGGGCTAATACAGAGGGTGCCCTGGGGCAGGGGAATTGCAGAGTTAGATACCTAGTAAGACCTGGAAGGTTGGCTTAGAAAGCAAAGGTTTAAAAAATAAAATAAAATAAAAAGCAAAGGTTTTTGAAAGGTGGAGGAGGCAGGCGACCTGGGGCACAGAGAATCTGAGGATTTGGGAATAAGACCTTACCAAGTTAGAAATGTGCCCGGGAGCCGAAACCGGTTTGGCTCAGTGGTAGAGCGTCGATCTGCGGACTGAAAGGTCCCAGGTTCGATTCCGGCCAGGGGCGTGTACCTTGGTTGCGGGCACATCCCCGGTAGGGGGTGTGCAAGAGGCAGCTGGTCGATGTTTCTCTCTCATCGATGTTTCTAGCTCTCTATCTCTCTCCCTTTCTCTCTGTTAAAAATCAATAAAATATATTATAAAAATGGCCCCTGGGGTGGGGTCTGAACCACCCTCTCCTCTATCCTGGCGCCCTCGGTTCCCAGGCCTGGGCAGAGGCCAGCGGTGCCTACACTCCTGGGAGAGATAAGCCCGACCTGCCGACCTGGAAGAGGAATTTCAGGTCCGCCCTGAACAGGAAGGAAGGGTTGCGTTTAGCCGAGGATCGGAGCAAGGACCCCCACGACCCGCACAAGGTCTACGAGTTTGTGAACTCAGGTGTGCTGGGAGCGGGGCTCTCACGGAGGAATGGGGTTTTCGGGGTCCCCAGCACCCCCTTTCCACTCACCACCTCTCTCGCCAGCAGCTGGCGACTTCCCTGAGCCAGGGGCTTCTCCAGACACCGATGGCAGGTTCGGTACCTCTGACACCCAGGTGAGAACCTGCCCGGCCCTCCGCCCCCTCAGTCTCCAGCCCATCCCCTCTGCGTCCTGCCGAGCTGTCCAGGCCTCCTTCGCTCCATGGACCATCGTCCGCCTCCTCCCTGCCTCCCTTCCCTCCCTCCCCTCCCTCCCCCGGCGCAGAGCTGACCTCTGCCTCTCCTGCTCTCAGCCCTCCGTGGCGCCCCGGCCCCTCAGGACAAAGCTCCGCTCTCACCAGGCCTGCTAGGCCCTCGCACACTTTCGCTGCCTCCCTCGCTGTCCAGCCTCCTGGGGGCTAGAAACTCCCTGCCCTTGACCTTGCTGGTGTCTGTGCCAGGAAGTCCCCTGGGACCTGCTCCCCAGACTTCTCTGCTCAGGTTCTGCCGGCGTGGAGCCAGGTCCTTGGGCTGAATTAGCTGCTCTCCCGGACCTCACAGCCCTCAGCACTCAGAGCACCGTGCTCTCTGTGCCCACGGCGGCCTCTCCCCAGCTCAGGGCCGGGTCCTCTCTGGTCCCCAGGTCGCTGAGCACAGGCCTGACCCGGGGCCAGTCTCCAGAAAATGCTGTGGGAATGCCTGGACCCCCCCCCCCCCCTCTCTCTCTCTCTAGGAAAGCATTCTGGAGTTAGTGAATGGCATGAACTTGGGGCCGATTCCAGATGAGGGGGCCTCGAGTCTGGCTGTAACCCCTGAATACCGCCCTCAGCTCTTGCTGAGCCCCAACTCGGACATTCCTGCTCCCTGCCCAACCCCGGGACCCCCTGAAAACCCACTGAAGCAGCTGCTGGTGCTCGAGGAAGGTGAGGGCCAGCCGGGGGCTGGGAGGGGCTGGATGTGGGGTGACAGGCCCTCACGCGCGCTCTCTCTCTCCCCCTTCACATCGCCGCCGCCGCCGACGCCGCTCAGACTGGGAGTTCGAGGTGACCGCCTTCTACCGGGGCCGCCAGGTGTTCCAGCAGACCGTCTTCTGCCCCGGGGCCCTGCGGCTGGTGGGGCCCGAAGGCGGGGACAGGACACTGCCCGGGCAGCCGATCACGCTGCCGGACCCCGAGGCGCTCCTGGCGGACAGGGTGGTGAAGGGCTACGTGAGCCGCGTGCTGAGCAGCCTGGCGGGGGGGCTCGCCCTGTGGAGGGCCGGGCAGGGGCTCTGCGCCCAGAGGCTGGGCCACTGCCACGCGTACTGGGCCGTGGGCGAGGAGCTGCTCCCCGACAGCGGCCGCGGGCCCGACGGCGAGGTCCCCAAGGAGACGGAAGGGAGCGTGTTCAACCTGGGGCCGTTTGTGACCGGTGAGTGCGGCCGGCCTCACTCTGCTGGGGAGAGTGGGCCCCAGCGGTTAAGGTCCTGGGCTCAGACCTTGCGGGATCCTGCTGCTCTGGGCGCCGTTTAGCCTAGACTGCTCTGAGCCTGGCAGGTCCGAGGGCCCTCTCCCTCCCTCTGCCTGCCCGGAGCTGGGAGGAGGCAGGGGGCCTCCTGCACAGAAGGTGGTCAGGAGCTAGCTGCCCTCGTTGTCATCATTATTACCAACTAGAGGCCCAGTGCATGGAATTCATGCAAGGGGGTGGGAGGTGGGGGTTTCCTTCTCCAATCCAGGACCCCTCGGGGGCTGTCTGACTGTCTCTTGCAATCCAGGACCGCTGGCTCCTAACTGCTCGCTGGCCTGCCTGCCTGATCGCCCCTAACTGGTCCCCTGCTGGTCTGATCTCCCCTAACCACCTCTGCCTTGCCCCACACCTGGGACCCAGAAGTCCCTCTTTCAGCTGGTTGCAGGCACCCAGGACCTGGGCTCCCCACCCTCTGGCTGGCCGTAGGCACCAGGACCTGGGCTGGCTTCACCCGGGCTGGCTACAGGCACGGGGGACCGTGGGCCGCAGGCGCCCTGGACCATAGGCTTGTCCCTCTCCAGAGCTGCAGCCTGGCTGGTCCCCATTCCTCTCTCTCAAGCTCATTGTGCCTGGCTGGTCCCCATTCCTCTCTCTCAAGCTCATTGTGCCTGGCTGGTCCCCATTCCTCTCTTCCCAGTGTTGAGTGTCTGAACAGCCCAGGGTGGGAGGGTGTGATGACCATTTGCATATTAGCTCTTTATTATATAGGAGGATTATGGTGGACAGACAGCCACAGGAAAGGTCCTGTAGGGCATTGCTAGCCAATAGCAATTTGTTTGCACTGTCCAGTACCAAACAGTGTCCAGCCATGTTGCTATTGAGTCCTTAGATGCGCTGAGAGCATCTGAGGAAGTGCGGTGTAAACTGTATCTTAATTAGTTACTATTTAAATAGCCCTGGTGGCTAATGGCTACCTAGGGACAGAATGGCCTTAGGGGGTTAAAGAGCAGTAACTGTTAAGGTCTTTGGAAGAGGATTCCCCTCCTGGCCTGTTCCCCATCCTGAATGCTCAGCCTCTGGGGGCGTGGGAGCAGGTTGTCCAGCCCCACCCTAATGGGTGGGAAGGAAAAGGCACTTCTGTTTGTGCCAGAATCGCGGGGCCCTGACGCACATCTGGCAGAGTTAAGCCAGGCTTTGGGTTGGTGAGGTCGGTGGGACGGTGCCAGGTTTCAGGGGGAGGGGCAGGGGGAGGTCTTCCCGTCGCTGACTAGGTTCTTGGCCCCCAGATCTGATCGCCTTCATCGAAGGAAGCAAACGCTCACCGCGCTACACCTTTTGGTTCTGCATGGGGGAGTCATGGCCCCAGGACCAGCCGTGGACCAAGAAGCTAGTGATGGTCAAGGTGCCTGCGCCCCAGGATCCCGGAGCTGAGGGGGTGGATCTCCCAAAAGAATAGGTTGCTCCCAGGAACTGCAATTCCCAGAAACCCCTGGAGAAACGAAAATCTCCAACTCTCGGCATCACCATTTTTCCCCTCACCAGAGGGTATTTTCATTGATTTTTTTTTTTTGGGGGGGGGGCCGGGGAGAGAGAGAGAAACATTCATTGGTTGCCTCCCACACGTGCCCTGTCGTGTGTGGGTTGAACCTGCAACCTTTCAGTGTATGGGATGATGCTCATACCAACTGAGCCACACCAGCCAGCCAGGGCCTCTTCATTCCTGAGATTTCTGGGTGTCCCGCCCATGGCCTTACCCCCGGAGCATGTGGGAGCTGGTGGACTGCAAGTCCTGACAGCCAGTGAGGAACTACAGCTCCCAGGATTCCTCTGACACAAGCTGCTGAGCCCTAGCTGCTGGGAGCCCCTTTGGCCTCCATGATTGTGAATGAGAAAACTACAACCTGAGCCTAAGGACGCATCCTGGGTTATGGTGGGACTGCTGGGAGTTGTAGTCCACTCAGCCCCACCCGTTACAGCAGGCATTGCTGGGTGCTTTCCTTGACCGCGCTTCTCCCCCACCTCCTATAGGTTGTTCCCACGTGCCTCCGGGCCCTGGTGGAAATGGCGCGGGTAGGGGGTGCCTCCTCGCTGGAGAACACCTCGCTGGACCTGCACATCTCCAACAGCCAGCCCCTCTCTCTCACGTCGGAGCAGTACAAGGCCTACCTGCAGGACCTGGTGGAGGACATGGATTTCTAGGTCACCGGCCGGGCCTGAACCCGCCACTCACGGGTGCAGGGCACCCCCCCGCTCCACCAATAAACACCTTCTCGCCACTGTCGCCACTTGTGTGCGGTATTCGGTGTCCCCAGGCAGCCCTGACCCGCGCTGGGCATTGCTCCTTCAGACCTGTGCGTGCATCGGCAGCCTCCCCACCTCAGTGCTCCCTGGATGAGGGCGAGGCACAGGGGGCAGCAGACCCTCATCAGCTCCACGCCCTTCCCAGGGAGCTGGCGAGAAGGGGACGGTCAGTCCCGTTTCACAGACCGAGACAGGGAGACTCAGGGGAAAGGACACAAAGTAAGAAAGGAGCTGGGCAGGGCCAGTCCAATGCCAAAGCCGCTCCCTCCCAGGGAGGCCAGGGCTGACTCCGGGTCCCCCTCGCCTGGGAACGGCCGGGGTGGAGGTCCAGTGTGCAGTCGGGGGCCTTGGTCCCTCCAGCTCCTGCCAGGCCCGTCCTCCGCACGGGGCGGGCCGGGCAGCGGTAAAGGAGCTCTGTGCCCACCACTGGAGCAGCCATGGCTGCGTGCTGGGCCTCAGCACGGAGTGAGGCCAGCACTGCCCGCATGTGGCACTCACTGTGCCTCAGTTTCCCTCTGATCTCAGGAGGTGGATTCCATCGCCCCTCCTCATAGGACGGGTAAAACACAACCCCCCCAACGGGGGACGGCACATCCACGCCGACAGGTAGCGCCCAGGTGCCCCGAGCTGGGAGCCCGGCCGGGGCCTGGGCCCGGGCCCTGCGTGCCGACACCTCCACCCTCGGCAGCAGCTTCCGGTGCACCGGAGGGGTCCGCATGCTCACTGCCTGGGTCTCCCTTAATCCTCACCGCACCCACTTCACAGATAAGGAAACTGAGGCCCAGAGAGGGGACGGTACTAGCCAAGCCACACAGCCTGGCCTCCCTGAGCCGCCCTCGGACTTGGGCCACGCTCCCTGACCCCTTCCCGAATTAGACTCGGGCGGGGGGGAGAAAAAAGGGGCTAAAACCGCGGGGCTCGAAGGTAACATTTCATGAAATCTTTAATGAAACTGGGGGAGGGGCATGAAGAGGGGAGGGGCGATGGGCCAGGCTGGGGACCAGGAGGATGGGCACGGGGCCGGGCAGGGGGCTCTCCTCGTCCCCACGGCAACCCTCTCCCGATCGTCCCACTGACGGGGGAGGGGGCGGAGAGGCGGAGCCATAAATACGTCCAGAATTCTGAAGAGGCAGGGGAAGGAGTGGGGCTGGGGTCTCAGAGAGGGGGCAGGGGCAGGCCCAGGCCGGGGCCGCCCTTGTCCGGGGGCCCCGGCTCCTTGGGCGGCCGCGGGGGGCCGGGGGGGTCCCCTGGCTTGCGGCCGTGCTTGCGGAAGTAGCGATAGCGTTGGACGTAGGCGCGCACCAAGTTGCTCACCTTCACCGGGTTGATCTCCCCACTTTTGCTGTGGCAGATCTGGGGAGCGAGGGGCAGCCGCCATCACCGCCAGCGCCCAGGCCCCGCCCCCGGGACTGCCGGGCTGTGTGCCCGGGACTAGGATGGCATGAGATCTTGCCGCCGCCCTCCTCCCCCTCCTCCCCCTCCGGACGGAGCCACCGCCCCAGCCCCCACGCGTGCACCTGCCTGCGTCCCCCGCGTGCCGCCCCGCCCACCTTGTGCACGGCCTTCCGCAGGATGTCCTTGTACTCCTCCTTGGTGATGTCCTTCTTCTGGTAGTACGGCTTGATGGCCAGCTTCACCTCCTCCACCGCCCGCTCCTGCGTGTGCAGCTTCTTCAGGTACTGGCCGGGGCAGCGGAGGGAACAGAGGCAGGTGAGCTCCGGGGGCCCGCCTGCTCCCGCCTCCCCTCAGCCGCCCGGGCTGCTCTGCACCCCGTGCTGAGGTCGCCAGGACCACAGGCTGGGCCTCGGAGTCACTGAGCACGTCCTCCAGGCTGCACGCTGGCCGTCCCAGGTGGCCACGCCAGGACACACGCGCCCCTGCCCTTATAGAGCGCACGATCTAGTGGGGAGACAGGACGTGAGCCAAGCAGGACCGTGTTCACAGACTATGAGACCCTCTGAGCGCAGCAGCAAAGCATGGCCGGGCTTCCGGCGTGGGCTTCACGGACTGCCCTGGCCGCTGAGGGGACAGCAGGCGAAGGAGGGGAGGGGAGGGGAGAGCATGGGGGGGAGGTGCTAGAATCCTGCTCTACCACCCGAGGCCTGGACGAGGGACCAAACCCCTTTATAGCTTCCTTGTAAAAAGCGGACAGGACTCATGAGGGGGCGGGAGGGGGTGGGGACACACACGAAGGCCACAGCAAGGAACCAGTCGGGGAGCTGTGACTGCTCTGAGGTGGGGACAGGACAGGAGCAGCTGAGAGACCCAACCCCTGCTGCAACCTCAAGTGAGATCTTTGCAAAAACCGACGGATAGGACACCTCCAGGAGGAGCGCACATTCAGGCCCGAGGCAGTCGGCACAAGGGACAGACACCAACCCTGGGAGGCCGCCCTCCCGGGCCAGGGCTGAGGGAAGACGGGAAGGGTAAACTGAGTCTGGCAAGGGCAGGACACCCAGACGTCAGGGCCAGCATCTCGGGAGAGAAGATGCAAACTGCCTGCGGAACCCCTGGCCTCGCGGGCAGCGCCACTGCTGGGAGAGCCGCCGGCCCCCGGGGTCCTCAGGCCTCCCTAGCCCACAGGAAGTGGGGTCTAAAAAGGGCGGGCTGTTCCCCACAGCCATCTCAGAGGTGGCAAGTGGAGACAACAGGCAGCGAGCGGACCAGAGCAGCCTCCGGGCACAGAGAGGGAGCCGGGCCGGTCCCCCGGGCTGCGCTGTCCGGTCCTGCAGGCCCGGCGCTGGGTGCACAGCGACCCCAGAGCCGGGCCCGCACCGTCCCTCACCCGGCGCTTCCCACGGGGTCACTGCTCCCCCGGCACTGTGCACGGAGTGTGCTGAGGACGGGCAATGCCACGGCCAGCGACAGGCTGCTGGGCCTTCACAAAGAGCACCCTGAACTGACCAAACAGATAACAGCCCGAGGTCTGGCAGAGGAGCCAGATGCAAGCCTGACTGTATTTGCCAGCATCCATTCTTCCTTCCTTCACCTGGAAAGGGCTTCATTTTTGTCTGTCAACCACCTTCCCCTCACACAAAGCGAGGCTGGCGACGGGCCTCGGGGGTCGGACTTGTCCGCTGGCCCATGGTGATGGTATGAGTGTATGTTTATATCTTCATCTGTCTGTCTGACTGTCCCTCTCTCCCTACATATATGCACAAATAATTTTTTAAAACCCTGCCCAGCCCCCATTCATCCATCAGATTGACAGTTCAGATCCTTACAAGTTAACAACTTCAGTTTTTTTTAAACCTACGGCCCCATCTGCCGGCGTCACCTCTGCCATTCCCTCCGGGCCCCTGCATCTCAGTGTCTGCCCCCCGCTCTCTGCAAAACCGTCCCCGTCCCCCCGCCTCGCCCAGTCCCCGCTCACCTTGTCGGTGTCCCCTCGTCCCTCGGAGCTGCTGCTGCCCTCTCTCTTGTCAGATGCGGCAGCCAGCCCCGTGGGGGTGGGGGGGGTAGAGCCGCAGCCCCCGAGGGGAAGGCTGCCGGGGAGCAGGTAGGTGGAGGGGCCAGGGGGCAGGCCCAGAGAGGGGGGTACGGGAGCTGGTGTCACCCCCAGGCTGGAGGGTGGCTTTCGGTGGCTGAGGATCTGTGGAAGAGTTGGAGGATGAACAAAGGGCAGTGGAGGGAAAGAAGAAGCATGTACCCCTATGATTTCCACCCTGATTTCCCAACAGTCCCAAGGGTAACAAGCTCCACTTCTGGCCAATGTCTTGCCCCAAGGCCTGCTGGGAGTTGTAGTTCCTCTCCTAACCCAAGGCAGGGGACAAGAGAAGGGGGCTGTGGGCTTCCCCTGGGGAGCCCACCTGGTTGGTGGCCTGGATCAGCTCCTGGGCCTTTGCTCGGCTCGCCAGGTTGGCTTCTTCCATCTTGAAGAGAAGTGCAGTCACTGCAGGAGGCGGAGGGGCGAGGACAGGGAGGTCCGGGGTGGACAGGAGATGAGACAGTGAATCTCACCTCTCCGCCCACTGCCACCCCCTGGGCCCCCTGGACAGGCCTTAAGGCCGCAGGCTCAGAACTAAGGGGGCCTCGGCCACTGAAAAACCCCCTCCACACTCCCCATGTACTTGCCACTCAAGGAGCTGGCCCCTCGCCCATCACACCCAAACACCGAGAAGCCCCCTGGACGGGCCCTGAGGGGCCCTCGCCCACCGGCGGCCCCCAGTCCGGGTCACTGCATACCCACCCTTTCCGAGGCCGCCTCTGCCTCCGAGGCTGTCCCCAGATGGCGTCCTCTCTCCTGATCCTTCCTTCCCACCCCAGACAGCCCCGGCCCCGGCCCGGGGAACACTCACAGGCCAGCACGCCGCTGGTGGTGCAGTCCACCCCGGCGGGCAGGTTCCAGGGCAGGGGCGGGGGCAGCGTGGGCAGCTGGGAGGCACGGGGAGCCGGGCCGTCCTCTGCCCCCGAGTCGCCGGCTGTGGATCCCGCGCTAGGGGCCGTGCTCGGGGCGGGGGCGGCCGTGCTGGTGGCCGTGGTGGTGGCAGGCTGCTGCTCCTCCTCCTCCTCTTCCTCCTCCTCCTCTTCGTCCTCCTCCTCCTCCTCCTCCGCCCCACCTCGGACCCCAGGCTCCTCGGCGGCCTCTTCGGGCAAGAAGGAGACCTCAGGAGTCTTGCAGCTGCTGTCCACAGTCTGGGAGTCTGGAGTGAGGGCGGGGGGCGGAGGGGCGGCCTTGGGGGGCGGGGTGCTGGGGGCCTTGGCCGCTCGCTCCTCCCCAGACCAGGAAGTCTCCTCGGCCGCCTTGGCTCCGGCGGCCTGGCTGCAGCTGTCGGCCTTGGACTTCTTCAGGGTCCCGGGCCCCCCGGGGCCGCCGCTGCCCGCGCCGCGCACCTTCTTCCTGGTCTTGGATGGCTTGGTCTTGCCCTTGGTCCCCTTGGCCTTCTTGGCCCCGGCCTTGGCCTTGACCTTGGTCTTTTTGGGCTTGGCGCTGCCGGGAGCCGCCTTGGCCACCTCGGCGGGAGCCCGCTCCTCGGGCTTGAGGAAGGGGGAGCGGCTCTCGCGGTCGCGGCTGAACTTGACCCCGATGGAGCCCAGGCCGGCGGGCGCGGCCTCCTTGGCGGGCGTGGTGCTGCTGACGCCCTCCCGGATCAGCACCGCCACCTTGGACTGCAGCTTCACCTTCCGGGAGGAGGAGCACGAGGACGACGACGAGGACCCCGAGCCGCTGCTGACCGGCGGCTTGGGCGGGGGCCCCGCGGGCGGCGCGGACTCCTTGGGGAGCCGGGCCTTCTTGGACGACCTGTCCCGGTCCCGGTCCCGCTCCCCCGCGTCCGGCGCCTTCCGCCGCGACGCCTTCTCGCGGGAGGAGGCCCCGGAGCGGCGCCGGTCCTTGTCGCCGCGGCCCCGCTCCTCGGCGCTCAGCCCCTCCGAGTCGTACAGCACCTCGCGCTTGGGCGACGCGGCGGGGGCGGGCGACGGGCCGCGGGGGTCGGGCTTGTCGGGCCGGCCCACCGTGATGGTCCGCTTGATGGCGAAGAGGTCGTGGTCCGTGAGGTCCTGGATGGAGGGCGGCACGGCGCCGCGGCGGCGGTCGCGCTCGGCGCCCAGCGAGGCGGCGCCGGGGGCCGGCGGGGCGGGCGCCGGGCCCTTGTCGGCGTCCCCGGAGCGCTTCTCGCCGCGGGACCGGGACCGCTTCTTCTTCTTCTTGCCGCCGCCCTCGCGGTGCTTGCCCCGGTGCCGCTCGCGCCGGGACGACGAGGAGGACGAGGCGGCCGGGGGCGGGGAGGCCGAGCGCCGCCGGCGCCGCCGCTTGTCCCGGGAGCGGGAGCGGCGGCTGCCCCCGCGGCGGCGGTCGGGGCTGCGGGAGCGGCGGCGCGCGGAGCGGGAGCGGGAGCGGGAGCGGCGGCGGGCGGCGGCGGCGTGGGAGCCGGAGCCGGAGCCGGAGCCGGGCTTGCGGTCGCGGGAGCGGTGCTTCTTGGAGTCCCAGGGGGAGGCGGGCGCGGGGGGCGCGGCGGCGGCGGGCTCCTTGGCCTCGGGGCTGCGCTTGCGCTCCCGCCGGGACTTCTTGCGGGCGGGCGGGCCGGCGGCGGCGGCGGCGCCCGGGGAGGGCGAGCGCTGGCGGTAGCGCTCCCGCCGCTGCGTGAGGATCTTGCGGCGGAGGTCCAGGCCGCCCCAGCGGGCGTCCGCGGGGGGCTGCGCGGGCGCCGGCTCCCCCAGGTCCACCTGCAGCGCGCCCTCGCCGTCCGACTCGGCGTGCAGCGACAGGAAGTCGTCGCCCTCCGGGGCGCGGGCGGCGGGCGGCGGGGCCGGGGGCTGGGCGGCGGGGGCCGGGGCGGCGGGCGGCGGGCGGGCGGCCCGGCTGGTCCGGAAGAGGGGCAGCGCCATCCTGGCCTCCTCCTCCGGCTGCACGATCTCGCCCTCCTCGATCTCCGAGTCAGCGGGCGGCAGCAGGGGCGGCGGGGCGGCCCCGCCGGCCGTCACCACCTCCACGGAGACCTTGCCTTCCCGACAGGCCTCCGCCTCGGCGCCCACGACGAAGACGCGGCGGCGGGGGGCCCCGTCCGCGCGGGTGGAGTCCGCCTGGGGCGGCGTGCCCGGGGCCGCGGCGGGCTGTGGGGGCTGGGGGTCCTGCCGGGGGCTCTCGTCACCTGGGAGGTCCTGGCTCAGGCTGTTGTCATCGTAGATGCCCGCCAGCGTCTCGGAGATGCGGCTGATGCTCTGGGACAGGCCTTCCTCCTCCTCTTCCTCCTCCTCCTCCTCCTCCTCTTCCTCCTCCTCAGGCGAGGGGGTCCCAGCGGAGGAGCTGGGGTTGGAGCCGGTGGGCTCAAAGGGATCGTACTTCTGCTCCGGTGCAGGCGGCGGGGAATAGGCCTCATCGGTGGGGTGGAAGGGGTCGTAGATGTCGAACCGAGGGGCAGGCTGGGCTTGGGGGGCAGGGGGGGGCGGTGGGGGAGGGGGGGAAGGGGAAGAGGATGAGGGGGAAGGAGAAGGTGAGGAGGACGCAGAGGAGGGGGCAGGGGGTGGGGCAGGGCCCCCGTCCCCAGTGCCCAGGGTGAGGAGGTGGCGGGCACGGGTGGGTTGAGAAGGAGACTGAGGAGAAACTGCAAAGGAACGGGGAGACAGAGCTGCGGTCAGGGGCGGGTCCTGCCTCCAGGACTCCCACCCCCGGGGTGGCCAGCAGCCATCCACGCCCTTGCCCGCACTCAGCTCTCCTTGCGCCTACAGGTCCTGCCCCAGTGCTTCGCATGTGTCAGCTCACAGGACGCTCCTAACAACTCTACACCAGATGCCGTGCCCCAGGAGGAAACTGAGGCACAGAGAGCTGCGGGAGCTTCCCCAGGTACACAGAGCGGGGAGAAGTCAGGGTGCAAACGTGGTCAGTGTGGTCCCCCAGCCTGCTCTCCCTCCTGAGACGGACACTGGCCCCCCCAAGACCACCCTGACCGCTGAGGGCAGGCATGTTACTCAGAGGGCGCGGGCTTGGGGGGAGAGCTGGATTTGAACCTCAGACCGCCTGCTCGGGCAGGCTCAGGCCCGCTGAGCCGGCTGCTTCTGTGGGAGGTTACCCCATTCTAGAGAGAACGGGGGCCTGAAGCTCCCTCTGCGGAGCCAGGGAGGGGCGGGGCCAGGGAGCCCAGGCCCCTGAGTCTCCGCTCCAGACCCTCCCTGTGCAATGCCCCCACTTCCAGGGGTTACATCTGCTCAGGACGTAGAGACACACCCAGCGGAGACAGGGCGACCATCATCCTTTCCTAAGTCACCCGCCCACACTCTGAGCACATCTCAGGGCCACAGGCCCTGCCCCAGGACTCAGACACACATCGGCGTCCACAGGACCCTGCCAGCCACATGGAGCTGCAAGGACCCGCGTGGCAAGGACGCCAGCACGTCACGCGGATGGTGCCCGGGAAGCACAGGGTCGAGGGCAGCTCCGGAGTCACCTCCCGATCTGGATCCCAGGCTCCAGCCCTCCCTGCCTGCCTCAGTTTCCTCATCAGCAAGGTTTGTGCATTCAGTCAGTACTTTTACTCGCCACCTATTTATGCCAGGCGCTGATCGGGGCACCAGGAATAGAATGAAGAACAAAATAGACAAAAAAAACCCTGCCTTCAAGGAGCTCACATTCAAGTGGGGAGAGAAATACCAACATGCCAAGCGCACAGTCTGCCAGCTGCGGAGGGCGCTGGAGTAAAACAAAGCAGGGTCCCAGGTTCACTTCCCCTCAAGAGCACACGTCCAGGTGGCAGGCCCCATCCCCAGCAGAGGGCGAGCAGGAGGCAGCCAATCAATGATTCTCTCAACATTGAGGTTTCTCTCTCTTCCTCTCCCTTCCTCGCTGAAATCAATAGAAATATATTTTAAAAATAAAGAGAGAGAAAAAAAGAAGAAAGCAGGAGATGATGATGACGGGAGCATCCAGAGCCCCAGGTCTGAGAGGACACGTGAGCAGCTGCACGGAACCAAACTGCCTGGCATTGGGAGGACTCAGTGAGCGTGAGCGCCTATGACCCTGGTTATTATCACAACCTGAAGTGTGAAACAGTCTATGGACCAGCCGGCCGGTGTGGCTCAGTGGTTAAGCATCAATCTATGAACCAGGAGGTCACAGTTCCATTCCCGGCCACGGGCACATGCGATCCCCAGTGTGGAGTGCAGGAGGCAGCTAATCAATGATTCTCTCATCATTGATGTTTCTATTTCTCCCTCTCCCTTCTTCTCTGAAATAAAAATAAAATAAAACCCAGCAATAAGCCAAGCGACAACATCTAAATATATCCAAAATGATAAAAAAAATATATAAGTCTAGACAGAGTGGTCTGGGAGCACAGGAATCTACTACTTTTATTTTTTTTAATATATATTTTATTGATTTTTTATAGAGAAGAAGGGAGAAGGTCAGGGAGTTAGAAACATCAATGAGAATCATCGATCAGCTGCCTCCTGCACACCCCCCACTGGGGATATGCCCGCAACCAAGGCACATGCCCTTGACCGGAATAGAACCCGGGACCCTCCAGTCCGCAGGCCGACGCTCTATCCACTGAGCCAAACTGGCTTCGGCCTCCCTACGTTCTTAGTATTTTCCAAATGAAGACCAAAAGAACACTGGAATAAGGAAATAAAACATAACCCCTGAAGACAACTTCTAGGTCCTTCACACATCTATTTTACTTAAGGCCCAGAGCCACGTCCGGCCCACCATCTGTTTTTGTAAATAAAGTTTTATTGGAACACAGTCCCGCTCATTTGTTTGCTTATTCTCTATGGCTTCTAATTTTAAAAGAAATGACATTTCTTTTGTGGGCCCCTAAGGGTGTGGTGGGTTCTAGGCACCATGACCCAGAATCTAACAGACAAGCCAAACTGCAGCTTAAAAAAAAAGGACAAGGAAACCGTGAACGGGCTCAGAGAGCCCCTGAGCCACAGCGGCTCGCAGCTCCCCTTCCTCTTCCTGTCCTCTCTACCCTCCCCAAATATGCAGGTCCGTGCAAGAGCGAGGCCTAACCCAGGTGTCTACGGGCTCCGGGGTCCAGCAGCAGAATCACCAGGGTTAGAAATGGAAATTCCCGAGCCCCACCCCAGACCTGCCATTCGGAAACCTGAGGACAGGCCTCCTGGTGCCCAGCCGGTGTGGCTCAGTGGTTAAGCATTGACCATGAACCTGTCAGGGCACATGGCCCGGCTGTGGCTCCATCCCCAGTGTGGGGCGTGCAGGAGGCAGCCGATCAATGATTTCCTCTTATCATTGATGTTTCTCTCTCTCTCCCTCCTCCCTTCCTCTTTGAAATCAATAAAAAATATTTTTTTTAAAAAAGGAATTCCCCTGGTGATCCTGCTGCCTGCTCCAGTTTGAGAACCTGTGCTCCTCCGTGGAGCTGGGCAGACTGTCACGTGGGTGAGCGTGCGGCACAGACGTCAACAACGGGGGCCTTCCGCCCGGACACACCTGGGCTGGGGGCTCAGGACCACACCAGACAAACCGGCTGTGCCGCCCTGAACAAGTGATCCCCCCCTCAGCCTCTTCTCTGGAGGACGGAGCTGCTGAGAGTGCCCCCTGCTGGGGAGACACACCCCATGCAGCTCACTGAGAGGTGGGACCCGGGCGGCGCACTGCAGCCTTCATTCCGGTGCCACGGGGGAAACGAACACTAAGGATTCTGTCGAAACGGCGCCATCGTCATGACTGTCCCGGACGCACACCAAGCGGAGGCCGGCGCCTGCCCAGTCTGCCCCGGCCACACGTACCCGTTTTGCCCGTCCTCCAGGCCCTGAGACGAGGCAGCAGGCTGGGCACCGGCAGCGGGATGGGGTCCCTGTCCCCGATGCGGACCTCGGCCACCAGCTCCAGCATGTCCTCGCTTCTGCAAGACGGAAGGAGCGGGTGAGCGAGGGCTGCTCCCGGCTCCCCCGCTGAGGCCTCTGCCCTCCGCTGCCCCGCTACTCACTCGCCAGGCTGCAGGTCCAGGTGGCTGGGGACCCAGGTGTCGGGGGGGTCCAGGACGCTCACCAAGCCCGCCAGGAAGCTGTCAGCGGCCATGTCCAACACCTGGGGGGGGGGGGGGAGAGCTCCGCCCTCACCCTGATCCTGGGAGGACCGCGGATCCCTTTCCCCAGCCCCTGACCTCTCAGAACCCAGACAACGGAGACCCCGCCCCCTTCAAGAAAACATACGGGTTCAACCGATTCCCTCATCCTGACTGCCCCCAAGGCCTGACCCCCATACCCTCCAACATGGCCCCTGACCAGCACCCAGACCTCACCTCCCCGTCTTAGGGGTCCAGGCCCGGGCCCATCTCCCCGCCCCTCCTTACTCACAGCAGCCGTGTCAGGTCCCCCGGACTCCTGGGAGCGGGACTCCGAGCGAGGGCTCCGGCAGCGCCTCCAGCGGAGGCCGTGGCACCTGGAGCCGTCTGCAGGAGACACGCGTGGGCACTGGGGCAGGGGACTAGTCGCAGGGACTTGGGGGGCAGAGGAAAGAGAAGCCCACCCTTCTCTCCCAGCCTCCACCTGCCCCTTCCCCAACACCCTTCTGAGCCTCCGACTCTCACCCACTCGTCCTCCCAGCTGCCCTCGGGACAAAACCCAGCCAGGGCAGCTCGGCACGGGAGCCAGCTCGGTCCTGGTCCCCACAAACTTCTATGGCCGCCCCTCCCGCCCCTGCCCGCCAGCCCCTGGGAAACACAGATCAGTCCTGCAGCGCATCCCTGTGCCATGCACCTGCTGCTGCCTCTCAGGCTTTCTCCCTCACCAGACAGCTCTAACGTGCCACCTCCTCCAGGAAGCCCTCCTGGACAGCTTCCTCCATTAGCTTAGCTGGGCCTCCTGCCCGCTCGGGTACCACAGGCCACTGCTGACCATGCCTGTGAACCCCTCCAAGGCAGACTCATCTTCAGCTCCTTTGCCAGCCCAAGGGCGGCACCAGGAGATCTCAGAAAAGCCCGTGAACCAGAGATCGAGATCAAGGATGCAGAGGTGGGGCAGGGGGCCAAAGAGGAGCCAGAACCCATCCTACCTTTGTCATTCGCCAGGTCCCCCTGCAGGGAGGTGCCCACGGCCTGCTGGATGGCCCGCTGAGGGAGAGATGGGAGTGGAGAGGTGGAGAGAAAGGGCGGCGGTCAGGCATTCTGGACACCCTACAACCAGACTCGAACCCCTCAGAGGCGCCGGGAGCCTGGGCCCACCCCGGGCCCCCTCCCGCTGGGGCCCACGGGTCCATCCCAGCCTCCCAGCCCCTCCCTCCTCGGCCGCAGGGGCCCAGGCCTCACCAGGATGAAGGCGGACGGGGAGAGCGCGGCGTCTCGGTCCGGCGGGCCGTCGCCCCTCTCCTCGCCCGACTCCTCTGTCTTCCCTCGAGGCTCATCTTCCTCCTCCATGGTCACCTGAGGGGGAGGGGGAGTATGGAGCGCAGGCCGGCGGGGCGGGGGGCGGGGGGTGGTGTGATGGGTGTGCGCACACAGGGACAAAAGCAGAGAACCTTCCCACTTCAGTATCCCCTTCGGCATCCCTCCTCCCCCCCCCTCGCCCCAGGCCTTGGGGTGCACCAGGCCCAGGCGGACACTGGAGGGAGAGGGGCCATTCCGTCCCTCGTCTGGATCTCAGCTGCCTCCTCTGGCCAGGGGCGGCCTTCGCCGCCTCCGATTTCAACACCCCGCCCTGCAGAGCCCACAGCTCCCCCCACACCCCGACTGGACACCTCCGGGCCCACCCTCGTGGGATCCAGCCCCACGCCAAGAGCTGTCTCTGCTGAGCTGTGATTCCCGGCAGCGAGCTCACAGCCTCGCGCCTGCACCATTCCTAACACGAGGGAGCGCCGGGGGCGCCTCCGCACGGCCCAACTTCCTCAGCTTCACCCAAAACCGTTTACATACGTGACACGGAGCTGTGACATATATAACATGGAACCGTGTGCCGCTTTTGAAACGAAAACACTAACGTTAGAAGGGCCTGCTGCCCACCAGACCCTCCCCCCGCCCCGGACATCGCCTCTGGCCTGTCTGCCCGCTGCACGGAGGCATGGCTGCCGCCTTGGCGATGTCACAGGGACGCTTAGATGACGCAGAGCCGAAAGGCCATCATCCTTCAGCTGCGGCTCTGAGTGAGGCTTCAGAAGACAGGAGCGTGTCAGCTGTGGCTTCCCTCCAGCTGTCAAACCCGCTTCTCCGCAGCCATACCCAGTCCCAGTTCCTACAGAGCTTCGAACCCCTAACCCCGCACTCGGTACGCGGTGCAATCAGAGTGTCCTCCTCAGAGGACATGGGTGAGAACCAAAAAGAGCCGCTTCTGCCACAGAGTCAGCTCAGCCCAGTGCTCAGCACAGAGTAACAATAATGATCATTTTCACTATTAGCTTTTGGGGGCCGGGCTTCCCCCACACCCGCTTTCTCCCCTGCACACCTACAAAGACCTCTGTCCTGCTCTCCCTCCTACCAGATTTTCAACATTGTTATTTTTTTTATTTTATTGATTTCAGAGTGAGGGAGAGAGAGAGAGAGAAACATCGATGAGAGAGAATCATTGATCTGCTGCCTCCAGCTCGCCCCACACTGGGGATCCAGCCCGCAACCTGGGCATGTGCCGTCACCAGGAACTGAACTATGACCTCCTGGTTCATAGGTCAAAGCTCAACCACGGAGCCAGGGAGAGATGGGCCACTCTTCAAGCTTTTGGAAAGCTTTCCCAGGCAGCCTCCCAGCTCTGTAAGAGCCTGGGACTCCTTCCCTACCTCCCCAGTGACACACGCCCTGCAAAGGCCCTGAGGCCAGTTCCCAGCTCTGAGGACAGGGCCCAGCCCTGGAGCTTCTCTCCAGCACCAGGGGGAAGCACAGGTTTCAGTGATCCACAGAACAGAAGCTTCTTGTAGATCTGCAGACTACAGACAGACACACCGACCCCAAAACCTCTGTATTGAAGACACTCCGTTGCCCATCCACGCATGCCCCAAGCTCTGCAGACACAATACCAGTGGCTCCTTAAAAAAAATTTTTTTTTTACTTGAAAAGGCTCCACAGACGTTGCTAGGCCCCTCTAGATCAGTGAGTGGTTCCCACTGGGAGCAGTGTAAGTGCTTCCCACACAGCTCGTCCCAGAAAGCAATTCGGTAGAACACAGCGGAAGATCCTTCAGGTTGCAAGGACTAAGTGGAAATACCAATGGGACGTGGGTCTACGGTTCAATATATGTCAGTAGGTCCTGGGGGGTCTCAAGGAGAACATGTATTTCTTACTGTAGATCAAGGTCAAGGGTTTGAAAAGTGCTGCACGGAGTGCTAGGTGGTCCTACGGGCTCGGTCAGACTCCTGTGGGCGACTTCTGACTCTCTGGCCCCCAAGGCCATGCAGACTTTCAAGACATTTTCCATCCGAATTACCTTCCAAAGTGCAAGTACGTTTGAGTTCCGCATATTTTCCAGCACTCTCCTTTTGTCTTATTCCCCATCTGATTATCTGGCCCCAAAGGCATTCGCCTCTGCTCCAGGCACGGAGACTGCACTCTTGCAGGCACCCTCAGAGCCGACACCCAGCGGGTTCCAGGTCCTTCTAGCTGCCCACAGCCTCCTGTCACTCCGATCAGACACTCCCCAGACGATGGAGACCCCTCCAGGCCTTGCAGCACCACTCAATACTCGCCTCCCTCCCTTGGGGGGTCACATCCCACCCCTGAATGACTTCCTAACCCAGGATGGGCTCCTTCAGGCCCGCTCGATGGCTCCAGACCCGGGTAGGAGAGTGGCAACCTCAGGTCGGCCCCTGCAGACACCTCGCAGCCCCGATCGACGTACCCCAGAGCTACACCGATGGCTCTGCAGATACGCCCCGGCTCTTGCACACCTCCCTCACCTCTGGGACAGATCTCCAGATCTCAAGATGGCCCCAGAACCCTCCGAACAGACCCCAGCCTCCGGTCAGCCCATAAAGGCGATCCTCAGCGCCTACGGAAAAGACCCATGATGGAGGGCAGGCGCCAGGCCCGGCCCAGGCCCTGCGGACGCCCCCAGTTCTCACGGGGACGCCCCGCAGATGCCCTCGGCACCCACAGACGCGTCCCGGGGCCTGGAGGAGGCCCCCGGTTCGGCGCCAGCCTCCGCCTCCGCTGCCCGGCCGGAGGCCGCCCCGCGAAGTCCTTCAGGCCCCGCGGCGTGTGGGGAGGACCGCAGGGCTACCCGCGACCCGACTCCGCCCCGCCCACCCCGATAGGCCCGAGCCCCGCGGCCCGGACCGCCGCCGCCATCTTACCCCGCCGCTCGGGCTGCGGCTCCGGCCCCGGCGCGGGGCGGGGCGGGCTGGGGAGGTTCGCGAGCGGAGGAGGAGAGGGGCGGAGCTCAAGCGCCGCCGAGCTTGCCGGGACTTCAAGTACCGAGCACGGTGCCGTGAAGGCTGGTGGGAAGGCTCCGGACTCAGTTTCCCAACAGCCAACGGGGCACCTGGGGCCAAGGGGTGCGCGCGACGCACGCCGGGAAGCGTAGTCCGCGCGTCGCCTCCGTCACGCGGGGACAGCATGGGGGTGAGAGGTGAAGTAGGCGGGGCTGCGGTAGCCCGCGAGGTAGTCCCACAATGCCCCGCGCGCGCGGAAAGCCCGAGGAGCAGGAAGTGACTTAAAGGAGCATGTAGCCCGACAGATGCAAGGGAATTGTAGTTCGGGAAATGCTGCAGCAGGAGAAAAAAAAAAAAAAAAAAAAAAAAAAAGTTGGATTGACTGACTGCAAACTGCCCCGCCCACATTCTGGGGAGCCCAGAATCTCGATCCCCTAGTCCCCTCTAAATTTAGAACCAAGAAGGTCGGCCCTCCAGCCTCCTTATTTAGGATAGTAAAGTCCAAATTCCTATTCGTCTCACTCGGCAGAGGATTTCGGGTTCCCATTTCCCTCCTCCTCCCTGCGACTCAGGAGTCCGAGCCTTCCTCCTTCCTTAGATCCAGGAGTTGGGCCCTCAGATCACTCCTGGCCTCAAGCTGGTACCTTACACGAACATGGGTTCTGGTTCCCCACCTCAATTCCCGCGGGATTAAGAATTCCGGACCCCCAGCCCCTCCAACTCCTGGACACAAATCCGGGCCCTCCGCTTCCTCCTTTACGGGACACGGGTAGTCCTAATAATAAAGACCCCTAGATCCTTCCTCCCCGGGATACAGGAATGCAGACCTCGAGCCCTATTCTCTCCTAGAGACCCAGGAGTCTGGACCGTCAGCTTTTTCCTCTTTCAAAGATCCAGAAATCCTGGCTCTAGAGGCCCTTCCGGACCCAGGCGTCCGGGCTTGGGCGAGCTGGCTCATGGATTAGGAATGCAGTGATCTCACGGCCCCTCCCTGTCCCGTTACTCGGGCTGAACTCCTCCAGGGCCCCAGCTCCCCTCCCAGTCTGCCTTCCGCTTGGTTGGGACAGCGGGAACCGGAAGCCTGGGTCCCTGAGCGGGCGGAGACTGCGAGAGGCAGCCCGGACGCCCGGGTCGGAAGTTTGGCCGGGACCCCAGGACGGAGGCGGAGCTTCCCCCCCAGGACCTGCTCCTTCCTTGGAGCGCGCCTATATACGGCCGCGCGGGAGCCGCCGGCCCCGCCCCCTAGAACGAGGCCCCGGGGAGGAGGGCGCCCTGAGACCCAGCTTCACCGAGCTCCTTATTTGCATAGCCCCGCCCAGAACGATCCTTCCCACCCGTGAGCCCAGAGAACGCGAGCTTCATTAGCATAGCCCCGCCCCCAGGCGGCTCTCCAGCCCCGAGCGCGTGGCGCCGCGCCCTCCGTGAGCGCAGCACTCTTTCCCTCATTAGCATAGCCCCGCCCCTTCTAGGAATTCCCCTTCACGGGGAACGTCGTTCCCCGATCGCTATTAGCATAGCCCCTCCTCTTACCTCGCCTTACCTCCCCCTTAAGTGTACCGGGTCCGTGTCCTTTCCGCTGGAGCTCATGATTATGCAGTGATCATTAGCATAGCCCCGCCCCCAAGGCCCCGCCCGGCTCCCCCCCAGGCTGTAGCAGCGGCGGCGGCGGCGGACGCGACATGAGCAGCGGGGCGGCGTCCGCGACGGGGCGGGGGCGGCCCCGGGGCGGGGGGCCGGGCCTCGGGGACCCCCCACCCAGCGAGACACACAAGCTGGTGGTCGTGGGCGGCGGCGGCGTGGGCAAGAGTGCGCTGACCATCCAGTTCATCCAGGTAGTGGGGGACCTCACTTCGGGGGGTGGGGGTCCCCCCCCTCCGGGACCCAGAACATAGCCCTTGGGGGAGGATCCCTGAGACCCCGATTTCCTCTGGATCCATCCCGGAGACCCTCTTAGGAGGCCCTCTAATCTTAAAACTCCCCCCTGAGAATGTCACTCAGGCCCCCCCAGGACGTTCACCCTCTTACCTGAGGGATCTTCCTTCTCCACTCACGTCCTGAGACTCCCCACCCCTCCCCCATGGCCCGGGGCTCCCCTTTCTCTGTTGACCTGACCCTGAGCACCTCCTGGGAGCACCTTAAATCCCTAAGTCGCCCCATCCAGACCCTAAGTCCTTTCCTGTGCCCCCACCCGTGTAGATGCCACTTCCTCTCACCCTGAGCCCCGTCTCCCCCAAATCCCAGACCTCAGCTTCCCCTCTGAGAGCCAGAGCCCGCTGGGGGGATGCCTGTGCACAAAGCCCTGGAGATGCCCCTTAGTCTGGATGCTTGGTCCGTGCAGGCACCTCCCCCAGAATCTAGACATGATGCCCAGACATTGGCCCCGGGTCCCATCTGGGACCCCCCCCCCCCCCCCAGTTCTAAGAGAGATGCCCTCAGACCCAAGAAAGTTCTAAAAGGTCCCTGTGCCCCTTGGTCATTCCAGAGAACTCGAAGCCCCCAAATCCTGGGGCTCCCACATCCCGGGAGACCCAGACCTCCCCCTCCCCCTGAGGAAAACCAATTACTCCTCTTGAATTTTTCCACTCAAGACTCCCTCTCTCAGAAACGCTGGCTACCTCCCTCCCCAAATAGTCTCCATAGTAGAAGCTCCCCACCCCCCCGATTCTTGACACCCCCAGAAATAGCTACTCCTGAGGAGTGCCTCTGACCTCATAAATGCATGTCGGGGTCTCTAAGACTCCAGACAGGCACTTCTATTTTAGTACAAACTCCCAAATGTGCCCAAATTACCTTCCGGCTTTCCCTCTCCCAGTTCTCTCCCCTGAGCTTCTTGGGAGGTGCGCTAAAGACACTCTCCTAGTCCCCCAGGGCCCGGTCCCCGCACCCTCCTTCCAGGAAGAGCCCTCACCGAGCACCACCTCCAGCAGACAGGGTGCAGCCCTGAGACCCCCAGCTGCCAGGTCACCCCTTCTCGCTGAAAAGGAAAACTCCACCCCATTCCCAAGGGAAACATCCCTCCTGCCTCAGAGAAACCCTAGAAAGGTGTCTGTCTGCTCCTGAGAAGACACTGCAGAGGCCGCTGGGCCCCAAGACCCCTTAAGAGACCCGCCTCCCCCCCCCCCCCCGTGCCTGGACGGGAGCCCTGGCCTGTGTAGAGAAAAGCCCCCAGCCCTGGGCCCCTTATCCCAGGGGCAGACCCAAGCTGCTCAGAAGCCTGGCTGGAGACAGGCGGGACCCAGGCAGGAAGGGAGGGGCAGTTTCTCCAAAGTTGGATTGGAACCCAGACCTTCCCCTGGGAGGAGACACTGAGAGCCGCCCGAGGAGGAGGAGGAGGAGGAGGAGGAGGAGGAGGAGGAGGAGGAGGGACAGATACAGACAGACAGAATCCTGGACAACAAGGCCCCCAATAACGGCACCTACTGTGTGTGTGCAGGCAGTGTGGCCAATGCTCAGACGTGAAGTGGACTCCCCCTGAATCTCACAGACACTGACTCCATGTGGGGCTATTTTTACCCTCCTTTTTCTAAATGAGGAAACAGGTTCAGAGAGGGGAAGTGATTGGTCCCATACCACACAGCCCAGAGGTCGCCAGGATGTGGGAGAACTACTTGATGCCAGAGAGACAGACAAGTGCGGGGGAGCCTCGGAGACAGGGGGGCTGGGGGCGGCAGAGGGAGGCGCAGACAGCCAGAAAGAGGAAGATGGAGCCCAAGAGACAGGGGGGACCGAGATCCAGGGAGCGGGGACAGGGAAGGCGGGCCCCAGGGGCAGAGCTGTGTCCTCCCCGCTGGGGCAATGGGGTAACCGCGTCCTCTCTCCACCCCCAACCAGTCCTACTTCGTTTCCGACTACGACCCCACCATCGAGGACTCCTACACCAAGATCTGCACCGTGGATGGCGTCCCGGCCCGACTGGACAGTGAGGGCGGCCGAGAGGGCATGGGGGGCGGGGGAGATGGCGGGGGGCGGGGCCGGGCCAGGTGCCTGGGGATGGCCAGGGGAGCCTTGTCCACATGGCGGCCCTCTCCCCGTCGCTGCAGTCCTGGACACCGCGGGCCAGGAGGAGTTTGGCGCCATGCGGGAGCAGTACATGCGCGCCGGGCACGGGTTCCTGCTGGTGTTTGCCATTAACGACCGGCAGAGGTGAGGGGAGCGGGGCGGTGGCCGAGCCTGGGGGCGGGGCCGAGCCTGGAGGCGGGGCTGAGCCGGGGACAGGGCCAATCCTGGGGGCGGGGCTGAGCCAGGGGTGGGGTTTAGTTTGGGGGCGGGGCTAAGATGGGCGGAGCTGAGTCAGGGAAAGGGCCAATCCTGGGGGCGGGGCTGATCCAGGGGTGGGGTTTAGCTTGGGGGCGGGGCTAAGGTGGGCGGAGCTGAGCCAGGGACAGGGCCAATCCTGGGGCGGGGCTGAGCCTGGGGGCGGGGCTGAGCCGGGGACAGGGCCAATCCTGGGGGCGGGGCTGAGCCTGGGGGCGGGGCTGAACAGCTGGACCGGACCCCTCCGGGCTTCCTCCGCAGTTTCAACGAGGTGAGCAAGCTCTTCACGCAGATCCTGCGCGTCAAGGACCGAGACGACTTCCCCATCGTGTTGGTCGGGAACAAGGCCGACCTGGAAGCGCAGCGCCAGGTCCCAGACGCCCGGGGGACTCCGTCTCAGCCCGGGGGGGGGGGCACCTCCTGTCCCTCCTCAGCTCAGCATCCTCTGGCTTGTGGGATCCGGCCCCCTCCGCACCCACGCCCCTAACTAGATGTGCTGCCCCCCCCCCCGGAGCCTGAGTCCCCGGCTTTGCCCCCCAGGTGTTCCCAGGCGATGTGGCTGGTCCCCAGGTCCCCAAGCCCTGACTCTGCTGTACCCCCAGCTCTTGTTCCCACCGGGCGGGACCTTTGCACCAGCCTTTTTTTTTCCTTTCTATTTTTTAAATAAATTATATAATATTTTTATTGATTTCAGAGAGGCAGGGAAAGGGAGAGATAGAAACATCAATGAGGGAGAATCATTGGTTGGGTGCCTTTTGCACACCCCCTACGGGGATCAAGCCTGCAACCTGGGCATGTGCCCTTGGCCAGAATAGAACCAGGGACCCTATGGTCTACAGGCCGATGCTCTATCCACTGAGCCAAACTGGCTAGGGCTGCACCAGCCTCTCTTGTCTCCCTCCTGGTCCACCTCCCACTGGGTCCCGCTGCCCCTCCCCTGCCCCCAGCCCTCCGTGGCTCCCCATTGGCCCTGGGGTGCCCACCAGGGTCTCGGCCCTTCCTTTCTCTGCTCCCACCACTTCCCTCTGCCATGGCATTGCCTGCAGAGCGCATCTTCAGAGTGAGCCTCTGGGGGATTTCCAGCCTTGGCTGCTTGGCCTCTGCTGGGAACATCCCCTTCTCTGCCCCACGGACTGTCCTCTCACTTGCAGGAGGGCACACGTCTGTGCGGGCCAGGCTCTCCCCTCCTCAGAGGGCACCGAGTCCCCTCCGTGTCCCCCACAGGATCTCTGGAACTTTCCACTTGAGCCCCCAGCGCACCGTGTGTGACACGCCCCCCTCATTCCTGCGCACAGTGTGTCCGTCCTTCTGCCCCGTCCTGGGTGCAGGGACCTGAGTCTCTCCTGTGTCCCCGCCCCCCCCCCCCAGGTGCCCCGATCTGAAGCCAACACCTTCAGCGCCGCCCACCACGTCGCCTATTTCGAGGCCTCGGCCAAACTGCGCCTCAACGTGGACGAGGCCTTCGAGCAGCTGGTGCGGGCTGTCCGGTGCGTGGTACCCCCCCCCGCAGCCCCCCATTACCTCTCCCCAGCCCCCGGGGCCCAGCCTCACCAGCCTCTCCCCCACAGGAAGTACCAGGAGCAGGAGCTCCCGCCCAGCCCGCCCAGCGCCCCCCGGAAGAAGGCCAGGGGCTGCCCCTGCGTCCTCCTGTAGGGGAACCAGCAGAGCCCCAGGGACCAGCCGCCCTCCCCCTCCTGGGTCTCCCAGGCTACACTACACCCCCACCCCCACCCCTCCCCCTCCACGACCCCGGCCCTGCGGCCACTGCCACCGCGTGCCTCTGCCACCGCCTCCTCCCCCCACCCAGGCCACCGTGGGGGCGAGGGGTTCCCGGGCATCCATCCCGGTCACTGCTGTATAAAACCCCGCCCCAGAGAAATAAAGGTCACTGCCAACGTCAGGGAGTGCTTGTGTGGGAGGGGAAAGGGCTAGAGGAGGCCGGTGACTTCAGGGTAAGTACACACACACACACACACACACACACACACACACACACGCCCACCTAGAACCATCAGGCCTAGAACCCCGGGGCAGGGGCCACTGAGAACAAGGTAAGCCTTCAACAGGCCATTCCACCCTTTTCTGTGCCGGTGGGCATTGGGTGGGATGAGGTTTAACGTTGGAAAAAGAATTTTTTTTCTCCCCCTGGAACATTCTGAAACGACACCGTTCAATATGGTAGCCAGAAGCTACCTGTGACTATTATTTTCCCCCCAATGATCCCAGAGAGGGAGAGAAACGTGGACCCGTTGTTCCACCCGTCCATGCACCCACCCGTCTCCTGCATGTGCCCTGACCGGGGATCAAACCCACAACCCAGATGGGTCTGCACGATGCTCCAACCAATGGAGCTACTTGGCCGGGACCAGGGCATGGGACTGTCCTCAGTCACACTGGCCTCCTTTCAAGAGCCCATTCCTTCTTCCCACGTGGCTGGTGGCTACCCCAAGGCAAACAGGCAGATTCCCACCACCGCAGAGAGGTGCATGGGTGTTCTAGAAAGTTCCAGACTTTGGAGCCTGGCAGCAGCCGCCACACACTCCACCCGCCCCCTCCCACCTCCGACGTATGTTTGAAAGGGCTTCTGGCCGGAGGAGAAAGGGACAGGTGGACGGATTGGTGTCCGAGCAGCCAGCTGGCAAATTCTCAGTTCCAGAACATTCCCAACCGGGCTGGTGTGGACACACCCCATCTGGGCCTCTCTCCTGGGAGGGGCAGAAGTGCGGGGTATCTCAAGGCCACCAGACACAAGTTGCTAGGAAACCTTTGACTCCCCAACATTCAACCCAGGACCTCCCCCCTCCCCATTCCATGCTTATTGGCTCCCCTGGAAGGCTGGAGACCACCCCTCACCCATCTCCCAAGCCCACCGCACAGGCGTCTGGGAACCCCCACACTTAGCACACCAGGTCAGAACCCCGTCCTCCCACCTGTCCCCAGGCCTGAACTTTGACCTCCACCCGTCCATGATCTGCAGCCCCTCACGCCACACCCGTGTCCCCGACCAGAAGTGCCGTCCACACACCCACCTAGAACCCACTTCCTGGGCCCGGCGTGGCGATGGCCGCGGGCCGCCCGGGTCCGTGGCAGAGCCTCCATCTGTGATGTGGGCGACCACAGAGCCACTTCCCAGGCCAGAGGCCCGGCACCACGAATGTCCCTGTGTTCGTTCCCGAGCAGAACAATGATCGCTGGCCGTCCCTTTCCGGCTCTCATTTTATCACAGAATCCTTGGCACGAGCTCCACCTTCCGCCCGGGGAATGAGCGAGGCTCAGATGTATTGTCCCGCACGCTCGCTCCCTCCCTCCTCCTCCTCCTCTCCCACCTCTGGAGGACAGGGAGGGGATGTTTCTAGCAGTTTCCACATAAGACCCGACACCCCCACCGAAGGCCCAGAGCCAGGGGTGAGGCACGCCCGGAGCATAAGGCCTGAGTTCTGGCTGCGTTGCCAAGCCCTTGGCCGGGACACCCTGCCTCTCGGAGGTCCCAAGAGGCCCTGGGAAAAGCTGAGCACTCCCATTTGCCCCCGGAACAAGGCCCTCGTACAAACCCACACAACTGGCCGCCACCGCCATTCCACACCCATCAGGCAGCAGCCAAAGGCTGGCGTGACCCAGCTGGCATCGCCCTGGGCACATGTGTGCCCTCGTGAGGCTCTCCTCTCCGGTTCCTGCCTCCCCCTGGGCTCTGGCAGGCCCTGTCAGTGACTGTCTCTCTGGGTCCTTTGTCCATCTGTCATCCTGTCAGTCAGTCCTTCTTGCCATCTCTTGGACCTCCGGCACACCTCTCAGGTCTCCTGCTAAGGGTGACAGCAGCCAAGTGCTCGCAGTGCCCAGTGCTTCACACAGGTTTCCTTCGTCTTGCCAAAAGCCCATTTTACAGATGACAAAACTGAGCGTGGGAGGCTATTACTCAGTTAGTGCGAGAGCTGAGACTCAGCTGGAACAATTGAATGACGAAGGGCCAACCACGAGAGTATTCGAACCCCGATGGCCACTTTCTGACCACGCCATCCACGTCCTAGGACAGAGCTCTGTCCCAGGACAACGCTGATTCTGGGGACTCTGGTCCCCAGGTGGCTTCCATTCAACCCAGAACCTGGAAGGTGCCACTCCCTCCGAGGCGATACGCTCAGCATCCCAGGGTCCAAGTCCATTCTCGATGCTCTTAACTGATTTAAGAGGATCCCAGAAAGTCAGGGCCCATCACTAACTCCCATCATGGTCTCACATGATTCCAGTCATTCTGTGAAACCATCAATAACAGCGGGGATGGTCTAGACCTGTGGTCGGCAAACTGCAGCTTGCGAGCCACAAGCGGCTCTTTGGCCCCTTGAGTGTGGCTCTTCCACAAAATACCACAGCCTGGGCCAGTCTATGTTGAAGAAGTGGCGTTAGAAGAAGTTTAAAAAATTTGGCTCACGTCAAAACCGGTGTGGCTCAGTGGATAGAGCGTCAGCCTGCGGACTGAAAGGTTCCAGGTTCGATTCCGGTCAAGGGCATGTACCTTGGTTGCGGACACATCCCCAATTGGGGGGGGGGGGCGGAGTGCAGGAGACAGCTGACCAATGTTTCCGACTCTCTCTCCCTTTCACTTCCTCTCCGTAAAAAAACAAATCAATAATGATAATAATAAAAAGTAGATCCTGCCAAGACCGGTTTGGCTCAGTGGATAGAGCGTGGGCCTGTGGACTGAGGGCTCCCAGGTTAGATTCCGGTTGGGGGCATGTGCCTTGGTTGTGGGCACATACCCAGTGGGGCCGTGTGCAGGAGACAGCTGATCGATGTTTCTCTCTCATCGTTGTTTCTGACTCTCTCTCCCTCTCCCTTCCTCTCTCTAAAAAAAATCAATAGTAATAAAATTTTAAAAAATTAGATCCTGGCTGAAACCGGTTTGGCTCAACGGATAGAGCGTCAGCTTGGGGACTGAAGGGTCCTGGGTTCGATTCCGGTCAAGGGCATGTGCCTTGGTTGTGGGCGTATGCCCAGTGGGGAGTGTGCAAGAGGCAGCTGATCGATGACTCTCTCTCATCGATGTTTCTAACTCTGTCTCTCTCTCCCTTCCTCTCTGTACAAAATCAATAAAATATATTTTAAAAAAAAATTTAGATCCTGAAACTCCAGCCAAATCCCCACCTTCTGCCCTGCGGTAAGACGGCTCAGATGTACCGTCCCACAGTTCCTCCTCCCTCCCTCCCCCAGAACCCCTGCCCACGGGCTGAGGACCCCATGGCATCCTTGGGACAGAGCTAGGCCAGCCCCCACCCAGTTCATCCGCCCCCCGATTCCGGGTCCTCAGACACCATTCGATGATGCTCCTTGTTTCAAGCCACTAAATTCTGGGGCGGGCTGCGTGTTACACAGCGAGACATAACCGATACATGGTCCCCGGTGCGACCACCACCCAGGGCTCCAGAGAGGCCCATGCTCGACCCGTCCAGACCCTCGACCCGTCCATGCTCTCCCTCCCCCCCACCCCCCCGGCCACCAACCGCCGCAGGACAGAGCCACGCCAGCCGGACGGTCGAGTGTTTGCCGTTGGGTTTTCGTTTGGCTGGTTGTGTGTACACAGTGTATACAAGTTGAGTCGTACAGAAGCCCAAGAAAGCAAGAGACCACGTGGGGTGGAGTGGGGAGGGGAGAGGTGGGAGCAGAGGGGGTTAGAGAGAGGGGAGCGGGGAGACCGATAAAAAATAGAACCACATCCAGACAACAATGGGGTGGGGGTGGGGTGTGTTGGGGGGAGGGGGGAGAGACACGGACAAACCGCAGTAGAAAATGGGAGGGGCCAAAGGAGGGGACCCTTCTCCCCCCTCCACCTCCCCCGCCCCCTGCCCCAGGTATGTACAATAAATAAGATTAAAAATAATTAACAAGATGCGTTTTCCCCCTCCCACCGGAAGCCCTGGGGGGAGGGAATGGCCTTTTAGCAAAGATCTTGGCCTGTAACGGGGGAGGGGAGGGGCCTTGAGGGGGTCAGTGGGTCCCCCCAGCTCTCAAAAGCAGCCCCGCCCCCCTCAACCATACATAGATTTTTCCTATACATTATGTACAAGGTGGAGGGGGTGAGGGCTATGGCCGTGGAGGGGGGGAAACGGGGCACGGGGGAGAGGGGAACCGTTACTAAATAGACATTTATACATATATATAAATAATTTCTCTGTACACCGGACGGCGGGAGGGATGGGGAGGGAGCGGAGGGGGCTGGGGAGAGAGGGGAGTCGAACTCTGAACCCTGCCCCGGAGGGCCAGCACGGACACACCCGGGCCCGTGACCCTCGCCCGGGCCTCGGGGTCAGCGCCCGAAGACACAGTTCTGTCCCGATCCGCGGTTCCGGGGGGTCACCCGCAGCGGCTGTGGGCCTGGGCCTGGGCCAGCAGGTCGCTGAAGGAGTCGAACAGCTGCTCCAGCCACGGCTGGTTCCGCATGCACTGCTGGACCACCTCCTCCTGGCCCAGGTCCTCGGCGCCGCCCTCGATGGCCAGGGTCTGCGGGGGAAACACGGAGCTGGGTCCGGCCGCCTCGGCCGGGGTGGCGGGAGGCAGGGGTCTAGGGATCAGTGTCCTGGAAGAGGGGGCTGGGGGCTGGACCCCTGGGTCTGAGGGAGGAGGGGCTGGGGGCCTGGGCCCCTGGGTCTGAGGGAGGAGGGGCTGGGGGCCTGGACCCCTGGGTCTGAGGGAGGAGGGGCTGGGGGCCTGGACCCCTGGGTGTGAGGGAGGAGGGCTGGGGTAACTCCCCAGGGCGCAGTGGGGAGGTGGGGAGGTGGGTGGTGGGAATGTGGGGAGGTGGGAGGGTGGGGGGGTGGGGAGGTGGGGATGTGAGTGGGGATGTGGGGAGGTGGGGATGTGAGTGGGGAGGTGGGGAGGTGGGGAGTGGGGAGGTGGGGATGTGAGTGGGGAGGTGGGGAGGTGGGGGGGTGGGGATGTGAGTGGGGAGGTGGGGAGGTGAGGAGGTGGGGATGTGGGGATGTGAGTGGGGATGTGGGGAGGTGGGGAGGTGGGGGGGTGGGGAGATGGGGAGGTGGGGATGTGGGGGGGGGCAGGTGGGGGGGGGGCTCACCTGGTCCCGGCAGCGCAGGAAGGTGTGGTACTTGTAATGGTGGAGGGAGTGGTAGAGCGTGTAGTATCCCGACTTGTCCAGCTCCACCTTGAACTCCTGGGCACACGGGAGGAGCAGCCTCAGCGCCCACCCAGCCCTGGGCAGCCCCCCGCCCCCGCCCTGCCCGCCGGCCGCACCTGGGCGCGGACCGCGCTCCGCTTGAGCTTGCTGAGCGTCTTGCGGTTGTAGGGCTCCCCGGCCGGCCGCAGCCGCACCGCCCCGTCCTCGGGGGAGCCCTCCGCGCTCTGCTCCACCTGCAGCTGCGGGAACGTGTGCAGGGCGTCCTGCGGGGGAGGGAGGGTCAGCGGGCGCCCCAAGCCCTCCGCCCGGTCCCCAGGTCCCCCAAGGTGCCTCAGTTTCCCCCCGGGCTGCAGATCAGGAAACAACTGGGGCCAAAGCCGGTGTGGCTCAGTGGACAGAGCTTCGGCCTGCGGACTGAAGGGTCCCGGGTTCGATTCCGGTCAAGGGCATGGGCCTTGGTTGCGGGCACATCCCCAGTAGGGGGCGTGCAAGAGGCAGCTGATCGATGATTCTCTCTCATCGATGTTTCTAACTCTCTATCCCTCTCTGTACAAAATCAATAAAACAAGGAAGGAAGGAAGGGAGGGAGGGAGGGAGGGAGGGAGGGAGGGAGGAAGGAAGGAAGGAAGGAAGGAAGGAAGGAAGGAAGGAAGGAAGGAAGGAAGGAAGGAAGGAAATAAACTGGGGGGAGTCTCGCTTCTTCCAAGGCCCCGGGAGCTAGGCCTGCGGGCGGGTGACCTGAATGCCTGTTCCCGGCCCAGGACCCTCAGGGCCACCCCAAAAGCCTCCTCAACGCTCTCCGACCAGCCGGAAGTCCAGAATCCCCGGAGCCAGGTACCACTCCATCCCAGAATCCTAAAGCCAGGCTGCCATTCCACCCCGGAACCCACAGACCGACCCCAATGCAGGCGCCCCTGGCAACACGGGCTCCACTCCACGGCCCACTGCCGTAAAGTGGCCGTGGCCGTAAAGCGACACCGCAATAAGGCGGGCGTTGCCGTAAAGCAGACGCCGCAATAAGGCGGGCGTTGCCGTAAAGCAGACACCGCAATAAGGCGGGCGTTGCTGTAAAGCAGACGCCGCAATAAAGCAGAGCGCAATAAAGCGGGCATCGCCGAAAAGCAAGCCACACAATTTTTGGTTTCCATGTGCATGTGAAAGTAGGTTGACGGCGCTATACTGTAGAACATTGCGTGTGCAATAACATTCTGTCTAAAAAAAAAAAAAGTACGTGTCTTCACTTAAAAATATTGTATTGTCAAAAAAATATATATTGTATTGTCAAAATAATGTGAACCCTCATCTGAGCCTTTGCAAGTGGTAAGCTTTTTGCTGGTAGAGGGTCTTACCTTCAATTTGTAAAAAAATAAAAATAAAATGCAATATCTGTGAATCACAGTAAGATGAGGTATGCCTATATTCTATAACGGCTTGTCTTGTTTAAAATAATTTTTAAAAGTGATTCTTAGAGAAGAGGAAGGGAGGGAGAGGGAGAGAGAAACATCGATGTGCTATTCCACTTATGTATGCATTCGTAGGTTTATTCTTGTACGTACCCTGACCAGGGATTGAACCCCCAACCTTGGTGTATCAGGATGAGGCTCTAACCTACTGAGCTAGCCGACCTGGGCTCCTTTTTTTCTTAACAATGGAATTTTTTTCCCCAAAAAAAGATCTGATTTTTATTTATTTTATTTTTGTTAATCCTCACCTGATAATATTTTCCCATTGATTTTTAGAGAGTGGAAGGGGGAGAGACAGAGTAACATTGATGTGAGAGAGATAACCAGGGTCGGGAACTTGCAACCAAGATACATGCCCTTGACCTGAAATGGAACCCGGGACCCTTCAGCCCAAGAGCCAATGCTCTATCCACTGAGCGAAATAATGGGATTATTAACCCTAGCAGGAGATCCTACCCAGGCTCCTCAGAGCCAGACTACCAGCCAATCCCAGGATTCTCAAGAGCGCTCTCACCCTCCCAGCCAGGGCTCTAGAACCAAGTTAACATTTTAGGCCCTACAGACTAACATCCTGCCAAGAATTTCCAAAGCCAGCCTAAAACCCATCCTAGAATTCTCTGACCCACAAATACATCCCTCAGAATTTTCAGGGTGCGCCAACGTCCCATCCCAGGAATCCGCGTCACCCCTAACATTCCACCCCAAGATTTTCAGCATGACACTAACTTCCCTGTCAGAATCTCAGGACTTATATTCTATCCCAGAATTCCCTGGGGCCACCCCAACATTCCACCTCAGAACCCTCGCCATTCCAGAAAGAAATCACATGGATGGACCGGCCAACACGGCGCAGTGGTTGAGTGTCAACCTATGAACCAGGCGATCATGGTTCGATTCCTGGTCAAGGGCACATGCCTGGGTTGCAGGTGTGGGGTGTGCAGGAGGCAGCCGACCAAGGATTCATTCTCATCGTTGATGTGTCTCTCTCCCTCTCCCTTCCTCTCTGAAATCAATAAAAAAAAAAATACTGCCCTGACCAGTTTGGCTCAGTGGATAGACCCTGGGCCTGCGGACTGAAGGGTCCCGGGTTCGATTCCAGACAAAGGCATGTACCTTGGTTGTGGGCACATCCGTAGTAAGGTGTGTGCAGGAGGCAGCTGATGGATGTTTCTAACTCTCTATCCCTCTCTGTAAAAAATCAATTTTATTTTATTTTATTTTTATTTATTTTTTAAAATATATTTTGTTGATTTTTCACAGAGAGCAAGGGAGAGGGATAGAGAGCTAGAAACATGGATGAGAGAGAATCATCGACCAGCTGCCTCCTGCACACCCCCCACCGGGGATGTGCCCGCAGCCAAGGTACATGCCCTTGACCGGAATCGAACCTGGGACCTTTCAGTCCGCAGACCGATGCTCTATCCACTGAGCCAAACCGGCTTCGGCAAAAAAAAAAAAAAAAAAAAAAAAAAAAAATCAATCATATATATATATATACTGAAGCCTGAGATTCTCTGCCAAAGAGCCCGTATCATATCAACCAGCCCTTCCTGCAGGCCTCAGTTTACCTTTTGTCCCCAAACCTGCCTTCCACAACCGCACTCTGTTGGGCCTTCCCACCGGCAGCCCATCCCAGACCTCAGGCGCCCCTGCTCTCAGCTTTCCTCCTGCCAAGCCTGCGCTCCCTCCAGATGTTCTGGGGACCCTGCCCTGGCCCCGGGCGCCCGTGTCCTCCACGCCTGACCTGGGCCCAGCCCCTCCTCCGGCCCAGCCTCCCTCCGGCCCAGCCACACCCCCCCCCCCCCCCCCCCGCACCTGCAGGGCCGGGCTCAGCGACAGCCGCTTCAGGACCTTCTTCTTGTGCTCGTTCAGGAGGCCGTCGATCTTGCGCATGGGCGGGAGGTACAGCTCGTCTGCAGACGGGAGGGGCGGTCAGGAGGGTCACGGCCCCCCACAGGGCGTGGGGGGGGCTGGGGGCACAGGAGGGCTGCCCGCTCCCTCCTCCGGCCCAGCTCACCGTGCGTGTCCTCCAGGGCCTGGATCATGTCCGGGTCCAGCGCGGTGCTCACCAGCATCTCCACGTAGCTGCGGTACATTTCCCGCATGGCCCGCGTCTTCAGCAGCCGCCCGGGCACCGCCCGCTCTGCGGGGACACAGGGGTGGGGGGTCGTGGTTCCGACCTGCTCCGGGGCCCCCCGGGCTGGCAGACCGTGTCCCCAGCACCGGGGACCAGGAGAGAGAAACCCCAGTTCCGGGCCCATGGGGCGGGCGGGCGGACGGACGGCCAGGAACCAGCGACGGGGAAGAACCTTCCCGGCTGCTAAGCTTCATGTCGGACTTTATTTTATTTTTAAATATATATTTTATTGATTTTTTTACAGAGAAGAAGAGGGATAGAGAGTTAGAAACATCCATGAGAAAGAATCATCCATCAGCCGCCTCTTGCACGCCCCCCCACTGGGGATGTGCCCGCAACCAAGGTACATGCCCTTGACCGGAATCGAACCCGGGACCTTTCAGTCCGCAGGCCGACGCTCTGTCCACTGAGCCAAAGCGGTTTCGGCATTAAGGTGACCAGACATCCCGATTTCCAACAATTTGTCCTGCGTCCCGTGGTGTTTTAAAAAGTCCTGATTTTTTGAAAGAGTCCAACAATGCGTCCCTAACACATTGTTGGAAATTGCGCCCTAACCGGTTTGGCTCAGTGGCTAGAGCGTCAGCCTGCGGACTGAGGGGTCCCAGGTTCGATTCCGGTCAAGGGCATGTACCTTGGTTGTGGCGCATCCCCAGTGGGCGGTGTGCGGGAGGCAGTCGATTGATGTTTCTCTCTCATCAATGTTCTGGCTCTCTATCCCTCTTCCTTCCTCTCTGTGAAAAATCGATAAAAAAATATATTAAAAAAAAGAAAAAAGATTGTTGGAAATCGGGACTGTCCCGCCAAAAGCGGGACGTCTGGTCACCTTAGCACCAGTTCCATGCAGCTTCAACCAGGTCTGAAGCAGCAGCCTAGCTGGTGTCTGAGCCGGTGAATCGAGCCAGAGATCAGATCGCAACGGCGAGATGGAGGGAGGAGATAGGAGCGGACGGTGCGTTATCAGTGCCAGCCGGACAGGGCCGGGCCGCCGGCGAGAGGGGCAGAGGGCCAGGGCTTTCCCAGTGGGTGCCAGGAGGCCAGGGAGGGCTGGAGGCAGGGGAGCGGGGGAAGGTGTACCAGGACCCCTCTGAGGCCGTGTGGGGCACTGGCTGGAGGCCTGAGGCCAAAGCTCAGGGCAATGGGCCAGGTAAGAAAGGAGGAGGTGCCGAAACCGGTTTGGCTCAGTGCTGGAGCGTCGGTCTGTCGACTGAAGGGTCCCGGGTTCGATTCCGGTCAGGGGCATGTACATTGGTTGCAGGCACATCCCCAGTAGGGGGTGTGCAGGAGGCGGCTGGTCAATGTTTCTCCCTCATCGACTTTTCTAGCTCTCTATCCCTCTCTCCTCCTCTCTGTAAAAAGTCAATAAAATATATTTAATAAAAAAAAAAGAAAGGAGGAGGTGCCGAAACCGGCTCAGTGGATAGAGCGTCGGCCTGCGGATGGAAGGATCCCGGGTTCGATTCCAGTCAAGGTTGCGGGCACATCCCTGGTAGAGGGTGTGCAGGAGGCAGCTGGTTGATGTTTCTCTCTCATCGATGTTTCTAGCTCTCTATCCCTCTTCCTTCCTCTCTGTAAAAAATCAATAAAATATATATTTTTTAAAATAAGAACGAAAGAGCCGAAACTGGTTTGGCTCAGTGGATAGAGCGTAGGCCTGCGGACTGAAAGGTCTTAGGTTCAATTCCGGTCAAGGGCATGTACCTTGGTTGTGGGCACATCCCCAGTAGGGGGCGTGCAGGAGGCAGCTGATCGATGTTTCTCTCTCATCGATGTTTCTAACTCCCTATCCCTCTCTCTTCCTCTCTGTAAAAAAATTTAAAAAAATATTTTTAAAAAAATCAATAAAATATCTATATTTTTTTAAAGTAAGAAAGGGTGAGGCTGGAGCAGGGCAGGAGGGACAGGCTATGGAGATGGGGACGGGGGAAGGGCAGAGGGGGAGGGGCAGTGAGCGAGGGTAGGACTGGGGGCCTCTCAGGTGTCTGGCCCGGTGGCCGGTGGCCACGGGGACAGCCTCTGAGACGGGGCGTCTAGGACGAGGCGCTCCGTGGACCCCGGAGGGAGGGGGCTTGCGGGGGGTCTGGAGGGCGGCCGGGGGAAGAGGCGACCCTGAGGCTCTCGGGAATGTGTGGGAGCCGCCGGGGGAGCAGCGGAGAGCGAGAAGCAGCAAGGCCAAGGCCGGGCCACGGAGGGACACGCGGGAGGGGCAGGGCGGGGAGAGAAGACAAGCAGGAGGCCCCGGGGAGGGCGCGGCGCCCCCTTTGGGAGGAAGCAGCAGGAGACACGTGCACGAGGTGTGTGCCGATCGGGGGTCCCCGGTGCTGACAGCCGTGTCAACCGTCTGGCGTGACCACTGGGCAGTGGGGGGGTCAGACCCATCAGGCCTCAGCCCACACCACCCACCATCTCCTGCGTGGCTCGGGATGAAATCCCGCCATTCGGCCCCAGGCCCCCCCTGTCCTTCCCAGATCTGGTCCTGTTCTTCTTTCTTTTCTTTTTTTTAACATATATTTTATTGATTTTTAAAAATATATATTTTATTGATTTTTTACAGAGAGGAAGGGAGAGAGACAGAGAGCTAGAAACGTCGATGAGAGAGAAACATCCACCAACCGCCTCCTGCACACCCCCCACCGGGGATGTGCCCGCAACCAAGGTACATGCCCTTGACCGGAATCGAACCCGGGACCTTTCAGTCCACAGACCGACGCTCTACCACTGAGCCAAACTGGTTTCGGCTATTTTATTGTTTTTTTTTTACAGAGAGGAAGAGAAGAGGGATAGAGAGTTAGAAACATCGATGAGAGAGAATCATCCATCGGCTGCCTCCTGCAAACCCCCCCCTCCCTCAGGGGATGTGCCCGCCACCAAGGTCCATGCCCTTGATCGGAATCGAACCCGGGACCCTTCAGTCCGCAGGCTGAGGCTCTATCCACTGAGCCACACGGTGTCAGCTGGTCCTGTTCCTCCTCTGCCCTCCCTCGTCACCCTCCCCCGCTGGCTCCAGCCCTGGCCTCAGTCCCGAGCTCCCTCGCAGTCACCTGACCCCGCTGCGTCCAGACCTCTGCTCCGGTGATGTCACTGCCTGAGCCTCTCCCCACGGCTCTCCCTTCCCCGGAAATGTCGCCCAGGGTGCCGCCCGGATCCTCTTCCCTGGATTCCTTTTCCTCAGCTGCCCCCCCCCCCGGCCTCTCCCCGGTGGGCTTTCCTGCCGTTTTGTCTTCTGTTACGTAACCCCGCTATCTGATCGCCTCCCCGGCTGGACTCTGAGCTCCCGTGAGGACACGTGTTTTCTGTCTGTGCTGCTCCCCGCCCTGGCACACAGTAGCTGCTCAATAAGCACCGGCAGGAAGAGGCTGAGGACGCTGGGTGGGAGGGGAGGGAAGGGAAGGGAGAGAAGCCGGCACTGCAGCGTCTTTCTAGAACTTTCACTGGGGACAGGGGAGAGGAGAGAGTGTCCGCGTCCAGCACACAGAGGGCGGCTGGGAGGGTTGGTGTTGAGGCCTCCGGACGGGACGAAGCCTTCAGGGTATCCAGTCCTTCCCCTGGAGGGAGTCCTGGTTAAATGGGGCGGGGGCAGGGGCGCAAGGAGGGGGGGGTCCCCAGACCCAGAGATGGATTCTGACCCTTGGAAGGGAAACCGCTCCCCGCTAAGAGTACAGAGTTCAGCCCTGACTAGTGTTGCTCAGTGGATAGAGCATCGGCCTGTGGACTGAAGGGTCCAGGATTCCGGTCAAGGGCATGGACCTTGGTTGTGGGCACATCCCCAGTAGGAGGTGTGCAGGAGGCAGCTGACCGATATTTCTCTCCCATCGATGTTTCTAACCCTGTATCCCTCTCCCTTTCTCTCTGCAAGAAATCAATTTTATATATATATATATATATATATATATATATATATATATATATATATATATTTTTTTTTTTTTTTTTTTTTTTTTTTTTAAGAGTACTGCTGAAACCGGTTTGGCTCAGTGGTGGAGCGTCGGTCTGCAGACTGAAGGGTCCCGGGTTCGATTCCGGTCATGTGCCTTGGCTGCGGGCACGTCCCCGGTGGGGGGTGTGCAGGAGGCAACTGATCGATGGTTCTCTCTCATCGATATTTCTAACTCTCTATTCCTCTATCTTCCTCTCTGTAAAAAAAAAATCAATAATAATAAAAAAAAAAAGAGTACAGAGTTCAGTTCCCATTTCCCAGGCTCCGAACATCCAGGGCTGTCCGTGTATGCTCATAGCAGCCTTAACCAAACGGCGGACGCCGCCCGAGGCCCACCAGCTGGCACATGGATAAATAAAACGGGGTCGATCCATACAATGGGATGTTATTCAGCCAGGAAAAGGGACGAAGCACCAATCCATGGGTGAGCCTCAAAAACACTGTGCTCAGTGAAAGAAGCCAGACACAAAAGGCCTCGGATTGTATGATCCCACTTAGCAGACATGTCCAGGAGAGGCGTATCTATGGAGATCGTACATTAGGGCTGTCTCTCTCTCTCTCTCCCTCTCTGAAATCAGTAAGAGAAGTGGGACCCTAGACCCCTGTCCTCCATGACCGTCCCACCTCTATCAGGGCTTTGATGGGAAGGCAATGCCCTCTCTCGTTTGACTAGCTGTGTGTTTGGTCTCTGTGAGAACAGCTACCCTGCCCCTGGCCAGGCAGCTCCATTGGTTAGAGCATCGTCCCAATACGCCAAGGTTGCAAGTTCGATCCCCAGTCAGGGCACAGACAAGAAGCAACCAATGAATGCATAAACAAGTGGGACAATAAACTCTGTCTCTCTGTCTCCCCCTTCCTCTCTCTCAAATCAATCAATCAGTTTAAAAAAAAAAAAAAAGTTACAAATTAAGCATAAAGAAAAATCAATCAGTGGAAAACAAACAACGAAACTGCTACCCCTGCCGAAATTGTTTTGGCTCAGTGGATAGAGCGTCGGCCTGCGGACAGAAGGGTCCCAGGTTCGATTCCGGTCAGGGGCATGGACATTGGTTGCAGGTGCATCCTCAGTGGGGGGTGTGCAGGAGGCAGCTGGTCGATTTCTAACTCTCTATTTCTCTCTTCCTCTCTGTAAAAAAAATCAATAAAATATTTAAAAAACAAGCCGAAGCCGGTTTGGCTCAGTCGGCCTGCGGACTGAAGGGTCCGTTTCTAGCTCTCTAGCTCTCTCCCTTCCTCTCTGTAAAAAATCAATAAAATATATTTTTAAAAATATTTAAAAAACAAAAACAAAGAGGTGACGCCTCCTCTCGGGAGCCGCCCAGCCAGCCATAGCAAACACCACGGCCTCTGGGCCTCCAGGGCTGAGGCGGTGTCCTCGGCCCTCAGAACCTGCTTGCTCTGAGACAGAACAGGGCCGCGTGCAGGGATGGAGCCCGAGGGGCTTCCGGCTGCGCCCCAACATCCCAGCGCTGCTGCGCCCAGTGCCTCAGGCTCCCAGCTGCGTGTGAGGGCGAGAGCAGCACCCGCCGCTAAGACTGCTGTGAGAGGATGCGAGATGAGCCAGGAACTTAGAAGACAGCCCACCACGTGATGAGACGCCCATTGTTGTTAGCTACTGGCTAGTTATATTTTTAAAAAATATATATTTTTTATTTTTTATTATTGATTGATTTTGAGAGAGGAAGAGAGAAAAACACTGATTTTTTGTTCCACTTATTTCTGTATTCATTGGTTGCTTCTTTTTTAAAAAAATATATATATTTTATTGATTTTGTACAGAGAGGAAGGGAGAGAGATAGAGAGTTAGAAACATCGATGAGAGAGAGTCATCGATCAGCTGCCTCTTGCAGACCCCCTACAGGGGCTATGCCCGCAACCAAGGTACATGCCCTTGACCGGAATCAAACCCGGGAGCCTTCAGTCCCCAAGCCGACGCTCCATCCACTGAGCCAAATCAGTCTCGGCCATTGGTTGATTCTTGCAGGTGCCCTGACCAGGATCGAACCTGCAGTCTTGGTGTATTGGGATGATGCTCTAACCAACTGCTCTACCTGGTTAGAGCCTGGCTAATTTTTTTTTTATAATATATTTTATTGATTTTTTTTTTTTTACAGAGAGGAAGAGAGAGGAATAGAGAGTTAGAAACATCGATGAGAGAGAATCATCGATCAGCTGCCTCTGGCACAGCCCCCACTGGGGATATGCCCGCAACCAAGATACATGCCCTTGACTGGAATTGAACCCGGGACCCTTCAGTCCGCAGGTCGACGCTCTATCGACTGAGCCAAACCGTTTTCGGCCTGGCTAGTCATTTTTTTTTATATATATATATTTATTGATTTCAGAGAGGAAGGGAGAAGGATAGAGAGATAAAAACATCAGTGATGAGAGAGAATCATCGATCGGCTGCCTCCTGCACACCCCTCACTGGGGATCGAGTCCACAATCTGGGCATGTGCCCTTGGCTGGAATCGAACCCAGGACGCTTCAGCCCGCAGGCGGATGCTCTATCCACTGAACCAAACTGTCTAGGGCATAGCATTTTTTTTTTTTTTAATTCATTTTAGAGAGAGGGAGAAGGAGAGAAACATCAATGATGAGAATCATTGATCAGCTGCCTCCTGCATACCCTCCCCCCCCCACCAGCATGTGCCCTGACCGGGAATCGAACCCTGACCTCCTGGTTCCTAGGTCGATGCTCAACCTCTGAGCCACACCAGCTGGTCTCCTGCTAGCATTGTTCACTTACTTATCATTGTGACAGTCTTACTCATGTTACCTGGACTCTCTGGACAGCCCTCGCCCATGCCTCCTGAAGGCCCAGAGTGCCCTGTCCGCCCCTCCCCAGCCCCATGCACCCCAGCCCTCCCCCAGCTCCGGGCTGCCGGGCCTCACCGTCCTCGCTGGGCGCCCCGGGGGACGACTCCGAGTCCGAGGAGCTGCCGGCCGGGCCCCCGCCGGCCGCGGCGCTGCCCGCCGCCTCCTTCAGCCACCTCTTCCTCTTCTTGGGGGGCGGCTCGGCCTTCGCCTTGGCCGGCCGGGCCTTGGGCAGCCGGGCGGCGGGCTGCCCCCCGAGGCTCCGCTCCGGCCGCGCCTGCCGGCCGCCCGGGCCCCGCTCCCCGCGCAGCAGCCGGTCCCCACGGGCCCCCCGCTCCTTCTCCTTCTCCTGCTCCTGCTCCTGCTCCTGCTCCTGCTCCTTCTGCTTCTCCTGCTCCTGCTCCTGCTCCTCCTGTTCCTTCCCTGCAGGCGGAGGCGGGGACGCCTTCTCCGGGGCCGGGGGCTCGGGCGCCGCCGTCGCGGGGGGCTGCTCCGGGGGCTGCTCGGATGCCGTCTTGTCGGGGGTCTCGGGCTTAGGAGGCGGCCCCGGGGCCTTGGGGGCGGGGGCCGAGCTGCCCCCCGCGGAGGCCGGGCCCTTGGCCTGCCCCGAGCGCCTGGGAGGGGACACGGGAGGGGACAGTCAGCACCCCAAGACGCCCAGGTTCTCCCCTTGGGGCCCCCCTGCCCAGCCCACAGCTCTAAGTGCAGACCTTCCCCGTCACTGAGGCGGATCCTCCCTGGACTGTCCATCCCTCCCTGGACTGTCCATCCCTCCCTGGACTGTCCATCCCTCCCTGGGCCTGTCCATCCCTCTCTGGGCCTGTCCATCCCTCCCTGGACTGTCCATCCCTCCCTGGACTGTCCATCCCTCCTTGGGTCTGTCCATCCCTCCGTGGGCCTGTCCATCCCTCCCTGAACTGTCCATCCCTCCCTGGGTCTGTCCATCCCTCCTTGGGCCTGTCCATCCCTCCCTGGGCCTGTCCATCCCTCCCTGGGTCTGTCCATCCCTCCCTGGTCTGTCCATCCCTCCCTGGGCCTGTCCATCCCTCCCTGGGCCTGTCCATCCCTCCCTGGACTGTCCATCCCCCCTGAACTGTCCATCCCTCCCTGGGTCTGTCCATCCCTCCCTGGGCCTGTCCATCCCTCCCTGGACTGTCCATCCTCCCTGGGCCTGTCCATCTCACCCTGGGTCTGTCCATCCTTCCCTGTACTGTCCATCCCTCCTTGGGTCTGTCCATCCCTCCCTGGGTCTGTCCATCCCTCCCTGGGCCTGTCCATCCCTCCCTGGTCTGTCCATCCCTCCCTGGGCCTGTCCATCCCTCCCTGGGTCTGTCCAGTCCATCCCTCCCTGGACTGTCCATCCCTCCCTGAACTGTCCATCCCTTCCTGGGTCTGTCCATCCCTCCCTGGGCCTGTCCATCCCTCCCCGGGCCTGTCCATCCCTCCCCGGGCCTGTCCATCCCTCCCCGGGCCTGTCCCTCCCTCCCTGGGGCTGTCCCTCCCTCCCTGGGTCTGTCCATCCCTCCCTGGGTCTGTCCATCCCTCCCTGGGCCTGTCCATCCCTCCCTGGGCCTGTCCCCTGCCCTGGACCCTCCTCTCTCGGGGTCTGTGTCCGGCTGTTCTGTGCCCACCTCCTGACAGTTTCCTGCCCATGTCCGCCCGGGTACCTGACGGGCGCCGGGGGCCGGTGCCAGGGCTTCCGCGCGCAGACCCGCACGTAGTCCTTCTTGTTGACGTTCTCCAGGAACTTCACGTAGAGGCGCTGGTACCGGTTTTTGGCGTCCCCGAAATATCCCAGATACTGCGGGGCAGAGGCACAGAGGAAACTCCCGCCCCGCCCCAGGGGGCGGCCGGCCGGAGACTCCCACTGCCCCCGGGAGGGGGCACCCGGGCGGGCCCTCGCCGCCGGGCTTACGTTGCTGGTGGCGCAGAACTGCCGCTGCCCGTCCTTGATCTCCGGCGTGAACTTCTGCAGCAGCGCCTTCTGCACACGCCAGATGGGCGGCGGCTCTCGGCCCGTCTGCAGGGCCAGCTGGGGGGGGGGGGCGGGGGGTCAGCACCGGGCCTGCGCCTTGGCCCCCCCCCCCCAATTCCCGGCCCTCCGACCTCCCTCGGTACCCACCCCCTCACACAAAAACATCCTGGTCAGCCCCAGCCGGTGTGGCTCAGCGGATAGAGCATCGGCCTGCGGACTGAAGGGTCCCAGGTTCGATTCCGGTCAGGGGCATGTACCTTGGTTGCGGGCACATTCCCGGTGGGGGGTGTGCAGGAGGCAGCTGATGGATGTTTCTCTCTCATCCATGTTTCTAGCTCTCTAACCCTCTCCCTTCTTCTCTATAAAAAAGTCAATAAAAAATATTTTTAAAATAATTTAAAAAAAGGAAAAAAGAAATGTGTTCATGGCTCTAACCAATTTGGCTCAGTGGACAGAGCATCGGCCTGCAGACTCAAGGGTCCCAAGTTCGAATCCGGTCAGGGGCATGCACCTTGGTTGCAGGCACATGCCCAGTAGGGGGTGTGCAGGAGGCGGCTGATCCATGATTCTCTCTCATCGATGTTTCTGACTCTCTCTCCCGCTCCCTTCCTCTCTGTAAAAAATCAATAAAGTGTATATATATATATATATATATATATATATTTTTTTTTTTTTTTTAAAGAAATAAAATAAATGTGTCAATGGCAGATGCCCCAGAAGCCTAGAGAACGGACCCTGAACTCAGTCCGGATCCAAGAACGCTTCCTGGAAGAAGTGACACCGAAATGAGTCTCGGAAGGACCGTGTCCCTTTCCTCGCGGGGCCTGGGTGGTGGCCAGGGCTGCAGGGGCTGTGTGGCCGCTGTGGCTCTAGCCGGGAGCAGCTCACGGTGGTGCAGGCACGTAAAGACTAAGCCACAGGGGGTACGTGCATTGTGCCGACCCAGAGATGGAGAAGCCACAAGGGGCCACAGCAGCATTTGGAGGCCCGCTCCAATCGATTGGCCATGGCTGCCCCGAGCACCAGGCTCAGCAGGAGCAAGTGCTGGGATCAATTAGTAATGTCTGCCCTGGCGGCAGAGGCCACAGGGAGGGCTGCCTGCCAGGCATCCGTTATCTACCCTGGGTTTGGGGTCAACGGCGACTGGCTCCCACAGTCACGATGCCTCATGTCCCTCAGACCAATCAGATCCACAGCCTGATGCAAACGCGGTCCAGAGCCTCAAACAAGAGTGAGGCAGGACGGGCCAGGGAGGCAGACGGGCCAGGGACGCAGGCGTGGCTCCACCTAACGTGCTTTCCTCCAGGAAACGTGGTTCTCAGCCCTCCCTCTGGCTCCTCGGGGAGCCAGGCCAGAGGCCCAAGGACGGAAAAGCCCACCGCTGCCTCTCCCCACTGCCTGCCTGCTTTCTCCAAGGAGTCAGCTGACTCGCTGGCTGGACTAAGTCCCTGGGCTCACTGCTTTCCCATTGGGCCTGGCGTCTTCCCTCAAACCACTTTTCTCCCAGGATTCCCAGTGCTCCCCCCATCATCAGACCCAGTCAGCTGGCTCCAAGACCCTCGGCAGGCGGCAGGTGGGCATGGAGAGACTCTGCCCCGGCTTCCTCTCCCCGCTCCTGCCCCTGCACAGCAGGCCACGCAGACCCCTCCACGCTCAGCAGACACGCCCCCCACTTTTTTTTTTTTTTTTTTTTTAGAGAGAGAGGAAGGGAGGAGAGAAACATGGACGTGAAAGAGAAACATCCATCAGCTGCCTCCTGAATGCCCACCCCTGGGGATCGAGCATGCAACCCGGGCATGTGCGCTGACAAGGAATCGAACTGGCAACCGTTTGGGGCATAGAATGATGCCCAACCACTGAGCCACACTGGCTGGAGCAAGTCCCAGACCCTTTTTTATTATTATTATTTTTTTAAATAATCTATTTTACTGACTTTTTGCAGAGTGGGAGGGAGAAGGATAGAGAGCCAGAAACATCGATCGGCTGCCTCCTGCACACCTCCTACTGGGGATGTGCCCACAGCCAAGGTACATGCCCTTGACCGGAATCAAACCGGGGACCCTTCAGGCCGCAGGCCGACGCTCTATCCACTGAGCCAAACCGGTTTCAGCAGGCCCCACCCTTTTGAACTCCACGCTTTTGCATATGCTGGGTCCCCCACCGGGGGTGCTTTCCTCTCTCACTGTGAACAAGATGTGCCCTGTTCTAGTTCTCAGAAGCCCTTGAGAAATCCATCAGTGCTCCCATCTCCCCGCCCCACGCCAGAGAAAACCGCCCACCGCTGCCTCTCCCCACTGCCTGCCTGCTTTCTCCAAGGAGTCAGCTGACTCGCTGGCTGGACTAAGTCCCTGGGCTCACAGCTTTCCCATTGGGCCTGGCGTCTTCCCTCAAACCACTTTTCTCCCAGGATTCCCAGTGCTCCTCCCGCCCCCACCCCCATCATCGGACCCAGTCAGCTGGCGAACGTCCCTGCCAGTGCCAGTTCCTTCCAAAGCCATGTCCTTCCTGCCTCTCCTCATGCCAACACCCACTTCCACTTACCAGGGGCGTGGCCCCGCCCACTGACCCCAAAAGCTGAGTTCGACCAATCAGATTCTGCTCTGGGAGTTTGAACTGTGACAAGCTGAGAGAAGGACGGCCGGCAGCAGGAGGTGAGGAAGCTAGACCCACGGAGCCTTTGAGGTCCACTAACAGGGGAGTCCCTGTCACAGAAGTCATGCAGTGGACAGACGGTCTCCAGAACTGACACCTCCACAGCCACCTTCCCTGCAGAGCCACCCAGAGCAGAGTCTCCCATTCATTCCAGACTCGGTGCTCGCTGGCCAAGCCTCGACTCCTCGTATCCCCGCCCATCACAAGCTGCCCACGCTTCACAGAATCACCCCACACTTTTGTCCATCCAACCAACTCTCATGAGCTCAGAGTTTGCATCCTGCTAAGTCTTCATCATCCCCAAGAACTGAGAGTGAACATGATCACACCCAGGTTACAGATGGGTCAGCAGCCCCTCTCTCAGCACATGTAGCTCTTGAGTACTTGAAATGCAGCTGATCTGAATGTTTTACGGGTGGGTGTAAAATACTCACTGGATTCCGAAGATTTGGTATAAAAAAAAAAAAAAAAGGCACAACACACCACGTAAAACACCAAGTTTTTCTATATTAATTACATGCTGAAATGCTATTTTAGATAGGCTGGGTTAAAGGAAAGACATTCCTGTGGCTAATCTCACCCTTCTTTTAACTGTTTAAAAATGTGGGTCCAGCCGACATCAGTTTGGCTCTGGATAGAGTGTCGGACTGAAGGGTCCCGGGTTTGATTCCAGGCAAGGGCTTGTACCGTGGTTGTGGGCATATCCCCAGTGAGGGGTGTGCAAGAGGCAGCTGATTGATGATTCTCTCTCATTGATGTTTCTGACTCTCTATCCCTCTCCCTTCCTCTCTGTTAAAAATCAATAAAACATTTTTTTTTTTTTAATGTGGTTCCAAGAAAGTTTCAATGACGGTTATGACTCATGATATTTCTATTGGACTGCCACTGCTCTAGGAAAAAAACGATGGCCCTTGGCCCATTTTTATACATCTAAGAGCTAAGAATGGTTTCTACATTTAAAAATATATATATATTTTTAATTGATTCCAGAGAGAAAAAGAGGAGAGAGAGAGAAACATCAATGACGAGAGAAAAATCACTGATCAGCTGTCTCTTGTACACCCCACACTGGGGCTGGAGCCTGCAACCCGGGCCTGTGCCCTGACCAGGAATCGAGCCGTGACCTCCTGGTTCACAGGTCAACGCTCAACCATGCTGGCCAAGCGGTTTCTACATTTTAAAAAAATAAATGTTTTATTGATTTTTTTACAGAGAGGAAGAGAGAGGGATAGTTAGAAACATCGATCAGCCGCCTCCTACACCCCCTCCCCCCCCCGGGGATGTGCCCACAACCAAGGTACATGCCCTTGACCGGTATCGAACCCGGGACCCTTCAGTCCACAGGCCAACGCTCTATCCACTGAGCCAAACCGGTTTCAGCGGTTTCTACATTTTTATAAAATTGTAAAAAAAAAGAAAAAAAGAAAAAGAAACGTAAAGATCATATGTCAGAGACCCTAAGCCAAACATATGTGCTCTCTGGCCTAGCACCACGGCCTACACCAGAGATGCCCCCAGATCAACACGATGAATACGAGAGGCAAAGCTTACGGGACACCTCAGCGTGCCACCCCCGGTCAGGGCACTGAGCAAGCCGTGACGCCCGGGCCCTCGCACTGCATGATGGAGGTACTGATGCGATCAGCCCATTTTACAGATGGGGACACTGAGGCCCAGGAAGGTTTCCGCACCCGTCTAGCTCAGAGGCGGCAGAGATTCGTACTGGTCCGAGGACAGTCAGAGCCAGGCCCTCCACAACCATGCCGCCTGCCTGCCCCGACTCCGGGCACACGATCAAGCCCCCAACATCTGCACTGGCAGCCCAGCCCCGAAGCCGTGCGTCCCCCACGCTAACGCACACGTGTGTGTTGTTTGTGTTGTATTTTAAGCGCCGAGTCCTCTGCCCCAGGCCAGCGGGAGGTGGTGTCAGATGGCTCTGGCTCTGGGCCCGGCTCAGCACTCACCAGCCCAGTGATTCCCTCTCTCTCATCCTGGACTTACTTCCTCGTCTGTAAATTGGGAGCCGCGGTCCCTGCCCACAGCCCTGCTCCGTGGCCCAGGGCTGAGCGCCCAGGAGCGCTGGCCGCTCCCGTCGTCCGTGCTGGACAAACTTACAGAGGGAGCCGCGGGTCCGGTGCCGAGGGCATGGGCTCCCAGAGGGCAGCAGGGCTGCGGGCAGGGCCCAGCTGGGAAAGCTTTGGGAACACTGCTCCACTGCTCTGCGCCTCAGTTTCCTTCCCTGGGAAATGGGGATAATAATCCCTCATAAAGGAAGGTAGGCCCTAACTGGTTTGGCTCTGTGGATCGAGCATCGGCCTTCAGACTGAAGGGTCCCAGGTTCGATTCCCATCAGGGGCATATACCCTGGTTGCGGGCACATCCCCAGTAGGGGGAGTGCAGGAGGCAGCTGATCAATGTTTCTCTCTCATCAATGTTTCTAACTCTCTATCCCTCTTCCTTCCTCTCTGTAAAAAGTCAATATAATATATATTTTTAAAAAAAAGGAAGGTAGATTATAAAGATAAATCTTGGAGCCCATGCTATTTGGCTCAGTGTCGGCCTACGGACTGACGAGTCACAGGTTCGATTCCGGTCAAGCACATGCCTGGGCTTCAGGCTTGATCCCCCGTGAGGGGCGTGCAGGAGGCAGCCGATCGATGATTCTCTCTCATCATTGATGTTTCTCTCTCCCTCTCCCTTCCTCTCTGAAATATCTATATATATCTATATATCTATATATCTATATCTATAGCTATATCTATATCTATATGATAAATCTTGCAGCCCTGGCTGGTTTTTCTCAGTGGGTAGAGCATCAGCCCATGCACCAAAGGGTCGTGGGTTCGATTCCCAGTCAAGGGCACACATCTGGGTTACAGGTTGATCCCTGAGCCCTGTGGGAGCGAGTGTGGGAGGCAACCAGTCAATGTGTCTCTCTCATAGCGGTGTTTCTTTCTCTTTCCTTCTCCCTCTCCTCCCTCTCTCTCTCTCTCTCTCTCTCTCTCTCTCTCTCTCTGTGTCAAAAAAGGGGGGGGGATTGGAATGGGGGTTTGAGGACAAATATGTGATACCTTAATCAATAAAATCAATAAAGAAATTTTTAAAAAAGGAAAAAATATCCTCAGGTGAATACTAACAAAACAAAAAAATTACAATTAGCCGAAACCGGTTTGGCTCAGTGGATAGATCGTCGGCCTGCGGACTGAAAGGTCCCGGGTTCAATTCCTGTCAAGGGCATGTACCTTGGTTGCGGGCACATCCCCAGTAGGGGGTGTGCAAGAGGCAGCTGATCAATGATTCTCTCTCATCGATGTTTCTAACTCTCTATCCCTCTCTCTTCCTCTCTGTAAAAAAATCAATAAGATATATATTTTTAAAAAATTTATAATTATTATTAAAATTCCTATCCTACCCCCTGAGCCCTAGACAGGTTTATAGGTAGTTGTAACAAACTTTCAAAGAACAATTAATTACTACCTATACACACTGTTGAAAAGATCCCTTAAAAACAGAAAAGGTAATATAGCACAATACTCATATGAGGCCATACAAAGTCTATGAAAAAATTATAGCAAAAAAAAAAAAAAGATAAAATTGGGAGACAGTTTTGCACAACAATATAATATTGTACCGAATGGTACACTTAACAAGGGTGAAAAGGATCAACTTCGTGGTATGCATAGGATACCACAGTTAAAGGGGAAAAAAAGATTAAACTACATTCTGACTGTGACGTGCCCCAAATCCTGTCCAATTCCTACTATTTTTTATTTTTGTACTTCAGAGAGGAAGGGAGAGGAAGAGAGAGACAGAAACATCAATGAAGAGAGAGAATCATTGATCAGCTGCCTCCTGCACGCCCCATACGGTGTATGGAGCCTGCAATCTGGGCATGTGCCCTGACCGGGAATCGAACCGTGACCTCCTGGTTCATAGATTGACACTCAACCCCTGAGCCATGCAGGCCAGGCCCCCGTTCCTACTATGGGTGCCTATTCAACACATCCCTCGCTTGTCCCAGGCTGACTGGCCAAATGGGCCCCAGAAGTCGTGAGGGTAAAATCATGTACACAGGGCACTACCAGGTGGTACAGCCCTGGGGGACAGATGCAAGAGAACCGGCCAGGGGATGACACCCGAGGCTCAAGGCACTGGGAACGCTCTGGTGGATGGCTGAGTGGTGGTGGGACAAAAGCATTCATTCTAGCATTTTGCTTTATTTTTTTATTTTTTAATACATTTTATTGATTTTTTACAGAGAGGAAGGGAGAGGGACAGAGAGTTAGAAACATCGATGAGAGAGAAACGTCGATCAGCTGCCTCTTACACACACCCTACTGGGGATGTGCCCGCAACCAAGGTACATGCCCTTGACCGGAATCGAACCTGGGACCTTTCAGTCCGCAGACCGACGCTCTATCCACTGAGCCACACCGGTTTCGGCTAGCATTTTGCTTTACAACTTACAAATCGCTCATGGCCGTTCTTTGGAATGTATCAAATTGCATGCCAAAAAAGATGATAAAACATGGGTGAAAGTTATGCTGTCTGGGGTGGAGCAGGGGGAGCAGGACCAGCCCGGAGGTGACGATGGTGGAAGCGGAGTAATGGGTACACACAGACCCAGGATTCTATTCGCTCTCCTTTCCCCACAATGAAATGGCTTAAAAATAATGTCAGGCCAAAGCCAGTTTGGCTCAGTGGTAGAGCATCGGTCTGCGGACTAAAGGGTCCCGGGTTCGATTCCGGTCAAGGGCATGTACATTGGTTGCGGGTACATCCCCGGTGGGGGATGTGCAAGAGGCGGCTGGTCGATGTTTCTCTCTCATTGACGTTTCTAGCTCTCTATCTCTCTCCTTTCCTCGCTGTAAAAAATCAATAAAATATATATTTAAAAAAAAAAATAATGTCAGGAAACTACACAACGTCCACCTCATAAAACACTCCATAAAGGGTGTGATAACCGTCATTACCCTTACAATGAATTCGCCCCATCTGCATGGGAGGAGAAACAACACCAGGGTTAAGTGAAACGTGACAGCGTACACTGAGGCCAGCACATGGGACCTGTCCCCTCGTCCACACCCAGCCAGGGACCATGACTCGTGTGGAGAATGGCCTCCGCTTCTGGGGTCGCCATCGGGGTACTCAATCGCTCCCCGTGCTCACCCTCCTCCTTGCTCTGCCTCGTACCCTGTGAGAAGCGCTGCACTGGCATATTTTGTCACCTACCCTCTGGTGAGCACTCTATACATATATATATATATATATATATATATATATATATATATATATAGTTTTCTTTTATTGATTTTTTACAGAGAGGAAGGGAGAGGGATATAGAGCAAGAAACATCGATGAGAGAGAAACATCGATCATCTGCCTCTTGCACACCCCCCACAGGGGATGTGCCGGCAACCAAGGTACATGCCCTTGACCGGAATCGAACCCGGGACCCTTCAGTCCGCAGGCTGACGCTCTATCCACTGAGCCAAACCAGTGAGAGAGGTGAACACTTTTTAAAAAAATATATATTCTTATTGATCTCAGAGAAGAAGGAAGATGGAGAGAGAGAGAATCATTGATTAGCTGCCTCCTGACGTCCCCCACTGGGGATCAAGCCTCCAACCAGGGCATGTGCCCTTGACTGGGATTGAACCTGGGACCCTTCAGTCCTGGGACCCCACAGTCCACAGGCTGATGCTCTAGCCACTGAGCCAAACCAGCTAGGCAGGGCCTTGCCCAGCACTTATCCTGCATTAACCCTCTGGCCCAACTCTACCTGCCCAGGAGCCAAGCACCGCAGGTGCCAGCAAACCTTCTGCAAAGGGCAGACAGGTAATGCGTTCTGAGCTCTGCAGGCCAGCGAGGCCCGGCTGCAAGCACCCCACCCTGAGGGTGTGTGTGTGTGGGGTGGGGGGGGGGGAAACAGGCAGAACTGATATGCAAATGAGCGGGCGTGGCTGTATGCTAATGAACCGGGCCGAATGCAGCCCTCGGGGCTGGAACTGGCTGGTGTGGAGTAATGGGCAGCAGTGATCTGCCTAAAAGGGTTCCGACGTGCCTGACACATGGGCATGCCCAGCCCATCGGCGACTGCGTCACAGGGGACGTCACGTTCAGTTACGTCATGCAGCACCCTGCAGGGACCAGAGCTCCCCCGCTTGGCTGTAACCCAGTCACCCAGGGTCACCGGAGTGAACCGTTAGCAGCGGTGTTAGCTCGTTTTAGGAACAGACACACGAAACGGCACCTCAGGGGCCGCTGTCCCCGCGGGCTGCGCGCTCAGCAGGGCCGGGGGCCGCCAGGGGGCGCTGTCCCGGCAGCCAGGCCGGCCTCCGGCGGGCGCTCGGGATCCCGGGTGCCGCCCCCCCCAGGCCGGCCCGGCGCGGGCTCACCTTGAGGGAGGGGATGTCCTCGGCGCGGATGACGAACTCGTCGCGCTCGCGGAAGATGCCCTCGCCGCCGCTCTCGCCCGCCTCCTCGTCCGTGTCCCCGCACAGCGCCGCGCCCTCCTGCTTCCGCGCCAGGTGCAGCGGCCGCGCGCCCGGCTCCGGCTCCTCCGGCGACGGCGCGGGCGCCTCGGGCGGGGCGGCGGCCGGGGCCGGCGGGGCGGGGGGCGAGGGCGGGGCGGGCGGGGGCGGGGGCGGGGGCGGCGAGCTGGGCGCCGGCGCCGCGGCGGGAGCGGGAGCCAGAGGCGCCGGAGCCGGAGCGGGAGCCTGAGCCGGTGTTGGAGCCGGTGATGGAGCCGGAGCCGGAGGAGCTGGAACCGGAACCGGAGCCGGAGCCGGAGCCGGAGCCGGAGCCGGAGCCGCCAATGGGGGAGGCGAGGGCAGGGCCGGCGGCGCGGGCGGCGGGGGCGTCGGGGCGGGCGGCGGAGAGGGCGGCGGCTTCTCCTCCAGCAGCGGGGGCTCTGGGGAGCGAGAGGAGCGTCAGGGCTGCACCCCCAGAGCCCCCCCCCCCCCCCCAGCCCCGGCCCCGGCCTGCTTTCCATCCATGCCTCTGCACGTCCCTCCAGTGTCTGCCGTCAGCGAGCGGCGCCCCAGCTCGTGCCCAGCCTCCTCTAGGGCGCCAATCCGCCCCGCCCCACCCCACTCCGCACCCACATCCCTCTGCTGAGACGGTTCCTCAGCTCCCACTCCCACCCCATCCCACCCCACCCCCACCCCTGCACCCACATCCCTCTGCTGAGACAGTTCCTCAGCTCCCACTCCTGCCCACCCCACCCCACCCCCACCCCCACCCTGCACCCACATCCCTCTGCTGAGACAGTTCCTCAGCTCCCACTCCCACCCCACCCCCACCCTGCACCCACATCCCTCTGCTGAGACAGTTCCTCAGCTCACACTCCCACCCCATCCCCACCCCACCCCATCCCCACCCCCAACCCTGCACCCACATCCCTCTGAGACAGTTCCTCAGCTCCCACTCCCACCCCCACCCCATCCCACCCCACCCCCACCCCCACCCCCACCCCGCACCCACATCCCTCTGAGACAGTTCCTCAGCTCCCACTCCCACCCCACCCCGCCCCCACCCCACCCCCACCCAGACCTCCCTCCTGACGACACTGAGTTCCTCAGCTCCCACACACGGCCCCCCCTGCCCCCCCTTCACCTCCGTTTCTTTTCTTCTCTTTTCCTTGTTACTCTTACGCCCTGGCCCCTCCACGGCTCCTGTCTGACCCGCTGTCTAACCTAATGTGACCAGACGACCCGCTTTGGAGTTTGTCCCGCGTCGCTTTAAAACGCCCCAGGACAAATTGTTAGACAGCAGGACGGGCGCTCCGAACCTGCCCAGTCACCTTCCTGACTGTCAACCCGCACCTCCAGACACCCAGCCACAGGGAGCCCAGGTCCCTGTGACCTCTCCCTCCACAGTCCTCCCCGGTCCTCCCACCCGGACGGGCCTTGCTGGTTCCCAGCCTCCCAAGACCCCGTCTCTGTGCTCTGTATCCCAACACCACCGCCCAGTGCCCGCTTCCCACCCACGCCCCCATCATGGTCAGGGTCTTCTATGCTGCTAAAGCTCAGTCCTCACCCAGCTGCCCCCCACTCTGGCCATCTCTCCCCTGTCCCCGGCCCAGTCCCTTCGAAATTCCTTGCTCTGATCTGCCTGCTTCCAAATGCCATCGTGGCTTGGTGGCCCCGATGCCCTTGCCTGGCTCCAACCCCAGTGCCTCCCTGGTCTTCCCAATTCTGAAACCAAACCTTCCTGCCCCGAGGTCCCATCCTCCTCCACCCACGTCCGCCTCCATTCTCAGAATAACCGATGCCCTCCTCCTCGGTGCTAACTCCTAATGGGTCTCCGTAACGTCCCTCTCTGAGCCCCCAGACCCCATCATTAACTGCCCCAAATGCCCTGCTCCACACCCAAACGCCAACACCTGCTACCCTCAGATCAGAGCCCCCTACAGATCTGCCACACCCACCCCCTGCCCCTCCTGCCTTCCACAAGGCCAGTCAGTGTTCCAATCTCTTTTAAACCACCCTCCCTAGCTGGTTTGGCTCAGCGGATAGAGCATCAGCCTGTGGACTGAAGGGTCCTGGGTTTGATTCCGGCCAAGGCACATGCCTGGGTTTTGGGCTCAGTCCCCAGTGTGGGGCGTGCACGAGGCAGCCAATCAAATGATTCTCTCTCATCATTGATGTTTCTCTTCCCCTCTCCCTCTTCCTTCCTCTCTGAAATCAATAATATATTTTTAAAAATATATAAAAATAGCCGAAACCGATTTGGCTCAGTGGATAGAGTGTCGGCCTGCAGACTGAAGGGTCCCAGGTTCGATTCCGGTCAAGGGCATGTACCTTGGTTGCGGGCACATCCCCAGTAGGGGGTGTGCAAGAGGCAGCTGGTCAGTGTTTCTCTCATCGACGTTTCTAGCTCTCTATCCCTCTCCCTTCCTCTCTGTAAAAAATCAATAAAAATGTTTAAAAAAAAAAAATATATATATATATATATATATATATATATATATATATATATAAATAGCCGAAACCGATTTGGCTCAGTGGATAGAGTGTCGGCCTGTGGACTGAAGGGTCCCAGGTTCGATTCCGGTCAAGGGCATGTACCTTGGTTGCGGGCACATCCCCAGTAGGGGGTGTGCAGGAGGCAGCTGGTCGATGTTTCTCATCGACGTTTCTAGCTCTCTCTCTCTCTCCCTTCCTCTCTGTAAAATATCAATAAAATATAGTTAAAAAATAAAAACAGAAAGCTCACCAGGTACCCCCTGACCAGCTAGCTGCCCCCGTGACTTATAACCTGCCCTGTCCCCCAGCATTCTCCAGTGCCCACCTCGGGGCCCCTGCCCGTCCACTTAGCACCTGCGGGCAGATTGGAAAAAAACACACCCCTTTCTCAAAACACCTGTGTGCCCTCAGCATAGATACGCAAATCAACACCCCCTAACCCAGCGTCCCTTCCACCGGGCGGCACCCACATAATGGTTCCCAGCATCCCGAACAGACAGCCCCGTCCCTCCCCTCCCCTGGCCCCTCTTCCCAAGCTCACCAGGCGTGCCGTTGCTGCTGGCACAGGGGAGCCCGGGGAGAGGGGGCGGCCCCGGGACCGGAGCCTCCGTCGCCAAGGGGGGCCCGTCCGGAGGGGAGGAGTCCTTGGGCCCCACGAGGGGCGGGTCATCGAGGGCGGAGATGGCCGAGGAGATGCTCTCCTGCAGGTCGCGGTTCTTGGCCACCGAGTCCTCCTCGTCGGAGGAGAAGGAGGGCAGCGTCTCCAGGTTGCGCTTCAGCTCCTCGTCCAGCCGCTTGCAGGGCGAGGGGCAGCCCAGCCCCAGCCCCTCGCTCTCGGCCGCCTCCAGGGCGCCCCCCAGCCCGAAGGCGCCCGCGGGCGGGTGCGGCACGCCGGGGCCGGCGGGGGGCGGCGGCTGCAGGCCCCGGGGCCCGGGGGGCGGCCCGCCCTTCGGGGGGCTGAGCGGCGGCGTCATGCTCGCCTGGTAAAGCGGCGGGTGGCGCTTGCCCGACTTGAGAAAGTCCAGGAAGGAGGCCATGAAGCCAGACTTCATCTCCGGCTGCTTCTCCTCCACCTCCTTAATCTTGGCCTCGATCTTCTCCCGCGTCAGGCTCGAGTCCAGGCTGTTGTGGTCGGCGCCCGGCAGGGCGTCCCCCGAGGGGGCCCCCAGACCCTCGCCAGCCTTGGGCACGGACAGCTTGATCTAGATACGGGAGCAGTGGGGGGGGGAGGGGGGGAGGGAAGGGGGGTCAGGGCCCAAGAGTCCAGCCCCAAGTCCCCTCTCTCCTCCCTCAGACACAGGCGTCCAGAACCCCAGCCCCCTCCCGACGTCAGACCCTGACGTGGAAGCCCCCAGACGCGGCCCACGGAGTCCTTGAGTTCAAGTCCGCGGACCCCCTGGGATGGCAGAAGGACAGGACTCCGTTCCACCCTTTTATTACTCACTGGCCTCTCCTCGCCCAGGCCGGGAGCCCAGGGCCCCGCACCTCCCTCCCTCCCTCCCTCCCACCCTCCCAGGCCCAGGCACCTAGGATCCGCCATAAATAAGAACCCAAGCGCCAGCCTCTCACCTCCCTCTAAAACCCGAGCGTCGGTTCTCCGATCGCAATCCTGGCATTTCAGCCCAATTAGAGTCATCCCCTCGCAGGCTTTAGAAATATAAGCCAGCGGAGCCAGTGCGGCTCAGTGGTTGGGTTTTGAGCCAGGAACCAAGAGATCACGGGCTTGATTCCTTGGTCAGGGCACACGCCCAGGAGGCAGGCTCGATCCCCAGCGGGAGACATGCAGGAATCGGCCAATCAGTGATATTTATCATCCGTGTTTCTCTTTCTCTCCATCCCTCTCCCTTCCCTTCCCGAAAAACAAAACAGTAAAAATATTTTTAAAAATAAGAATATAAAAAAGAAATAGAGCCGGGACCGGTTTGGCTCAGTGGATAGAGCGTCGGCCTGCAGACTGAAGGGTCCCAGGTTCGATTCTGGTCAAGGGCATGTACCTTGGTTGCGGGCACATCCCCAGTAGGGGGTGTGCAAGAGGCAGCTGGTCGATATTTCTCTCTCATCCATGTTTCTAACTCTCTATCCCTCTCTCCCTTCCTCCCTGTAAAAAAAATCAATAAGATATAATTTTTTTAAAAAACAGTAAAGAGTATTTTAAAAAATGAAGATATAAAAAAGAAATAGAAACCCCTATCCCCAGTCACCCTCCAGGACTGGGGCCCCCGCGCGCCCTCACCTTCAGCGGCTTCAGCGGCTCCAGCCGGGGGGGCCCGGCTTCCTCGGCCTTCCTGCCCCGGCCGCGGCCCCGGCCCCGGGGCTTCTTGGCGCCCCCGTCAGCGGGCGCGGAGGACAGGGCCGGCCCCGGGGGTGCGGGCGCCTCCAGCGGGCGGATGCGGGGCCTCCCGCGGGGCCGGGGCGGGCCGTCGCGCTTGGCCTTGGTGGGCCTGCGGCCGCGGCGCCGGGGGCCGTCGGGGCCGGGGTTGGGCGGGCAGAAGTCGATGTCCCCCAGCGGCGACAGGGCCGGGCGGGAGCGGCAGCTGGACACCAGGTCGGGCAGCCGCCGGGGGTTGAGGCGGATGTCGGCGGGCACGTCCGCCTTGTCCTCGTCAGCCTCGAACTCGTACTCCTGGGCGTACAGCTTCTTGGGCGTCTGGAAGGGCGGGTCTCGCCGCCGCAGCAGGTGGAAGGACGACGTCTTGAGCAGCTTCTTTGGCTTCGTGGAGCAGAAGATGGGCGAGGTCAGGCCGCCCTTGGGCTCGGCGGGCGGCGGCGGCGGCGGGGGCGGCGGGGGCGGCGCCCCTTGGTGGGGGCCGCTCTGGATCAGGCCCAGCGGCTCGGCGTTGACCGTGGACGGCAGCTCGGGCGGCTTGCCGTGGTCCAGGCCCAGGCCCGGCGCCTCGGGCCCGGCTCCGGACGCCCGTCCGGGGCAGTAGGGCCCGTACGGGTCGTAGGCCGGGGGGCCCGGCGGGGGCCCGGCGCCCGCCTTGGGGTCCCCCTCGTCCTCGGGGGGCCCGGCCTTGCCGTAGTCGTCGGCGGCGCCCCCGCCGAACATCTCCTCCATGGTGGGGAAGAAGCTGCGCTCCTCGTCCTGGAGCAGCGAGTCGGGGAAGCAGATGGAGGTGAGCGGCACGAAGCGGGGGGCCTTGGGGCCCTGTGGGCTGGGGCTGCGGTAGGCGCCCGCCGGGTCCTTGCCCTCGCCGCTGGGCGGGCCCACGCCCGCGTCCCCGGGCCCCGGGGGCAACGGCTCCAGGGCCCCGAGCAGCTCCTGCATGGTCCCCGGCGGCTCCAGGCCCTCCTCCGGCCGCAGGCGGGGGCTGGGCGCGCCGGGCTCCAGCCCGTGGCTGCGCAGATGAGCCTCGAGCTGCAGAGGCATGGGCGGCGGCGGCGGGGGCGGCGGCGGGGGCGGCTGGGGCGCCCCGTCCCGGGCGGCCGGTTCGAGGAGGTGGACTCCCACTTTGGGGGTGCTGGAGGACGGGCTGGGGGTGTGGCTGAGGACGGAGGGGAGCAGTTGCGGGGGAGGCGGCGGCAGCACCAGGGGGAGGTCGGGGCCTCCGGCCTCCAGGAGGAGGCCGTGCGGTGTGGGCGGGCCGGGCTGGGCCGACGGGGGCGGGGGCGGCGGGCTCTTCTGGAGAAAGGCCCCCAGCTCCTTGGCGCCGGCGCCGTAGTGGACGACCGAGGTGGCCAGCCCCTCGGGGGCCTCCCCGCCCCGCTCGGGCCCCTTCTTCTTCTCCTTCAGCCTCCCCAGGCCCAGCTCCAGGGCCGCTGCTGTGGCGCCCTCGTCCAGGCTGGCGCTGGTGCGTATGACGCTCTGCAGGTGGTACCTCTGCGGGTCTTCCTTGGCCAGCTCGTAGGGCGCGCCCGGGGGGCCCCCGGCCCCACCACTGCCCCCGAGTCCTTTGGAGGCGTCGGCCGCCCCGTCTTCGCCCACCAGGCCGTCGGCCCCTGAGGTCCTTGGGGGGCTGGGCGCCTGCAGGAGGTGCTGGATGAGGAACTCCTCGTCCTCGGAGCGCTCGGCGGGCGGGCCCCCGGGGCCTGCCAGCAGCTCGGAGCCGTCCCCTTTGCCTTTGTAGCCGCCCGCCCCGGCCGCCGCGTAGCTGCCGGCTCCCGGGGGCGCCAGGAACGAGGCCGAGGCCAGGACGGAGCTCAGGTACTTGCCGGGGGCCCCCGGAGAGCCGACCCCCGGCGGGCGCCCGGAGGAGGCCGGCGGCGACTGCAGCGGCCGGATGATGTGCGACGGGCTGGCCTCGCCGCCGCCGCCCAGGGAGCCGGGGCCCCAGCCGCCGCCGTGGCCCGACAGCGCCGGGGAGTGGCCGGTGCTGTAGCTGAGGGAGGGGCTGGCGGTGGGCAGCCCCTGGGAGTGGGCGGCCGGGCCGGGATACGGCTCCCCCTGCACCCCGTACAGCTGCCCCTGCAGCTGGTCGGGGGAGTAGCTCTGACACGTGGCCAGGCCAGGAGGCTGGGGGCCGCTCGGGGGCTGAGGGGGGCCCCCCGAATAGCTGGGGCCTTTGCTCAAGTCCTGGGCTTGACCCCCTCCAAACCCTTGCCCGTAGGCCTGGGGTCCGAGAAGCCCCTGGGGCTGGCCGGGGGAATAGGCCTGGCCTCCCGCCCCACCAGCCCCAGAGGACTTGCCGGTGGCATAGGCCGGGCCCCCCAGGCTCTGGCACTTGGGGGTGGCCGTCGAGCGAGGCGGCGGGGGCCTGCTGGCGGCGCCCGCGGCTGCCCCGTAGCCGCCTTTGCCCGTCTTATAACCGGGGGACTGGATGATGGGGCGGTAGCCTCCACCGCCGCCCCCCGCCCCCCCTCCTCCGGCCGCCTCGGGGCCCGCGGCCCTGCCGGACGCCCCGGCCCCGGCCCCGCTGGGCCCGGCCTTGCTGGGCTCCCCGGCGCCCGGGGAGGGCTCCCCGCCGCCCAGGGGGCTGCAGGCCAGGTTGGCCCGGTGGCCCATGGAGGGGTAGCTGCCACCGCAGCTCAGGTAATGCTGGAGGGCATGGGCGGACGGCGGGGGCGGCGGGGGCTGGGCGCTGGCCGGCCGCTGGTAGTGCTTGATGACCGTGTCCTGGCGGGGCAGGGCCCGCTCGGGGGGCCCGGGGGCGGCGCCCGGGAAGTTGTAGAGCTGCGGGGAGGACTGCTCGGCGGCGGCGGCCGCGGCGGCCGAGGAGGAAGCCAGCAGGTTGAACTGGGTCGGGAGGTGCCGGGGAGGGGGCGGCGGGTCTGGGGGGCCGGGGCGGTAAGGGGGGGTCTGGGCCGGGCCGAGACCGGCGGGCCCCAAGACACCGCCCCCCGCCAGGCGCTCAAAGCCTAGCGAGGAGGGCACCGTGGGCGCCTGCGAGGGCTTCAGGTGCAGCACGTCGTGGGGGGACAGGAGCCCGTTGGCGGGCGGGCTGAACGGGGGGTCCTGGAGGCTGAGGGACGAGGGCACCGGGAAGGGGCGGCTGCCGAAGGAAGCCGGGTGCTGGTAGGCCGACAGGGCCGAGGAGGACGGGAAGGTGCTGGAACCCGGCAGGGCGCCCGAGATGAAGAGCTCCGTGGGGCCCGGCGTGTGCATGGCTGGGGATGACGGAGGAGGAGACCGCGGGTCAGGGTGGACCACAAGCCGGCCCCACCCCGGCCCTCTCCGTGAAGCCGGCAGCAGCGGGCTTACCTGTTTGCCAGGAAGGACTGCGGAACTGGGAGAGGAGAGAGGAGGCGGAGGGGCCTGGCTGGGGGCCCCGGGACTCCAGGGCCGAGATGAGGTTCATGACGGAGGCGTCGGGCCCTGCGGAGCCTGCGTGGTGGAGGCCAGTGTCAAAGAGTCCAGAGAGGCCTGGCCAGGAACAGGGGACAGAGTGTCAGCGAGGCCGGGGACAGGGCATGGTGGGAAGGGGAAGAGGCCAAAGGCAAGCTGAGTCAGGGAAAGGGACTGGAGGGAAGGAAAAGGGGAGAACTTGGGCCGAGACACGCTAAGGAGACGGTGAGCGGGATGGGGTGCAATGCGGTCACAGGACAGGGAGTCCAAGAAGAGAAAGGTAGGCAAAGGAATAGAAAAATCCGGAAGGGAAGGAAGTGAGAGCCAGTGGGAAGGGAGTTGCTAGGATTCATTGGGGGCAGATGGCAGAGGCCAAAGAATCTGTGCAATTCCAGCAAGGACAAGGCATGGCCTGGCTGGAGCTATGCAGTCGGACTAAGAGGACACATGGAAAGGGGTTGAGTCAAAGTGAGAAGGATCCAGAAAAACAAATAACAGGGGAAGGAAAAACAGAGCCAACCAGGAAGGTCACGATCAAATGGGACTCCCCAGTCTCATTGCTGGCCCACCCAGGGAGGGCAGTAGGATAAAAATAAAGAATAAAAATGGACCAATCAGAAGCCTTAGAGGCAGAGCCACTGGGGGAGGAGAAGGAAGGGGCCAGTCTGCTGAAACCGGTTTGGCTCAGTGGATAGAGCGTCGGTCTGCAGACTGAAAGGTCCCGGGTTCGATTCCGGTCAAGGGCATGTACATTGGTTATAGGCACATCCCCAGTGGGGGGGTGTGCAAGAGGCAACTGATCGATGTTTCTAGCTCTCTATCCCTCTCCCTTTCTCTCTGTAAAAAATCAATAAAATACACTATTAAAAAAAAAAGGGGGGGAAAGGGCCAATCTAAGGGGGAAAGGAGGCTGCCGAAGAATCACTGCCAGCCAGGAAGAACGGAGATCAGAAGGGAAGAGTTCAGAGGAACCCGGAGCAGAGAGATCAGGTAAAACCCAGAAGGAAGCGATTGGCTGGGCTGGAGACAAGGAAAAAGGCTGGAAGAGAAGAGAAGGTGGGATGTGCGGGCTGTAGGGATGGAACCAATGGGAGAGGAAGAGGGCGGGGCCAGAAGCAGAGGCGGACCAATCCGGCGTGAAATTGAGCTGCTCCAGGCCAACCAATCAGAGGAAGGACAGACGTGGGCGGGCCGAAAGCCAGGGGCAAGGCCAATGAGGAGGGGGCGGAGCTTGTCCCAGCCAATCAGCTGCCTCGGAGGGAGGGGAGGCCTCAGTGGGACGGGATGGGGGGGGGGTGTCCCCGTACCTGCAGGGTGGTGGTTGGTGGCATAGCTTTGCAGTGGGTGGGGGGCCCCGTAGGCCTGGCGATGTAAGATGTCCGTCTCGGGGTGCGAGGTCCGGGAGCTGCCATAGACCAAGCTGGGGGGTGGAGGATGGGGAGGGGGAGACGTTAGGGCATCCTCCTAAGCTGCCCTCGGAGAAAGGAAATTCAGCAAATCCCTCGGTGAGCTGGGGGAGAATATCCCAGCTGGATTGGGGAGGGGGATATTTTTAAGGAACCTTGGGCCCTGAAGGGGATGGGGTGCCCAACGAAAGAGCCATAGAAATGGTCCCCACTCGAGCCCCAGCAGCAGTCAGGAACCCCGAGTTCCAGCAAATAGGGCCCCTATAGCCTCCCGTGTACAAACAGAGACATGCTCCAGGTTGAGACAAACCCTGAGAGGGTGGAGTCAGAGAAAGTGCCTCGAGTAGAAAATGGAGGGGCCACATGGGGGAGGGGGCCCCCCACGCAGTTGGCGACACAAAACCTGGGGCCAACCCCAGGGCTGCACACACACACACACACACACACACACACACACCCTGCTCCTGCAGACACGTGGGGACACACAGGTCCCGGACCTCCAGGGGTGGTGCAGACCGTTCTCCCAAAGGGAGGGATGCGGGATGAGGGGAAGGGGATAATAAAGGACCAGGTTCAAGTGCGACCGTGAACACCGCCCAGCCCCCCTTTGGGCTGAGGTTCAAAAGCATAGAACCACGCAAAGCCAAGTATGTGTTGCAAAGAGTATCCAACTCCGGGGCGGGGGGGGGATAGGGGGGAGGATGGATAGATACAGAGGGAAGAGCCCCACATGGAACACACGTGTGGTCATGCCCAGCCATGCTGGGAAGCCCAGGTGTGTGGGGGAGGGAGGTGGCTCAGAGCAGGTGAGGAGTGAGGGCGCCACACAAACAAACAGCAGGGAAGGGGCAGAGGCGAAGGCCCACAGACTGCCAGCCACACACACACATCAACACACACAACCACACACCCCAATCCTCCCATGCAATAATGCACAAAACCCCGGGGGCCCCAATCCGTGGCTCAAAGAGGTCAAACACCCCACTCCTCGCCATCAAACAGGATTCCCTGCCTTGGGGGGGGCGGGTGTGTGTGAAAGGGGGCGTGTCTCAGATACCAGGAGCAGCCCCCCCTGCCCCCGCCTTACACACGCGGAACCCCAGCTTTGGAAGGGGGCGGGGCCGGGCCCACTCTGCGCGCGGAATTTCGGGGGGGGGGGGGGTTGAGGCCCGAGTGGCGCGGCCTCCAGCAAGTCCCGGAACAATGGGACCTGGGAGGGGGCGCGCCCCCCAGATCCACATTCCGATTCCCCTTCCCTCGCCACCTTTGCAAGCGCAGGAGCCTGGGGTGCGGGGGGGAGGGGTCGGCGAGCCGGGAATCCGAGGATGGGGGGAAATCCAGGCCTGGCCTCGCCAGTCCCTCCCATTTTCCCAAGGCCTTTCCCGTCCGAAATTGTTTTGCAGCCCCACTTCCACGCACACACACACACACACACACACACCCGCTGCACCCCTCCCCTTGCACGCCGGAGCTGGTTTTGGCGGCGGAGTTTGCAATTTGCAAACTGGGGCGGCGGCGGCGGCGGCGTTGCAAACCGAGGAAGGCCGCTCCCTTGCAAGCCGGAGGGGAGTTCGCGATGCACGCGTCACCGGGCGGGCCGGGCCGGGCTGGGCCGGGCCGGACGGGCCGATCCCGGCTCCGCGCGGCCCCCACCTCCCGGCCCCCTCCCCCGGGCCGCCCCCGGCTCCTTACCTGGCTTTAGCTGACCTCTCGTAACTCCATCCCGCCCCGGCGCCGAGCGGGTCCCCGAAGCCGGCGCTGGGGTAGTTCCTGTCCATGAATTGGCCGCGGTGGAGATTGGGGGGAGGGGGAGGGGGCGGGAGGGAGGGGGCGCGCGCGCTCTCCTCCGCCGCCGCTCCCTCCGCTGCTGCCGCCGTTCCCCCCTTCGCTCCCTCTCTCCCTCCCTCTCTCTCTCTCTTTTTTCCTTTGCTGCCGCCGCCGAAGGCCCGGGAAGGGCCCGGGCAGGGGAGGGAGGGGAGGGAGGGGACGGGGCGGAGGGGCGGACAAGGGAGGGGGTGCAGCCGCCGAGCCAAGGAGGGGGGAAGGGGGTTCCCCCTGGAGGGAAAGGGGGGGGGAGGAGGGACCCCGCTGTCTCCGCCTTTGCCCCGGCGCTTGCAAGAGAGAAAGGGGGGGGCGCGCCGCTCGGGAGGGGGCGTCCCGGGCGGCCCCGGGGTGGGTGCGGGCGCTGGGTGCTCGCTCGCTCGCCGCCGCCGCCGCCGCCGCCTCCTCCGCGGCGCTCACGGTGCAGCCATCTTTGCACAAGGCGGCTGGGGGAGGGGGGAGGGGAGGGGGGCGGGCGGCGGGGTGTCTGGCTGTGCTCCGCTTCCTCCCACAATCCCGTGCAAATGCAAAAAAAAAAAAAAGAGAGAGAGAGAGAGAGAGGGAGAGGGAGAGGGCGAACGAGAGACAGCGCAGGCCGGGCTTGGGGGTGGAGGGCGCAACACGAGCACAGACAACCAGCTCCACTGCGCGCAGACGCGCCTGGGGTCGCGATTCCGTTTATTTCCATTTTTTTTTTTGCATTTTTTCACTTTGTGTGTGTGTGTGTGTGTCTTTTCCAAAGAGCTTTTATTGAGGGGGAAGAGCCTGCCCCTGATGAGTAAGGTTGCAAATATGCCCCCCCCTGTCCCCCCGGGTTGCAAAGGGCCCCTGTGCGCGCGCGGGGAGCGCACGGAGACACGCGTGTGCACGGGCGGGGCCCTGCGTGTGCGTGTGTGCGTGTCCCGTGTCCCTGGAGGGAGGTGGCCGTGTCCAACCTCACACGCGAGTCTGCACACTCGGCCTGCGTGCCTGGCTCCGCGCCTGCCCCCGGGGGCGGGGATGACGGGTCCCCCCCACACAAGGTCAAGAACGCGTCGGAGCCCGCGGGGTGCCGGGGCGCGGGAACACTTTCGCGGAGACGTGAGTCCAGTGTACGCGGCGGAAACACGTGTGCCAGGCAGGGTAGGCCTCGAGCCGGACGACCCCTACCCGCGGCGGCACCCCCCGCCTGTCCCCCCAAGTTCAGCTCCGCAGTTTTTTTTGAAGTCTTGGGAGAGCTTCCGGAATCCGGTGTGAATCTGGGGCATGGTTCGGGGAAGCCGGCTCGGCTCCGAAGCAGCTCCTTCACCGAGGCCTCTGGAGGCTGCGTGGGGAGGGGCACCGTGGGGAGTCAAAGACCCGGCTGTTTTTCCGCCCCCCCCCCCACCCTTCACCCCCCACCCTCTTCCTCGCCAACCCAGACCTTCGCGAACCGCTCCGGGCGCCCCAGCCAATCCCAGGCCCTCTGGGCACAAGGCCCACCCCTTCGGAAGCTCCGCCCTCGGGCTGGGCCACGCCCCCGCGCCCAAACCCGGCCCGGAATAATGAGCTCCAAGTCCCGCCCAGACCACGCCCCGCCCCATCAGACCACGCCCATGGCTCCGCCCCCGGCAGGAGCCGCCCCCGCACCTGGTGTAGGGCGGCGGAGGTGCGTCGTGCACCCCGGAGGCCGCTAAGGCCTGCTCGTAGGTGGGGAGGCCCGGCGGCTGGGGTGGCGGCGGCAGGGGCGTGGGCGAGCCCGCAAAGCTCAGGGGGCTCAAAGGGCTGATGAGGTCGGCCCTGGGAACAGAAGGAGCACCGTGAGCAGGGGGGAACCTAGGGATATAGGAAGACTCCTAGGGAGAAGGAGGGAGGACTTAGGGACCCAGAGACTCTGGGGCTGGGAGGGGGACATGTGGAAGGGAGTGAGGAGCCAGGAAAGAAAGAAAGAGGGTCACCTTCAATCTCACACGCGCAGAAAGGCACCTCAAAAGGACAGGCAGAGGCAGACCCAGAAATCAACAACTGCCCAGAGAGAGAGACTCATTCACAGACACACAGGGACAGGCAGAGAAAGGGAGAAAAAATGACAACAGCCTTTGGAGGCAGGTGGACACACACAGAGACAGACACAGCATGGAGATACCACCCACGGACAATAAACTCCTGACAATCCCCGGACCCACCATCCTGCCCAGGCTGACGACACCGCCACCGAGAAAGACACACCTAGACAGCTCCTACAGGCGCGCACACACACAAACATTCGCTACACCCTGCAGCACGGAAACTGACATACCACTGACACCCACAGACACCCAGAGACCACAGGCTGCTGCTCTGCCGGAGACAAGAGTCACACACTGATAACCACACCGACACCCGGTACTGCAAAGACAGGAGGTGGCCAAAACCGGTGTGGCTCCGTGGATAGAGCGTCGGCCTGCGGACTGAAGGGTCCCAGGTTCGATTCCTGTCAAGGGCATGTACCTTGGTTGGGGGCACATCCCCAGTAGGAGGTGGCAGGAGGCAGCTGGCCGATGTTTCTCTCTCATCGATGTTTCTAACTCCCTATCCCTCTCTCTTCCTCTCTGTAAAACGTCAATAAAATAAAAAATAAAAATAAAAAAAGACAGGCGGTCAGTGCTGATGGAGCTCCTTCTGTGTGCCAGGTACTGAGGACATAGACAGATAGACACGCCACAACCAGACACCACCTCACAGACTCACTCTCCACAGGGCTGTCTCCTCAGATCTCTCAGCAGCGGCCACCAGTCCCCAACCCTTGGCCCATCTCCTTCGGCTGGCCCGTCCTCCCTCCCTGCTCACCCTTCTCTCCAGTCCCCCCTTTCCCTCCCCCCCAAGTCCCCTTACTCTTGAGGGCTGGGTAGCTGGCTTCTGCCATGTCGCCAGTGTAGGTACCAAAAGGCTGCCAGGCCGGCCAGCACAATGACCAGGATGCCAGATGTCAGCCCCACAACCAGGCCTGCTACGTCCACTCGTACACGCCCTGTGGAGGGGGACGGGGAGAGGGGGGAGAGGGAGCCACTGCCCAGCGGGTGCCACCCCACCCACCCCAACATCCAAAGGCCTTTCTCCGGAGGAACACCGGCCAGGACGCCGGGCAGAGCTGGAGCCACTTCCCAGCTGAGTGACCTCGCTCATTTCTCTGGGCCTCCGTTTCCTGCTCTGTGAAATGGGACCATCGTCCCGCTCTGACAGGTTGCAAACATTCAATGAGATTAAAGGCGTAGAGGACCTACGATACCTTCAACGGGCACTAGAAAGCATGGCAGCTGTCTCCCCACCACCACCACCACAGAAGCCCCTCCCTGGAGGGTGGTTCAAGACCATAGTCCTGCTGAGACCAGTTTGGCTCAGTGGATAGAGCGTCGGCTTAGGGACTGAAGGGTCCCGGGTTCGATTCCGGTCAAGGGCATGTACCTTGGTTGCGGGCATATCCCCAGTAGGGGGTGTGCAAGAGGCAGCTGATCGATGACTCTCTCTCATCGATGTTTCTAACTCTCTATCTCTCTCCCTTCCTCTCTGTACAAAATCAATAAAATATTTTTTTTTTTTAAAAGACCATCGTCCTAAGCAATCCATCTGCTAAGATCCTAAGATCACAGGTAAGGTAGGGAGGTCAGCTGGCCAGCTCTCTAGGCCCGCGCCCCCTCCCCACACACACACACCTGAACCCTGCCAGATTTAACAAATAATAATATAGGACACCCCACAAAACTTTACATACACAGCAAGTATTTTTTAAATACAGATATATCCCATCTATTAAGTGGGGACATCCTTATACTAAAAAAAAAAGATTCATGTGTGTTTGAAATTGAACTCAGAAAGAGAGAGGGTGGGGGTAGTTCTTGTATTTTATCTGGCAACCCTGCCCCCCTCTGGAATGCAGCCCCTTTTACAGAGGGGCAAGGTCTCCGCTCTGGGGGAATTGCAGAACCCACAGGAAAGCTTTAGGATTTACCAGAAGGCTAGAAAAAAAATTCATTATCGCCCTGGCTGGTTTGGCTCAGTGGACAGAGCCTTGGCCTGCGGACTGAAGGGTCCCAGGTTCGATTCCGGTCCAGGGCACATGCCCGGGTTGCGGGCTCGATCCCCAGGGTGGAGCGTGCAGGAGGCAGCTGCTCGATGACTCTCTCTCTCTCATCATGGACGTTTCTCTCTCTCTCTCCCCGCTCCCTTCCTCTCTGAAATCAATTAAAAATTGTTTCACTTATCAGTGGAGGAATTTAGCGATAAATTCCTCCAGTAACAGATGGCGGGGAGACTAAAACTCACACGGCCCCTTCCCTAAGCTGCAGCCCCCCTAGCACACCGAGGCCTGTGTCTGCGGAAAGTGTGGTGGGGGAGGGGAGGGGAGGGGAGGGGAAGGGAGGGTGTGTAGGGAGGACTCCAGCTTCCTGAGGCTCTGCTAGGTCTTGCTGCTGGGGAGTCCATCTTTAGCACTTGGGGGGCTGGGGGCGGGGGGAGCAGGGAGGTCCTTTCCTCAAACAGCAAACCCCGGCTCTTGGCCCTCTTGACAAAAAGCTGCCCTGAGAAGGCAGGCCCTCGGACACGTTTTAGGTGGATTCAAGCAGTAACCAGGCATCCATCGGCCTGTAGCAACGCTGTTACCTCCCCCTAGCAACCCGTCTCCAATGTGAGGGCTCCTGCCCAGACCTAGGGCCTGTTGCTATGGTACATCCACCCCTTAGCAACCAGGCCACAAGGGGGTGGGGCATCTGGTGCCTGTAAGGGAGGTCCTCCGGTGGGCAGGAGGCCTAGGGTCCTGAGCCCTGAGTGTGGCTAGGTGTGGTTGCTAGGGAGAAGGCCTCCTTAGCAACCAGGCAGAGGCTGGGATGGGCTGTGGGGAGGAGAAGCCAGCCAGGTAGTGAGTGCGGTGGCAGGCAGGCAGGCCGGCTTCCGTGGTCCGGCCTGGCCGGGCCTCGTTGCTAAGGAGCGGCCCCTCCCCCCCTTAGCAGCCAGGCTGCAGCCATACCAGGGCCTCAGCACTCAGAGGGGAGGGTTTGAGGGTGGGCAGACTGGTCCGGTGAGGATGCACAGGTTTCCATGGGCTGGCCTGACCAGGCTGTGTTGCTAGGGAACAACCCCCCCTAGCAACCACGCTGCAGAAGGGCTGGGGCTCTCCCAGGTGGGCCAGTGGCCACGCGGAGCCTGAGGCCTGACAGGCCCCAGGCTGTAATTCCTCCCTCCACCCTCACTTCCTGATTCCTGGGAGCACGGGACCTCTGGCCACGAGGTGTGGTGGGTTCCCTCAGGCCCCACCTGTCGTCTCAAAAGAGAGGATGCTTTGCCCGGCTGGTGTGGCTCAGTGGTTGAGCAGTGACCCATGCAACCAAGAGGTTGCCGGTTCGATTCTTGGTCAGATCCCCGTGCAGGAGGTGGCCAATTGATGTTTCTATTTCTCTCTCAAAATCAAAGTTCAAAACTATTCATCAGCCCTGACCTGTTTAGCTCAGTCGGCCCGCGGACTGAAAGGTCCCAGGTTCGATTCCGGTCAGGGGCATGTGCATTGGTTGTGGGCACATCCTCCGTGGGGAGTGTACAGAAGGCAGCTGATCAATGTCTCTCTCTCATCAATGTTTCTAACTCTCTGTTCCTCTCCCTTCCTCTCTGTGAAAAAAATCAATAAAATATTTTTTAAAAATATATTATCAAAGAGAGAGAGAGAGAGAGAGAGGATGCTTTTAACCACCTCCAGGAACCCAGGGCTGGCAGAATCTGGGCGGGGAGTGTCGGGTCAGCCTCCAGGGGAAGGGACTGCCTGAGCCGCCCAGCACCGGAGGGCGTGGCCTCCCACTCACCTGCCTTGCCATTGTGGATATATGTCTCCCAAAAGCGCTCCTGGAAGGGGTGGGCGTACAGAAGGCGGGAAGACAGGGTGTCAGCTGGCAGATTCTACACACCCAACCAGCCACCCAGGTTTCTGAGACCAGGGGGGAGAGAGGGAGTTGAGGCCAGCCCCCGCCCCCCCCCCCAAGAAGATGGCCTGGAGGGGCCCCCTCCCCCGCCCCCAGGCTCTCACCGTCTTAGTATTGTCCTCAAAGTACTCCCGGGCCTCCTCCCAGGAGCACTTCTCCTCCAGGCACTCCCGCTCCAGGTTCCCCGGCGTGAAGATCTCCAGGTCCCAGTGGTTGGCTCGGCGAACTCGGCGATGGTTGTCCAGGAAGCTCTGAGCCTCGGGGGAGTCCAAGAAGATTTCTGGGCCCAAAGAACAGGAGGGACAGAAAAAAATGGAGGACCTGGGACATGGAGGGAGCTGAACCTGAGCAGACGGAGTGCTGGGGGGGCCCTGGGGGAGGAGGCGGGTAGACACCATGGTTCCAGGATCGGGGAAGGTGGGTGTCAGAGTCTCCCCCCAAGCAACTCACCTTGGTCTTGCTCCCCGCTGGGTGAGGTGTCCAGACAGGTGGTCAAGCCCAGGTACAGCAGCAGCAGAGAGGGGTGGCCCCTGCCCCTCATATTTTGCGGACCACCTGGAACGGGGTGGGGGGGGCGTAGATGAGGTGACCAGATGTCCCGCTTTTGGCGGGACAGTCCCGATTTTTAACAATTTGTCCCGCGCCCGGCGGCATTTTAAAAAAGTCCCGATGTTTGGAAGGACACATTTCGAAAAAGCAGGACGTCTGGTCACCTTAGGTATAGATGCCCAGTGCCTCTGCCCCTACGGAAAGAGGCAAGGTCTCCCTGCCTGGACGCTGTGGCTCATGAATAATAATAATAATAATAATAGCAGATACTGCCCTGGCCTGTATTTGGGGCCAGACTCTGTTCAAGGCAGTTTGCCTATATAACAGTTCAGTGTTCACAATAGTGCTGTTATTATCCCCATTTTATAGGTGAGGAAACAGAGAGGTCACAGAACTTGCCCAAGGTATACGGTCTGCAAGATTCAGAAGCAGGACTCACGCAGAGGCAGCGTGCCCCCGAGGACGTGAGCAGGGAGCTTATCTTTTTTCCCCTCGGCGCTTGCCGTCCCCAGCACCGCTTTGCCACACAGTAAGCGTGCCCTGAACGTGCCCACTGGCCATCAGGATCCCTTCCTCCCTGTTATTTCCACATGCATCCCTCTGTCTCTATGCCCATTGCCACATCCAGCCACAGAGATCAAAGATTACAGGAAGAGGGCAAGAACAGGGCCCTCGATTCCTGCGTCCAGGGGGAGGTGGGGGAAGAGGCTCTGAACTCCTGGGCTTGGGGAGCCCTACATTTCTGGGACCCCCATCCCCCGCAAGGATCAAGGAGCCTAAGATGCCAAGGTCCCCAAGCCAGACTCTGCCTCCAGGGGTATTCACTTACCTGCCCAGACTTGTGAGCACTGTCCCCTCCTCCTCAGTCTCGGGGCCTCCTAAGCCAGCTGAGGCCAGCTGTGAAGAGGGGCAGGAGGGAGGGGAGGGAAGAAAAAAGGAGGGATTTCCCTGCTGGCTCCGGCTCTCTGTAATCCTCCCCCGTCGCGGTTTCTGGCAGAGGGGCGGGGTTTGCGACTACCTGCCCTGGGCGGGACTCAGGTAAGGGACAAAATATTTAAAGGGACCTTATATTGAAGGGCCTCAGGTCCAGGGCCCTATAGGAAGGCCTAAGACACCCCCAGAGCACTTAGGGAACTGGATAGGCGCCTTCTCCGCTCCTCTCCTGCTTCCCCAGCGGGAGTGCGCCCAGCCAAGTTAGGGAACTAAACGTCTAGGTCTCCAGATATCAGATTTCCACAAACCTAGAAACTGGCAGGAACTGCATGCCTTGGTCCCCTAGGGGCAAGTGAGTATGCCGTAATAAATTCCTGTTTCCTGGGGTGATGTGAAGGGCTCTGGCTTTCGATTTCTCTATTGTTCCATTTATAAATGGGGACAGAGAAGTTGTCCCCTCTTAATGGTCTCTTTATTTACAATAACAAAAAAGTGGATATATATTGAAGAAGTGGGTTCCCAATGTGTGGGGGGAGTGATTAGTCCTTAAACTCGGGCTTGGAGAGACGCAAAGCTTTGGGTACAAGCAGGAAATCGCCCGGCCCCGGGAAATGCCTCGTAGATACTAAGCGCACCAAGCGCACCCCGTAATTCAAGCCAGCTTTTCTAACCGGAACCTTCGACTCGACACTTAGGTTTCCGGTGGGAGCAAGAGAAAAAGGGAAGACTTACCGAGACAGATGAGGAACCTCCGCGACTAGGGGCAGCTTTACTTCCGGTTTCCTTCGCCGGCCCGCGGAAGTGGGAGGAGCTAAGAGGGAAAACAAGCGCTCCTTTCCGGGGTAGGGGCACGGTTGGAGCATCCACGGAGGAGCCGGGAGTCGTCTGCGAGGTGAGTTCCAGGAGCGGGAGGGGTGGTAGTGCTGCGGCCTCCTTCCCGCGGGCTGGGGTCTCAGGGTCCGGAGGAGACCGGGACAACATTTCGATAAAACGTCGTCTCTCAGGGTCTCTTAAGTTTCTCCTAACTTAGAGCAATCTCCCCTCCACTCCACTCTGATTTGTGTGTGTGTGTGTGTGTGTGTGCAATTGATTCGTGGAAGAAACCGGGTCGGTTATTCTGTTGATAATCGTGCCATCTGGGTTTTGTCTTTTTGCTTCTTTGTCACCTCATTTCACTGATTCCGTTATGCCAGGCGTCAGCAGGCCAAACTCAAATCCTGCTGGCCTCCGTTTAAAAAAACAACAAACAAAAAAACCCCGGCCCTAACCGGTTTGGCTCGAACTCAAGGGTCCCAGGTTCGATTCCCGTCCCCGTCAAGAGCATGTGCCTTGGTTGCCGACACATACCCAGAAGGGAGTGTGCAGGAGGCAGCTGATGGATGTTTTTCTCTCATCGATGTTTCTTTTTTTCTTTTTTTTAAATTGATTTTTCACAGGGAGGAAGAGAAAGGGATAGAGAACTAGAAACATCGATCAGCTGCCTCCTGCACACCCCCCACTGGGGATGCGCCAGCAACCAAGGCACATGCCCCTGCCTGGAATCAAACCCGGGACCTTTCAGTCCGCAAGCTGACGCTCCATCCACTGAGCCAAACCGGTCCCGGCTCTCATCGATGTTTCTAACTCTATCCTTCTCCCTTCCTCTCTGTAAAAAAAAAAAAAAAAAATCAATAAAATATATATTTTTTAGAACCCAACTTTATTGGCTTATACTAGTAATTCACCTAACATATAGTTCACCCGTTTAAAATGTACAATTCAGTGATTTTTGATATATTTGCAGAATTGTGAAACCATCATCATGATCAGCTTTAGAACATTTTCATCATTCGATGTCACACACACACACACACACCCCTTTTTACACTCCCTCCCCAGCCTCAGGCCACCACAAATCTACTTTCTATCTGAATGGATTGACCTAATCTGGACCTTGCAGGATTCTGTCTGGCTCCTTTCACTTAGTGTAATGTTTCCGTAGCCTATGTCTTGTAGCCTGTACCAGTACTTCCTTCTGGCTGAATAATATTCCTCTGTATGAGATATACCATATTTTGGACAGTTGGGTGGTTCCCACTTTGGGGCTATTATGAAAAATGCTGCCAGGACCGGTTTGGCTCGGTGGATAGAGAGTCAGCTTGGGGACTGAAGGGTCCCGGGTTCGATTCCGGTCAAGGGCATGTGCCTTGGTTGCGGGCATGTCACCAGCGGGGGGGGGGGGTGCGGGAGGCAGCTGGTCGATGACTCTCTCTCATTGATGTTTCTGACTATCTCTCTCCCTTCCTTTCTGTACAAAATCAATAAAATATATTTAAAAAAAGAAAAAAATGCTGCTATGAACATTGGTGTACAGGTGTTTGTTGTGGACACTGGGAGTGGAATTGCTGAAGCAAATGTAACCTATGTCTAACCTTTTGAGGAACTGCCAGAGTTTTCCAAGGTGGCTACACCACTTTATACCCCGCCCTCCCTGTGTGAGGGTTCCAGTTTCTCCACACTGACTTTTTATTTTTAAAGATATATTTTTTATTGATTTTTTACAGAGAGGAAGGGAGAGGGATAAAGAGTTAGAAACATCGATGAGAGAGAAACATCAATCAGCTGCCTCTTGCACACCCCCTACTGGGGACGTGCCGGCAACCAAGGTACATGCCCTTGACCGGAATCGAACCTGGGACTCTTCAGTTCACAGGCCGATGCTCTATCCACTGAGCCAGACTGGTTAGGGCTCTTTCTGCCTACATTTTTTAATCTGAGAAGTCTGGTTTTGATCTTGAGTCTTGTGTGAGAAGCTGTTGAAGGGGGTGACTTACAGTTCCATCCTGAAAAGCTCACTGGCTGGTCTGTCAAGAAACAGTGGGAGGAAGAAATCAGTTAATCCTTCTGGGCGTCCATTATCTTTTTTTATACATAATATATTTTATTGATTTTTTTTTTTACAGAGAGGAAGGGAGAGGGATAGAGAGAAACATCGATGAGAAAGAAACATCGATCATCTGCCTTCTGCACACCCCCTACTGGGGATGTGCCCGCAACCAAGGCACATGGCCTTGACCGGAATTGAACCCGGGACCCTTGAGTCCAAAGGCCGACGCTCTATCCACTGAGCCAAACCGACTAGGGCCGTGGTCGGCAAACCTCTGCTCTCAAGCCACATGCGACTCTTTGGCCCCTTGAGCGTGGCTCTTCCACAAAATACCACGGCCTGGCCGAGTCTATGTTGAAGAAGTGGCGTTAGAAGAAGTTGAAGTTTAAAAAACTTGGGCTCTCCAAAGAAATTTCAGTCGTCGTCCTGTTGGTATTTGGCTCTGTGGACGAATGAATTTGCCGACCACACCTTTTTTTTTTTTTTTTAATGTATATGTTTTATTGATTTCAGAGAGGGAGAGGGGGAGAGAAACATCAATGATGAGAATTATTGATGGGCTACTTCCTGCTTGCCCCTGTTGGGGCATGTGCCCTGACGGTGTGGTTCATAGGTCAGTGCTCTTTTCTCAACTCCAAATGGGAGAGCCCACCTCCCCAGTCGGTCCTGAGGACCCAGGGCGTGGAGACGTGGGAAGCGCTTTGCACCGGCCTGGGACATAACTATTTGAAGGATATGATGACGGTTTCTTTTTTTTCTTTTTCTTTTTTTTTTTTTTTTAAATATATTTTATTGATTTTTCACAGAGAGGAAGGGAGAGGGATAGAGAGCTAGAATCATCAATGAGAGAGAAACATCGACCAGCTGCCTCCTGCACACCCCCTCCTGGTGAACCCCCTAATGTACATGCCCTTGACCGGAATCGAACCTGGGACCTTTCAGTCCGCAGACGGGAGGAGAAGGGCCGGGCACACGTGGGCACACGCACTCTTATCTGCAGAGTCCAGCACGGCGCCAGGCCTGCACACCCGGTCGGACCCCCGCTGCCGGGCCCGGGTTCTCTCTGTGCCTCTGTTTCCTTGTTCGGAGCACCCGTGGGGCTGTGGGGGAGCCTGGTGGAGGTAACTGTGTACAATGCCCCGCGCAGGGCCTGTCCACCAGGCCTCCATAAACCTCAGAGGCTTGCAGTTGCTCTTTCGGGAATTCCCTCTTCCTGCTCTCAGCCTGTTTCCGTCTGCGGTTCCTCCAATGCAGTCAGCCCTCCTGGTTCCTTTCCCACCCGGGCCTCTGCCCCCTGGCCTGGCCTTCTAGGGAGAGAGGCTGGTAGCGCCGCCTTTAGGTTCTTCCAGGAATTGCCGTCCCTGCCACGAGGTCAAGAACCATTGTTCAGCCGAAGCCGGTTTGGCTCAGTGGTAGAGCCTCGGCCTGTGGACTGAAAGGTCCCAGGTTCGATTCCGGTCAAGGGCATGTGCATTGGTTGCGGGCACATCCCCGGTGGGGGGTGTGCAAGAGGCAGCTGATCGATGTTTCTCTCTTATCGATGTTTCTAGCTCTCTCTCTCGCTTCCTCTCTGTAAAAAATCAATAAAATATATTAAAAAAAGAAAAGAGCCGAGACTGGTTTGGCTCAATGGATAGAGCGTCGGCTTGGGGACTGAAGGACCCGGGTTCGATTCCAGTCAAGGGCATGTACCTTGGTTGCAGGCATATCCCCAGTAGGGGGTGTGCAAGAGGCAACTAATTGATGACTCTCTCTCATCGATGTTTCTAACTCTCTATCTCTCTCCCTTCCTCTCTGTACAAAATCAATAAAATATATTTAAAAAAATAAAAAATAAATAAGAAAAGAACCATTGTTCAGCCCCAGCTGGTGTGGCTCAGTGGATAGAGCACCCGCCTGCGGACTGAAGGGTCCCAGGTTCGATTCTGGTCAAGGGCACATGCCTGTGTTGCGGCTTGATCCCCAGTCGGGGGTGGACAGGAGGCAGCCAATCCATGATTCTCTCATCATTGATGTTTCTATCTCTCTTTCCCTCTACCTTCCTCTCAGAAGTCAATAAAAACATATTAAAAAGAAAAAAAGAACCACTGTTCAGAAATCAAACCAACTAACTGCACAACAGTCCCGTTGGGAGACAGCCAGGGAAATTGGCACACCAGCCGGGAGCAGGTGATGTTTAGGAATTGTTACTGTGCTCACGGAATCGTGGTCATGTTTTCATTGAATTGTATTGTATTTTAATAGAATTGGTCAGTGTGGGGCTTCATGGAAGAAGTTGACATTTATTTTTATTTTTTTAAATATACGTTTTCATTAATTTCAGAGAGAAAGGGAGAGAGAGGTAGAGACTCCAATGATGAGAATCATTGATTGGCTGCCTCCTGCAGGCCCCCTCCTAGGCATGTGCCGTTGGCTGGAATCGAACCTGGGACCCTACAGTCCACAGGCTGATGCTGTCTATATCCACTGAGCCAAACCAGCCAGGGCTGGAATATAGTGTGTTTGGAACAACTGGGGTAGTGAATGTATGCTTGCATGGATACATTTCTTTTATTTATATATATATATATATTTTTTTTTTTTTTTAATTGATTTTTCACAGAGAGGAAGGGAGAGGGATAGAGAGTTAGAAACATCGATGACAGAGAATCGTCAACCAGCTGCCTCCTGCACACCCCCCATTGGGGATGTGCCTGCAACCATGGTACATGCCCTTGACCGGAATCGAACCTGGGACCCTTCAGACTGACGCTCTATCCACTGAGCCAAACCGGTTTCGGCCTGCACGGATACATTTCATGAAACCTATTGAAGAATAAGTATCTGCAATGGCAATCTAGTGTCCGATTGGAGAAGTGTTAAATGAATACAATATATTCTGGACATTGAAGACCAATCAGGAATTCTCAGATTGTGACCTCCCTGGGGGGACCGACAGCTATCCCGTGGTTAGGAGTGCGGCTCCAGAGCTGGGCTGCCTGGGTTCGAATCCCGGCT